TTTTATCTTTCAAGTACAAACGTATTCTGTTTTACTTCTGTGTTTTGTGCCGACAAGTCTTCTTGCCGTTTTAAGGGAGGCAGGGGTGGTACGCACAGAAGACCAGTGTTGGATTTGAACAATAGTAAAAGCCTTAATCCGGTTCTATGGGATAGAATTTTATAATTAACAGAAAATATATATGTGTAGTGATAGATTGAAGAGAAGGTGAATCAGGTACTTAAAAAATTGCAGGAGAACAACTAGGGCCCATCTCAATCCTGATCCAAAGGAAACTTGCATAGTAAGTTCAACGACCACTTGAACATATTCAATTATAGTTAAATATAGGGTTATTTTTGAAGATGAGCATTTCTGTAATGATTTGAATGTGGTAATTTAATTGAGAAGTTGAACGGCATGTGTTTAATACCGTATCGGGGGTCAAATTGTAGGTCTGTCTTAGAATACAGTCGTTTAGAAGAGTCAGGAGTGATGAGGCGGACGAAAACAACTCGGAAATTAGTATTTTGACTTTCGATCCATCGCCTGTGGAGATTTAATTAACACTCAGACCAAAAGTGAAATTCGTTTAGATACTGGACAAAATGAACCGCACGAAAAGAAGATAAAATAACTTCTAATCGTTTAATTTCAACAGTTCTAAGACAAACCTCGAACGAGAAGGGATAACACTCGGAAAGTACTCTCGGCTTGGCCTACTAATACAGGATTTTTTGCTACAAACTGCTGGTATCTAGTCTTAAGTTCAGCCAATTTATCCATAATTGTTAACGTTTAAAATTTCGATGCGGTCTACTCCAAAAGCAAAGTCACATGACAGGGCAAAATATTTGTAGTGCAGCGCGATCACGCTTCTGATGAAATAATCTTTTGACAGTTGTAAATGTTTTCAAAGTTTCTCAGAGGTTCAATAGCTTGCTTACAATTCTTTTGCATTGGACATTTACTTAAGGAAAATGTAGGAAGTTTCGTTGTTGTAAGTTATACATTATATTGCGTAATCTTTGAAAATTGAAAGAGATCGACAAAAATAGTGCTTCGGACCGTCAATGGAACCAGCTATTTACGAAAAAGATGTTCTATTGATTGAGAATAGAAGTGTGATAAAAGAAAAATTAAGAAAGTTTGTTGAAAATTGTTAAAGTTGTATTGAAAATTTGAATAACCCAAACATTTTTTTGCAGGGGTGATGTGGTTATCGTTAAGTCTCCTAAAAATCCAAATGTTCTCTTGTGTAAAAGGATAACCGCACTATCTGGTGATCGTATCTCAGGACTATTTTCTAGTAAAACGGTAAAATTACTTTTATCCAGTCGTTTTACAACTGTGATAGGTTTATTTTGAAAAACAAAGAATGTTTACATTGTATAAATTGTTCTTTATTTTTTTTAAATTAAAAGTGTATTTGAAAAAAAAAGGTCTTTTGAAACAATAAGAATTTTTTTGTAAAAATAATCCAATTTTTCCAGATACCAAGAGGTCATGTTTGGATAGAGGGCGACAATTCGAGAAATTCGTCGGATTCTAGAAATTTTGGTCCAATACCGTACGGTCTAATACAGAGTCGAGCTTTTTACAAAATATGGCCTCTAAACGACAGAGGATATATAGATTAGGGAGTACTTTGTCGTTGAATACTGAGAGAATGCCAAGAAGTCATTGTTATTTTTCTTTACTAAAATAAACTACTACTAGTTAGTAGAGTTTTAGCAAGGGAGCGCTGTTTTTCCACCATTGTCTTTTTCAACTCTGCATACTCTTCAGCAGTATATTGACGTCTGGTTCTCTTCTGTTGTTAAAGAGAGAATGAATTATCTATTATGCGTTAAACAAATTTGTTATACATTTTTTAAATGATAATAAAATTTAATACACACAATTTTTTTTAAAATAATTACATATATATATATATACAGTCCGCGACAAAAATATCCATATATGAAAAAAAATATATTTTTTTGATAAAAGAGCTTTTTTTTTGGATTTCTAAAACGAATTCTTTTGTTTTTGTTTTAAATATTTGTTTAAGAATATGTCTGAAATTGAAATTTGGATTCAGTTGCTGAAAAAAATATTTTTTTTAATTGAATGTTTAATAATCTTAAAAAATAATAAAAAATATAGTGCGCCAAAAATATCCATATAACCTGCCAAAGACTATCTCCTACTCCTTCATATAAATGCTTTACATAGACTCTATTGTTTCTATTTATTTCTTCCACTTCTTGTTTTATTTTGTTCCATAAATGGTCGAGTGTTTGAGATCTACAAATTTCGTAAACTTTTAGTTTTAAAAAACCTCACAAATTTTCTATTGGGTTGAGATCTGGAGGATAGGGAGGCCAATCTAGAGGTATCGATTGTTACTCTGACAGTGTGTGGAGGTGCATTATCCTGCTGCCAGATGAAGTGTTCACCAAATTTTTCCCTCAGCATTGGAAAAATTGTTCCCTGAATGAATTCAGAGTAAATTTCTCCAGTGATGTTAGAGGGAAGTCTTTGGATGAAAACTTCATCATCTAAGGATATACATCCCTGTACCATCACTCCTCCTCCACCAACAGGGACCTTGTCCCTAGAAAGTTTTGGCCTATCATCAAGTTACCAAGTTAGCAGCCCTAAATTCTGCTTAATTTTATTAGCAGTTGCTAGTTCTCTCCTTTCCTGCAGTCTTGCATACTCTCTTCTAATTAGGGACTTTGCTCTTTCTCTTAGTTTGGATGGTCTTCCCCTTCTCTCAAGTTGTCCCTCCCCTTTATTTTCACAAATATATTGCATAGATGACCGAGGGATGTTCAAATCCCCTTCCAGTTCATCATAGGTCCTATGCATTTTTTTCTGTCTTCCAAGCTCTCTTATCTGCTTTTGGGTATGGTATTTCATTTCAACTACTAAGTTGAAAGAATTGTCTGCTAATTGCAAATTGTTCGAAATTCGAATGTTCTACAAATTTTTTAGACAAAGAACATGTTTATATGGATATTTATGGCGCACTTTAAAAAATGTTTTAGAAAAGCTGAAAAAAAGAAATATTTTATTAAATTATATAAAATACCTTTTAAACAACGTAATTCTATTTAAGAAAAAATAATTCTATTCCTCAAAATTACAGAAAAACAATTTTTTGAAAAAAATTTCTTTTTTTTTTCCATATATGGACATTTTTGTCGCGGATTGTATATATAAATATATATATTACTAATATATATATTTACATACATATATTGTTTTGTTTTTTTTGACAGATTAACCTCAATTAAAACAGTGCATATAACAACCCTTTCCCACCACCTGATGATGGTTCGTGCCAATTATTAAGAGATAAAAATTAAAAAAAAGAGAAAGATATGGAGAAATAGAGTGATAAAAAGAGATAAAGAATGTAGCGCAGAGCATCGATATAAATCATTGAGAGAAAAAAAATGATATAGGAATTTTTTTGATAAACGAAGGGCTGAAAATACGTTTAAAAGGGAATAAAATAATAATAATAATAATAATAATAAAAATAATAATAATAATAAAGTATTCTAAAAAAGAAGATATTGGATAAATAATCTCTTTCTCTCTCTCTTTCTGTAGAAATGCAAGAATGAGTTGTTTTTTACTCAGTCTATGTTTGTCAAAAGGGAAAAGTATGTATATCATTTGCATTGCTAAATATGATGTTAATCTGTTGCTCCTGCCACGAAGAAAGTGATCATAGAACTCTCTACAGGAAGCTGTTAAGCTCAGAAATATACCTTTTTCAAACGAAAAATAAAACGGGTGGGTGATTTGCTCGTGCAAGTTGTGCGCCGGCCAGATTTTGAGGAATCGAATTCACAGCCGTCATCTAAATAGTATAAATCATTCTTAATGTGACTACAATCATTCAAAGTGCAGAATTTTTGGATACAAAGTGGCAGGAAGAGCAGTTAGATTTTCTCTTTAAACAGAAAGAAATTATATCCCAATTTTCTTTGTATATATTATAAAAAAATAGTATCTTTACAAGCTATCACTTTTATAACTTGCCATTAAAATTTGTTTGTTTCGAGTTGTTGACATGATTTTTTTATATTTATTTTTTAACTTACAGCTATCGTCTGTGTCCGAATGACCAAATCCTTCAGTTACACTTTTTGCCCTTCTAGTTGTATTTTTTACAGGTTCTTCCTCTTCTTCATTCTCCTCCTCTGAATTACCATCGAACACTACGCGAGGTTTTCCAGGCTTTCTCCTTCTAAGTACAATCTTTTTTCCAGGTTTTAAATCTTTATTATCCTAATAGATTTATCAAAAGTGGTGTATATATTTACTTGTAAATTTATATGGAATTAATCTAAAAAAAAAATACATTATTACATACATCGATATTCACTCTGTGTAATTTGGTAATGGACTTTGGCTTTTTATTATTGGATTCAACGACGGCCGCATGCCAGGCAGCTATTCTCTCCTCCAGAACTGTTAAGGCTCTATCACTCGATTCAAAATCGTTAAATGTTCCTTTACCCTTGCCATTTTTCTGCAACGTTTTGGCGTCTTCGTTCAAGTGAACTGCTTCGTGCGCCTTCGTTAGGAAAGTTTCATTTTTATCCGCTAAAAGATTTGTATAACCCCTATTTAATCTTTCGTCAATCTCCTCTACCGTCTCGGTTGCCGCAGGTATTGCTGGAGCATTGAGACCAAATCTAGGAGCGTTTCTAAACTGAGGTTTTGATAATTTAGCTTGTTTAGCCTTTTCTCTCATCTTATTCCTATAAAAAACGGTACCAGGGCCGTATAAGTCAATTAACGGCCCCCTCTGAGGAGAGAATTCATAATTTAAATGGTCTTCGTTCGTTTGCCTATGTTGACGTTTTGGTTGTTTAGACGCATTTTTTAATTTTTGCAGAATACTCTTTAGAAGAGGAGCCGTATTCTCTTGCAATCTTCCAACGCGAGACGTCAATTTCAATTCGGCGCCTTCTTTTAACAATTCAATTGTTTTTGGATTTCTTTTAGTAATCAATCGTTCGTAATTCTTCATATCCAAGGCAAAAACATCGGTTACTTGAGTACAAACAACGCTTTGTATATAAGTGTTCATGTCTAAAGCAAATTCCGTATCACCGATAATCTCTTTACTACCAACAATTGACATTTCTATAGGCTTCTTAACGGTCTCGTGTCTTCGGAGTGCGGAAGGAGTGATAATTAGGGTATGTTCATTGGGTATCGGAGAAACTGACGGATGTTTCTTCGTGCTAGAATGAGCCAACAAAAAAAAACAGTTCCGATAGTTAATTAATTAATTATCAATTAAGTGAATGAATAGACGGTTTCAAATTATATAAGATAATGAGTTTAATTACAATACGTAAAAGTGCAAGATAGTGATTGATTATCGGAATTATATTTTAGAGTAATATCTAATAGAGTTTAATTAATTATACCTGGCAACTAATTGGGCCACCTCAGCACTTGCTGGATCTTGAGCGTCTGATGCTTGTTGAAGACTGGAATACTGAAGGCTTAATTGTTGAGGTTCAACCATTAATTTTGCTTGACCTCTGTATATATTAATAATTAGCTTTATACCTTTTTTTTTCGTATAAAATATTAATCAATAAAATTAAAATTTTTATTAAATTTGATAAGAAAAACTAAGTGGTTCAATCTGAAATCAATAAGATTACTTACTTGAGTAAAAAATACATTACGTCCGCCTTATCTCCCTGTTTAACGATATAACTATCGAATTGAAATTTAAGCTTTCTTAAACTAAAAGCCAATTGTTTTTTATGTTTATGAGCCCAATTTTGAAATAGAGGATTTTCGGTAACAAACTTTGTACGTTCCTGTATAAGAAGAAATAACAAAATTACGTTATTATTATTATTATTATTATTAAATTAAGTTAAGTATATATAAATATTAAATATAAATAAAAGATTCTCTTATAGGTCACGTGATTGACCGAAAAATAGTTTAATAACATAATTATTCGGGTAAATGTACTTATAAGATTTGACTATTCTTATACTGTCACATGTTTATCGAAAACAAACAATAAGATTGAAAATAATATAATATTTATATAGAAAGTATTTTTTAAATACCTCAAACTCAGCGACCTGGGCAGCTTTTAATGATCTGTTATATAAAGCTCTATTTACAACTAATAAATCCGTTGTCTCATCAGCAATAATTGAAGCGTTTCTAACGCAATCCTTGCTTATTAGGGCCAATTCTCCAAAACTTTTACCAGTTTCAATAGGAGCTATATAATTACCAAATTTCGATCTATCCAACTCTTTTCCCTCTTTATATGCCGCGTCTGTCTCTTTAGACTTTTCTGCAATTTTCGACTCATCTTCCTCATCCGATATTTGATTGTTAATGAATATGGATACTTTTCCTTTAAGTATTATATAGAAGCTGTAAAGAGAGAGAGAGAGAGAGAATATGTATATATATATATATATATATATATATATATATATATATATAAATTTATATAGAGTATATATGTATAAATATATATATATAAAGGTATTATAGATCCTTTGTTAATTGAGATACGAGGTGTATCGATTACCAACTTTTTAATATTTATTAATAATTCTTTTAATATAATCTAACACTTCAAACTGCTGAATACTTAACCATATTTTCTCAAAATACGAAAAAACTAATTATCAGATTTATAATAGAGTTTTTTCTCTGAATTTAATTAGAGATTTTAACAAAATAGGTGAAAGGTGGTAGGGGGTATTTTTATTGGGATTAATACTCGCTCTATCTTCCTCCTGTCTATCTGTCGTTCTGTTTAACTATCTCATTAGGAAATATGTTAAACAGGAAATGTTGTTATAAAATCTAGAAAAGGGAGGAAATTATTCCACATACTTAAAAGAATACTTAGTTCATTCTCTTTCATAAATATCTTTACCCTTAAACTAACTACTAACATAATATTGTAATATAAATTATTAAAATGCAAAATTATGGACAGGTACTCTTAGAGTTTACTTGTGATTTTTAAAGTAGTTCCACGCCTACGTTATCTATCAACTAGTACTACTTGATGATAATAGAATGACAAGACTGATCTCTATAATGGGATATAGAAAGTTGAGAAGGACGGTGGGTGGACGTAAATATAAGAGAAAAAGGGAAAAAAAAGAGAAAGTATAATTAGAGACTTATATGTCACTTGTCAATTGATTACTATTGCAAAAAATTTAATTGCGAATAAACGCATATGTAAATAAATTATAGAGAACTTTGTGCATAATATATGTTATAATAATAATAATAATATACAAACCAATCCCCTATTTCTCCTTGTTTAATAATAACAAAATCTCTATGCCTTGTACAAAATTCGCAATTTCTAACGATATCGATAAGAACATCTAAAAAAAATTTAAATGAATTAAATAATAAAAAAAAAGTATGCACAAATTGAAAACGCGATAATAGAACATTTAAAAATTCATTACAAAAACGTTATCGCTAGATAAGATTTACAGTCGCCTACAATATTTGTTTGCAAAAATACTCGATTGGCTACTATTCACTTTTCTGTTCTATTTTGACAACGGTTTGCGAACGGCGTTCATAAAAAAAAAAGGAGGCACTCGAAGATTATATGAATTATTCCCAGCGCACTTTTCTATTTTTTATTAATAGATCAATCTACTCTCAAACGCCACAGTAAATTTTGATTGGATTTGAACAGCGGGATAAGGCGATCAATATACTGATCTTTCATTATTAAACAATAGAACGACTTCCTTGAATTATAATTTTTAACTTTCACACGAATTTTTTTCCAATCTATATGAAATATTATATTAAATGCAAGAAAGACAAAATGAGAATATATATATATATATATACAAATGCAATATATAATAGAAAGAGCGTTAAGAAATCTAAAGAATGTATTGAAAATGAATAGGCGATTTAAATAAGGATTTTTCTGTATTCTCTTTCTCCTTAAAGACAATTTTTTAAATAATCTTTTCGGTTATAAAATAAATATAACCGCAATCGTAAAAGGTTTTTTAATAGTATATACGAATTATATAAGCGGTTAATTCCACGTTTATGTTCATTAATTGAAATATTTTATCGCCCTTTTTACCAGTCAGTTAGTTGCTGTGATTAGTAAGCTTATTGATATCTATAAATAAATTTATTTACAGACTATATAAAAGATTTATAATCTATAAAAATACAACTCGAACCCTTCTAAACCCTAAAAATAGATAATCCCCATAAGAAATTAAAGGGTCGGCAAATTATGAATTAGATAGATTACAAAGCAAAAAGCCAAGTTTACTTACCGTCCTTTACTGAAACAAATAATTCAGATTTCTTTCTGAACCAGGGCAGTAGACTTTGAATTTCCTTAATTCCTCTCTCCTCTGGAGATTTTGAAATAATAGCTTTCACTCTTTCGTACATGTGTGCCATTTTTCATTGCCTGAAGAGAAGCTCATAAATTCTTTAAGTTGAAAAGAAGATAAGATAAAAAATAAACTATATCTATATATATATATTTCCATTATATGTGTATATATAAAATACTCTGTACCTGAGACATTCGATTCCTAACTGTTAAGTGTTAAATCTTCAGGCCAAATAGACCTGAAAATAAATAAATAAGTATCGTTAATCATTTATCCTTACAGATTTAAATCAGTTGACAACTCTAACTTTTATAGTACTCTTCCTGTAATCTTTTTCTGTCTATCGCTCTGTCTCTTTCTCTCTTTCTTTCTTTCTCTTCCCCTCCCCCTCTCTTTCTCTCTTTTATACTCACGCTCACGCACGGATATAGGTATTATACCCTATGTAAACATAAACATATACAAGTTGCCTATATCCGGGCAGTACTCATTTCGTTTCTGAAAATTAGTTAGTTATTTTTGTGTTTCACTTTTCAAAAGCCTCTCACTCCTTAATTTTTATTTTATTTCTACAGAAAATTTGCGAGATATTCCTCAGAAAACAGGAGGATTATCTACCTTGATCGATATCTCTGCCTTTTCAGGCTCGACTAAACACTTTGACTGATTGTAAATATTCAATACAATAAAGAATTGAATATAGCTGAATATTATTTATAGAATCTGGCAATTAATACGAATGACACGCAAATGATCGGAAACAATAGCAACATTAGAGAGAAATCAATAAATTCATTATCATTTCAGAATATTTGAAATTTCGATCAGAGAATCGATTTTTGATTGACCTGACAGCTTACCTTTCGACGCCAATTTTGATCAAATTGAATTTTCATTACGAATTGCTTCGAAGCGCGAATTTCAACGCCATCTGCCCTCTTGATAAGCTCATTATCTCTATAAATCTTTTTTAAAGCGCCATCTATTAAAACGAAACTATCCTTTCTTTATCGATATCTCTATATCAGTAACAGTAGACAGTTGGCTCTTGTAAGCCATATGATATTATTTTTTTGCTCGTAATATATAATTAAATTCAATAAAAATAGCAATATCATACACAAATAGACTCGCAAGCTCAACAAACAACTTTTACTCAACATCTATATGCTTACTAATAGACACCCGTAAGTTTGTCACTAAGCAATTGATTTGTTTGCAATAATACTAAGATTAAATCTCCGCACAGTTAATAGTTTCTCAATAGTTATTGATTTAAAATAATAATAAAAAATGTACATATTATACCTTTCTCTTTAAATATTATCAAATTTCTATTAAAAAACTTAATATTTTATTTATATTACATTCTTAACATAGTTCAAGTGTTTATACAATAAATTTTATCTTTAACTTAGAAAACTGTTTATCAATTATTTAGTAGCTTTTTTTTTTCTTTTTCTCTTAAGTGGATACTTGAATTTTTTTCACATATTTTTATATTTAAGTAAAAGAGTGAAAGTGAGAGAGAGAGAGAGAGAGAGAAAGAGTGAATGAAAAACAATGACCAAGTTCTAAATTAACACACATAAATCCTTAAAAGAGTATTATGTATAATTTCGTACTCTATTCCATCGATGGATCGGATGAATAATTAAAGAAAACAAACCGAACTAATAAACTATTGAACTAATAATTCTCTTTTTACCCATCCTATATTTACTACTTAAAGCGAGAGAGACAAAGAGGAAATTTCTTATTGTTTATACAAATTATATTTTTACCTTCTTATCCAGATGCTGGGAAAAAGCGGGTATGTTATATATAATACATAGTTTCTGTATATATATACAAATATATATTCCCAAACGATTCCATGAAACACAATATAGCAAACTAATCAACTACATTCTGGTAGAGAAAAAATATCTTAATTTCCTCTCCTACAATAGGGTTGACTCTTGGCTTGGCGCCATCTGGAGGAGGTCGGGACTTTTTCTCTCCACACAAAAGCAAAATTAATCGACTGACAGAGAAATTCTAATCATTATAGGATAGCCGTTTGAAAATAGGAATACAAATTTCAACAATATCGGTTATTATGAGTACCGATCCGAAATTATTTATGGAGAACAGGTAGGTTGGACTACTTAAAAATTTTGAAACTTAATATCCAAAAGAGAAAAATTAGGGGATAAAGGTTTTCTTTGCCCTCTCTTCATGTCAATTGTGGATTGAAAATTCGTTTTTTACCAGATTAATCGATTAATTAGACCTATAGGCTTCGATTTATATTCTAATCAGTTTAAACCTGGAAATATTCTGTCAAGTGGACCATAATTATCCAATAAACTTCTCTTTATACAGCTAATGCAACATTTATATACAGTTATGTATCTGTTTAACAATTCTCGTTCAGAAAGAGATAGGAAAAAGCTTCGATCACCGTAAATAGCATATCAATCAATAGTACATGTAAATGTGACGAGTAAATTATGTAGATATTCTAACCTACCCCCTAACGGGATCAGTTTTTAATCTGACAATAATCTTTGTCGTTGGCAACCTCCCAGACCTTTCTATTCATATCTTTCTTTTTGCATTTTATTTTTGGAGTAAGAAGCATTGATATGACTTCGGGTACGGACTACGATAAAACTCGCTACCAAAGCGGTCACTTTCGTCCGTTCTCCCGATCGAAGTAAGAACGATAAATCAAACAAGTAGTGTAAATAATATAACTGTATAAATTCAATGATCACGTGTTCTCTTTATAGTTTATTTTCTTTAATAGTATGTCTATTCGCAAACTAGGTCGTTCTAATGTTGTTTCTAGCATTCGATACTAATTGCACAAGCTTAAAAAATAATCGATGAAAATATAAAATATAATTTCCTCTTTTTTAAACATTTAATTTACATAAACGAATTATAGAGAATAGAATAAAGAAAGCTAACTCTTTAGTGTTTACTCATTAATGTCCTTAAAGCAAATTAATTCCTTAGTACGGCCTATTCTGCAATGAGTGAATGGGTTAAGATGCAAAATAGGATTGACATGAGGAGACCTCTCTCGAAAACCTTACCTGCAATTCCTAAAGTAAGATTTCTTCTTTATTCTTTTCCTAACATTTTCAGGCCTGTAAGTAGGCAATTTTCGGAGCCTAGAAGCTATGCTCCCGATGCTAATCATCGCAGTCATTTTTGGGGATTCCTTCCTCATACGAGAAAAATACGCAAATGCTTATGGAACGAGGAGGAGGAGGATGTAGATCCGGAGAAAGAGTTTTGTGGTTGCCGTAATCCTGACACATGCAAACACGCATGGGAGAAATGGGAAAAGCAAGTGGCCGATCTCGCCACCAAAATGAAACCGTCCAGACCAAAATCAGCACCGCCAACAGCTAATAGTTATTTATTTTCCCAGGAAGATCATGCACGAACTGAGCACGGTCGAAAATACGAAGAGCTCATCCAGAAGGTTGCATACAGATATCCTGATTACGGTCCGGCCAAGGAGCGTTACGGTAGTCATGGATCTTGTTGGAGAAACGTCAAAGAGGTAATGGGCCATGGAGGACATAGAGTTTGTTACGTCGACGGCTTGGTTCGTTTGTACGACGAAGCCAAATTTCCACCATCGGCTGGTCCTCTTAGTTTTCGTCAAAATTGGAGATCGTTGAACACTCCTCAATTTGGTCCAAATCGACACGATGTAAGCAGTTATGGTAGAAGATTAGAAAGAGAGCGAAGTATGAAAAACTACGATCCTTCACTGTCAACCCAAGAATATCGTAGTTACCTTAGATATTAATTCGTTCCATTATTTTAATGTTCTTGCAAACCAGTATTAAATATATTATGAGCAATTTGCAGTATTTGTATATGTAAACAAAGCGATTTCCTGAAATAAATCAAATGAAATTGCTGAAAATATTTTTGTTTTAGATGAAAATCATAATCCTATTTTTCAAATTTAAAAATTAATTAAGTATTACTTTAATATCAGTTTCCGCCATTATATTATAATCAAGTTTTAATCGCTACGAGCTTTCAAAGTTCAGTTGTACCATTTTTTTTCAGCAGGTATTTTGGGGAATCCTTAAAACAGCAAAAAAAATAGCATTCAGTCTTGCATTAATTTTTTTGTTAATTTTTTAATTCGTTTTTAACTTTAAAGTGATTATTATACATCTTTTTTAAAAGTATGACTAGTATTTTATTTGCGCATGCGTAGTTGACACTTCCGGGAATCCCTGACGTCACGCTACATCATGGGCACGCAACGTTATTCTTCCTTTTTCCGCCAGGAACCGTCGAGTGTACATGGTTCGTCAACTCAACACTTAAGTCAGTGACCTGTTTATCTGCTTAATAGCGTCAGGCTTCATGTAGCCAAAGTAATTATAAAGGTAAGTAGAAAGTAAGTAATTTAGTTCTTTTGAAAAAGTTTTCTTTTAAACAAAATGAGGAAATTTTATCCAGTCGCGAATAGAAAGTTATAGAATTTTTTGCCAACAAACGAACTACGTGTCAGTTTGTTAATATACCAGTAGTATATAAAGCAATTTAGTCTAGCGGTCATTTAAATAGCCGAAAGAATATATTTTAGACAATTTTTGTTTTTTCCAATCTCATCCTGCAAAGTACTCAATCTCAATAGGAGGCCGCCATATTTGATTCGCTACATAAAATGGCTTAAACAATTGTTTAAACTTATCCTATTACGGTTACTTATTATACAATTATATTGGATTTAAAAAGTTTTTACAAATGTAATTGTAGGTTGTTGCCTAGAGCACTTGGTCAAAGGTCGGTTGCCAATCATAGTTTGGCTTTCAACCGACGCATGTACATACGAAGCTGAAAATTGTTCTTTTAATGTTTATTGATGTTTTCAAAGATCGTGTCTATAATATAAAACTAAAAATTTTGTTTACAGTTTCAGTGTCGAATTTAAACAAGAAGTAAAAACTTTTATCTCTGAAAAAATGAAAAAGTTAGCTGGCGTTCTTACGAAGTCGATTTACTGTACTCTTGCATGTTTGTGACATGAGCATAGTTAATCGCTTTCGCTAAGGACGTTTCATTCTCAATTGTTGATATTCTGAACGAGTAGAAGCGGTAAATTTATTTTGATTTAGTACTTCTTTGAATTAGATCTAACTACCTCAGCAACTAACTAAGCTTATTGTTATAAAAACTAAATCAACCTGCTATTATATATTTAATTTTTCTTTTTTGATAATAATAGGTAAACACTAAATGCATCCGGGGATGAAATATAAAGTTCTTCGTATGCATTAAGTGTACCTTTTGATCAAAACAAACTGCAATAAAGAAGCTATTTCTCTGTTTGACTTAACCAGATTAACCAATACCTGGTGCAAATAACATACTCTAATCCTTAAAGCTAATTAGACGAATAATTAATTGCATAGGAGATATTCATCTTAAAGGAGTGTTTTTATATATTTGTTTTTTTTTATGTTTTACTTTCTTTTATTGTTTTCCAGATTGGAAGCGTCTAGTGAGAATCTTATTAGGATCTGAGCTACAGCTAGCAGTATTAATACTAATCAAGAAATCTGCAGTTTGTGGATAGTGTTACTGCGAAGTTTATTCTAACACATCTATGAACTGCATATTTTTCGATTAATTAACTGCTACATTTGCAGCCTGATTTCCGCGCGAAGAATGCTATAAAAGATACACTGAATTGATTTTGAGATAGCAGCGAGGATTTGATGATTAGACTCAAATCTTTCTCTATCTCAAATCCAAATTGGTAGTTCCGTCACCACTTACAAAAAGTTTTTGGTTATCCTGTGTCGTTTTATTGTCCTATATTTTTGAATATATTAATAGACATTTATTATCTATAAAATAATTTATTATTATAAAAAATTCATATGTTTTAATTCTTATTATTAGACATCTTATGATATTTTAAAAATTTTATCAAAGTTTAAAATATTTTCAATATAAAATAAATTGCTATTATGTGACCTGCAGATTCTAAGATTGAATTAAATCGTTTTAGATAGAATTTCAGTGAAATGTGTAGGAGGTTACTTCCATATTTTCTAGGAATTAATACGCCCGATTTAAATACTTGAAAACATTCTCTAATAAATATTGGTATATAATTTATGAATTTTTTCTGCAAAGTTGAAGATTTTGCTAAGCCTAGTTATTTACTTTGTTAAGTATTTAAAATGGGCGCCTTTTTACCCTAATTAATAGAATAGAATATTCATGACGTCAAAAAAAAAATACTTCCATAAAAAATTGCGGATTTAATCGTAAAATTTTTTAAAAATTTAATTTTTCTTTTAAAATAATTAAAAAATATTTATTTTTGAAGTAACATAATTTTAAAAATATAATTTTACCATCAATTTAACAATACTCTAAAATTTCCTATAGATATAAACAATCTTCATAAACCGGTCCTTTTCGTTCCCGAGCGCGTGCGTCTGGTGACATTACCACATGACTGATTAAAACTTGAAAATATTTCCGAAGCTACACATTTGTAAGTATTAATAAATTTACTGATCAAACAAGCTATTTTTATCCAACATTTCTATATACTTTTCATATTTATAGGATTTAAGAATACATAGTTATATCCATATTTTAATTAGCTTGTTGACGTGCTCAGCTTCTTTTTTTTAATTAACATTTTCTGTTCTAAATTATTTAATAAATGTTAAAATAAAGTGTTATAATTCATTTATAAATACTAATTTGGTATTTTCCATTATGTAGGTTTCGTTGGAATACAATCAGAAGATATTAAATATACGGTAAATCGTTATTTTAGTAAGTCAAGTTGGACAACGTGGTTACATTGTTAATAGGCTTAATTTATTTCGTTGTTTTTTTCATTACTTCGAAAGCTATTAAAATTACTTTTATTAAGGCAGATTATTCTTTGAGCGGTTGATGAGAAAGTGTCCTATTTGCTTTATTTTCAAAGAGATACGAGATATGAAAGATGAGTAGGGGAAGAAGTTTGTCGACTGGAGACCTAACAAGTCTTCTAAAGCAGGAAAATTGTAAACGTTGCTTTTATCGAAAGACTTGTGAGAAAGGCGTTCAAACAGACGATATAGAATGTATAGACAAAACTGAAGGTGAAAACAAGCTGAGTGCGGAGGCAGTGGATCTTCCTGAAATTTCAATTACTATCTCTGAACTTGTTTCTGAACCTATCAGTAAACCTGAGTGGGATGAAGAAATTCTTAATGAATCAAAAGAATCTGCCATTGTCATAGTTTGTCAAGATGACCAAGAAGCGAAAGAAACTGATCTCGATACAAATGATATTGAGGACGATAGTTTATTGGCCGATGAAAAAACAACATTCGTTATGAACAAGACTGAGGAAACACATACCTCTAATCAATCTAGTAATATGGACAACAATGGCTCTGACAGTAATGATATGGATGATAGTCTATTGACTGTTGATCAAACAGAATTTGATATGAATATGAAATCTTTTCCCAGCAAGACTGAGGAAGAGCATGCCACTGATCAATTTAATAAAGTGGTTAGTGAATGCATTGAAAAGCCGGAGGATAAAATACAAAACTCTAAAACATCAAGTGAACACCAAACGTCCGAAAGAATTGAAGAATATGAATACTCGGACATTAAGGCTTCTCTAATACTGCCAGATTCGCTGGACCCGTTGTATGAAAATGTAAAAAATTTAAAAATAAACGCAAGCACGAGACTGATAAAAGATTTAATTGGATTCCCAATATTAGACACACAGATTAATGATAAAAATGAGGAAAATTCTGAGAAAACCAAAGTACGTCAAGGAGAATTAGAGAAGACAACTACAGAGTATGATAAAGAAAAAATATATGGTCAAAACAATACACAGGATTCGTTGAACAAGAGGCCAGGAATTCTACGTAAAATTAAGAACACTCAGGAAGATAATGAAATTCAGATCCAGGCTAAGGCCAAACCGAAGAAAAAAGTTGTATTCATAGGCATTCCCGATGAAACTGAAGACGAGACGAACGACGAGACAACTCACAGAACCACAAATTCCTTTCTTGGTAAATTAAACTAATATATTAATTTTTTCCTTAGATATATCAGTCAGTTATATTTCAGACTTGAAGAATTTCGAGGTTCAATGTGAGGATAGTAAGATAATGGAAAGTGACATAAGAGATTTTTGCAAAGATTTCGATTATTGTTCAGAAGCTCCAACAAAAATATCTACTAAACTCACACAGAACTTCACTGATGTCGAAAGTACAATGGAAGCCTGGATAACTTCATTCTATCATAAGTTTTTAAACAAGTTGAAAAATGACCGAATCCTGACTGATGGCTACATAAATCTCAATATCAGATTTGATGATCAATCGGAATTGATGGTTAGGGTACATAAGAATGAGGTAATAGGGAAACTACGACAAATGATGGAAAGAAGGAGTTTTAAAAAAACAATAGGATGTCAGTTTTTCTTTGAAGGAAAAAGACTTGATGAATCACATCAAATCGTATCAGTTCCAAATTTGGCTAATGGTAGTGTTTTGAATCTCTCTCTTAGTAATTTTGATCATTATTCGATGAGGAAATATTTGAAGGACTTTTGGAAGATGTTGAACTCACAAGAAAGTATAGAAGCATATTTGGGTGTTAACGGTCGCTCCCTCTGCTTTGTTCATGTTGTTTTGAATTCAGATCAAAATATTTTTAGACCAATACCCTTTTTTATACCTTTGCCAGTTAAAGAGGGGCATAAACTATCTATGTTTCATCCAAATCAAACTAACAAAGGAAATTACAAGTTTTTTATGTCTCCGTGCTTAAAGAAATTTTGTCTCAGTGGGTGGAATCCTCCTCCAATATCCCGAAAGAATAAAGGGGATTTGTTTTATTTATCTATAGAAACTTTAGAAGATCGAAAAACACAGATAACTTGTTGTACAAGAGGCTTTTATATAAATCAGTCAACTGATACTGAATTTAATCCGGCGCCTGAAACTCCTTCTTTAATGAGCAATAACCTAATTGAAACTCTCTCATTCCTAAGTCCGGGATTTAAGCAATGTTATAGTGTTAAAGAAGAATATTACGGAAAGAGACATTTATTTGAATTTCACTCTTCTCCTCAACAAGTGTACTCTTGGCTGTCGCCAAAGCTTCCAATTGATCATCGGCACGACTTCTCAATGTGGGATTTTCCCACTGGTCATGAAGTTATAGACCATACCATTAATTCTCAGATACAATCCATTCTTGATAAGAAGGTTTCTAAACTCCATGAAGAAATTCAAAAGGAAAAAGATTTATATGACCTTCAAATGAAATTTAGCTCTGCAGCAACAAAGATATTTTCTTCTCTTATTGACGATCGTGAAGGGCGGGTGGTGGAAGGAAAAGATGGAGAAATTATCATTCTCAACGGTTTAAGGATTAAAATTGTTAAGAATGATAACTCATACGCAGCTGCTAATGCTGATGTTCGAAATACTCGACGAGCAGGGAGAGCAAAAGCAGAAAAATTACGTTTTCTAACGAAAATTCTTATTGATTATAAGGGATTTCGTGCCATAATTGAACCGGTAATTCACAAAAAACCGGAATCGTATAAAAATAACTTGTGTTTCGGATCAGTGGATTTTGGAGATAATGTTGTGAACTGTACCGATGCTGATATTTTGACGGACATCCGACAGCTTTGTAGATGTATGGGTAATAAATCACAGGAAATTGTTGACTGTCACCGCAAAACTCATTCTATCCAATTATCCATAAATACGATTGTGACGAAAGGCGACGATAATCGTAGTTATATGGCCGATATGACGACATTTTTTCCTCCTGATCCTAATTTTCTACTTAATCTTCCTTCTATTTTAATAAGTCCGAAAATGAAAGAGGAAAATTTTCCACGTGCTGCAAGGCATCAACACACTTACTTTCGAGAATACTTTTGGAAAATTTTTCGACGAACCCGTTTCCAGATCTATTTGAAAAAACTAGATAATTTTGTTAATCCGTTGTGTTCTAAAATTATTCTGGAAGATGTGAAAAAAAATGCATTACATTTTGAGGAAGGAAATGAACATGAAATTGAAAGGCTCGATTCATTCCTTGAACGTGCTCAGAAACTGGTCGGAGACGAAATAAACTTTAAGGAAGAGTGGGAAAAACATTGCCTGATTATGCAGTGTGAAGGATCCAGCGAAAATCGAACTTTTTTCTGCTCTGGTAACCCTAACGCTTTTAATCGTGACCTTAGGATACCATTAATGAAACAGAGGGAATTTCATCGAGACCAATTTATTCTGGCCAAAGCTGCAGATTTCATGCTCACAACTCATATTTCCGACTTTATTGAAAGTCATGTCAACGATTATTCAATAATAGATGGATTCTCACTTACTTCAAAGCTACATACCTTTGGAATAAATATTCGATATATGGGAAATATTACAAAGCGACTGCCAGATGGCCACTTCCTTATTCCTATTTTTATATTAGAGATGATAAATAGAGCCGCTAAGCATATATTTAGGTAAGAGTGAGTTAAAAGTTCTATTTTATAAACTGTTAAGGATTTTTAACAATATTTTCTTTTAATCCTTAGACGATTTATTACAAATGTTGAATTACATCACAAGGCAGCTGCAACATCCCATTTCTTAAATTGCTATTTAAGCCATCAAACGGATTCAAAGAAAAGTTTGCTAGAATTCGACTGCTTGAGTATGAGAAAGGTGAAAAGAAGACGGTCACATAGTAGTACACGAGTGAGCTTCACTGAGAATCTTGAATGGACGAATGCGACAAGACAATCGCTTTTGGCAGAAATAAAAGAGGATATGGTGAAAAGCTTTCAATTTGTTATACCCGTTGAGTGTCAGGATATTGCAAAGCTTATAGAGATTCACGCTTTGAAGAAGGTTTGCTTTCTCCGAGCCTTTTGTAAAACAAATGGTGTTCAAGTTCATCAGAGAGATTATGAATTTGAAAGTGAAAATAAGATTTTCTCTCCTGAAGATATTTTGATGTTTTATCCCTTAGTCAAAATTTCATCAACAAAGTCTAACTACGCCGATTGTCTGGTTGGTCTCTGCCGTAAGGAGCTAGGCGCAAGAAATTGGAATTTGGCTCATCATTATATCAAATATGCTATACTCATTAACAAGGAAATATACGGTCCAATCCACATCGATTTGTCCATATGCTATCGAATTCTTGCGATGATATGTTTTTTAACTGAAAACTTTCATCAAGCCATTATATCTCAAAGAGATGCTCTGATGCTCATCGAAAAAGTTAAAGCTCACGATGATCCAACACTGGCCCAGGAGTTTCAGTTGGCTGGCGTTTTTCATTTTGCTCAAAATATGTTTGAAGAGTCTATGCATTCCCTGTTCAGAGCTCGTCAAATTTTCTATTTGTCATCACCGTCCTTGAGACCTCATCCAATGATTGGAAAGATAGATTTTTGTTTGGGCGTAATCTTTTTACAAGTTGGTGATATTAAACGTGCTCTTTTACACTTACGAACGTCCGTTAGAAATCTTCAAAATTGTGGAAAGAACACAACTAGTAAATCATTGATATGTCAGCAAATGATTGCCTATTGCTATTTACTATCGTTGGATTATGAAAATTGTAAAATAGAACAAGAAAGATTGAACAAGCTATTGAGGGAAACCGAGTCGTTTCATGCTTGGCCAGTCTTTGAAATTGAAAATTGCGTTAATGACCTCCAAAAGGAACAGAAAAGGCGACTGGAAGTTAGGGGAAACCCCAATATGGCTTTTACTGAAATATTGGAAATCACCTCGGGTCGGCTACGGTTGGATCGAGTGTATATGTTAAACTTGATTGCGTTCGTAAGTGACATTGAAAGACGTGAAGCGTAAGTACATTTAAGTATTTAAACATTGAGCTAAATTCGTTTTTATTTCTAGAACGCCTCTACCAAGATTTCCGGAAAAACTTAATCTAGAAGAATGGCCGCTGAAAAGTATGTACTTTACAGAAAGAAGAGGTCCATAAACCTCCATTTACAATTGGTTTTCTTATGACCTCTGTGACTTAAACTTGTAAATGAACTAGAATGGAGGTATTTTACGTCTTTTTTCAAAGCGCCATCTCGTTTACAGATGGTACAACTATCGCCATTTGCTCATTGGTCTTGGAGTCTGCATAATGAGCTTTGATTAATTAATATATTCTTGATAACTTATGATTATACAGTTGTTTTGTTTAATGCTATGCCTGTGAATGACTTTTAAATATATTAGTATATATATATGAAAATTCTGATTTAAGGTGATTTAAATGGATCATTTTAGTTTGAATTAAATTAATTGTAATATTGGATTATGAATTTACTTGAGAAACAACTTTAAATTGATCTTTGACTAAGATTTTAAAGTTTTTTTGAGTGGTTACAGTTTCGAAAGTTACTGTAGCATATTAAGTGTAACATCCTAATTATTTTTTGATAAATATTTAATGCATATCCTTACATTTTAATTCTATCTTTATCATTAATAAAATATGTAAAAATTGTTTTTATAACTTATTGTAAAATTCTAGTTACAGATTATCATAAATGTATCTTCTGTAAGATGAAATAGTTTACATATAATAGAAATTTGTGAGTTATGCTAAAGAGTTGGTCTCTCATCGTAAAGAGAGAGACAGAGGTCAGTTTCAATAACACGAACTCTACAAAGATACTTACTGTAAAAATGTAGATAGATAAAAAAAATCCGTTTCATACGTAGTAAAAGAATAAAAAATCCGTATTTCAAATACAGGGCAATGTTATAAAAAGAATCATCAAATGGTACTTTTTAATAAAAGCTTTGTATTTCAATCCTTTCCAGTCGTATAATTTCGTATAATAATTAAATGCTTGTTAATTTCTCAATAATTGTTAACACTAGTTTGAATTGGAGATCTTTTATGAAAAAAAGACAGAAAGATGTATTTCGTATATTTAAAAATTTGTCTTGTCAACAATTTATGTGATTTTAAAAATAGCCTTTCCGATAAGAGAACTATTCTGTATTCCAATTGTTATTTGCTAAGCGTAGCCTGAGTTTACGACGAACAAATTATTACCTAAAAGGAAACGGGGGAATTATTTATTTGGAGGGGGACGGAGAGAGTCGGTTTAATGACTAATTTATTCCCAAGAGATAAATATGAGGAGTGGGAGGAGGGGGAGGCGGATGATAAAATATTACTCTATTCTAGGTAAGTTTATGAAAGCACTCTAACTAAACCAAATAATCTAAAATGAGCATATCTTGTAATCGATTTCGACACGTAAAACTTACACCAGCTCAAGCCCTACGTCAATCCTGTAAACATCTGGCTGAAAAATTGCTTGCTAAGCAATTTTAACAGTTTGGAAAAAATTCGGGAAACGTTTGATTTTTTATCCAAAATAGATATGAAATTTTAAGATAAAGAGTTTCATTAGTCAATGTACTTTATTGTTTTTATACCCTTACCAATCCAAATGTTATTTATGCATACATCTTTCCCAAAGCTTGAGGGTATCTTTTATGGTTTGTAATTGTTTATTTTAGCTTTACTTATTTGCATTCTGCGTAGTTCATAGTCTTTCTTAATTGAAACACTAAGTATAGTTTACCGACCAGATGAAGAAAAGAGGCTAGATCTTCAGAGTGAGCAAGGAGAGAGAGAGAGATTGAAAGTGGAGGCTTGTCTAAACAACGGTATATATCGACAGACATATGAGCGCGTATTTTTTTGGATGAATGTTTTCGATGCTGTAAATTTGGTTGCCACCTTTACTAAACGGTTTTCGAAAGAAAAGTGAAATACAAACATCGAAAACACTCATTGTACAACTTTATTGTGTTCTTTTTTACTTCAGAATAATAGATAAATAAAACGGAAATTCTCTTAAATAACCCTATTATTCACTTTTTTCCCGATGAGAATTCAAAATTCGCATAAATATACCCTTTAAAACGTGTTTGTCATGAATAAAGTCAAATAGGTGAATCATACTATTAAAGGAAATTCCATCGCTTGGAGAGAGACTCCAGAGAGATTTTTTAGGCTTATTTTATTGTATGATGTTGAATCACAGACTAAAAAGTGATGACTCAGGATGTATTGAAGGCATATTGACGTAATATGTAAACGATGGTTAAAAATAGCCGGGCTGTCAATTTAGCACCATATGTGGGACAGAGAGAAAAAGAAGGAAAGAAAGAAAGAAAGAAAGAGAGAAGGATTGATAGATAGGCAGCTAGCTAGATAGAGCTTTGAAAAAGGAAACTAACATTTATCTTTGTTTATCTTAGCGTGTAAATGATGTTGTTTGAGCAATTGTTTCCTACTATACAAACATTTTGATAAATATTAAATTAATTGATAGGTGAGGCGTGACAGAAACAAACGTATGTAGTATGCAGATAGATAGAAAGAAAGGAAGAAAGGAAGCAAATGTATATATCTATATATATACAGTATATGCATGTATGAACGAACGAATGAATGAATGAATGAATGAATGAACAAATGAACAAACGAAGCGAAGAAATAGAATTTAAAAATATTAAATTATTTTTAAGTTAGCAAGCTTCATTGAGATACTATGGTTCGTTAATAAAGTCTAAAACGTCTATAAACCAGCACATATAATCCCGTTTTCTCTTAAACTCCGCCTTTACGACCACGTTATCAATTTGGACGGCTGCTCTCTGAGTTTTCATTTGAACGGGAGGATAAAATTTAAACTTGTGCTCCGATACTAGACCTAAAAAGGTGAAAGACAGAAAGAACGAACGAATGAATGAATGAATGAATAATTAATGTTTTTAAAATGAAAAAAAATACTAACCAAGAAGCCCTCCAATTTTCTCGTCAACACTTTCTTTACCATTTAATAGGTCAAAATAAAAATTTAAATAAGATAAATCCGATTCAGCTATTCTCACAACTCTCATCTTTAAACTTCTCCCTTTTCCTTCAACATTGATATGAATCGTTTGACCATTTAAAGTAAAAGTAAAGCCATTAATATCGGTTTTTAATTCTCTATCGAGCCATTTAATATTCGTCAAGTTGTTTTTGGCGATGGAGTCCGGGGTAATTGTTATATTGGTATTTGTATAACAAATTTGCATTTCACTGATTGTCTTAGAACTCCCATATTTGGCATAAACTTTAAATCCTGTATTTTATTCGAAACATATATGCAAAGTATACTTTAAGGTGTCTATAAATATACTAATATATCTAAAAGCTACACTATATATATATAAATATAGCAAGTCATTGTTTTGTTCTCTGCGACAAAACACCAGACAGACATATGATTAAACTTTTCCTACTCACCCAACTCTTTGTCACTCGCGATCATGATTCTTTGACCCAATTTTCCATGATAATGATAGCAAATCTTATGATCTGTATCACCATCGAAAACCGTCTGAGTTATATCAAAGTACTCGGCACCTGTGCATAAGAAAGGGAGACGTAAGTGTTTGGCGAAGAGGAAGGAGAATTGAAAACAGAGAAAGAGAGAGAGAGAGGAAATGTGTGTGCGTGTGTGTGTATGTGTGTTAGAACTAGTGCTATCGAATTGTTTAAGTGTAGATATTTTTGATGCTATTGAAAATAAGAGGAGAAAATAATAAAGAAAGACAGAGAGAGAGAGAGATATCTAAACCTTGCTAGAGAAAGCGAAAAACGTCATCTGTTATTCAACTCACCACGAACAATTACGCATAAGGATATTATAGAGAGGCCGACAGCGGCAGCAGTAGCACAACGAAGTGACATCCTCCTTCAACGATAAATGACTAACTCGAGGGTTAAGGTGGAAAAGACTTGTCTGTAAGATTTTGAGTAGTTTCTCGCCAATTAATATTAAAAGTAAAAAATGAGTATTAAAGAATAAAAAATAAAAGAGTCATTTGCTTTTTTGGTAATCGACATTTTTCAAAGTTTTTATTCGAGAGAAAACAAAAACACAGTCAAATTACATCTATTTTTCTTAAAAACGGAGCAAGTAGGTTGTTTAATAATTCTTTTTTTGGGTATTTTTCTTATATCTACGGCTAAACACGACCTATAGCTTAGAAATAAACGTTTTACATATAATTCTTGAAAAATAAACATCAATTTAAGTCAATATTAGAGATTGAACATAATAAAAAATTAGTACATTATAATAAAACTTATCAAAGTTTTATCGGAAGTGTCGTACGTAACATTTGATAATTAAACAAGTACATGCAAACTTTTACCAAGATTTAATAAGTCCAATGCATATTGAGGCACTGCAACACACCTCAATATAACAACCTGCACTGGAAATTAAGCAAAAACATTATTTTGGGATTAAACGCAGAGCGTTTTTAAAATGCAATACATTCGAAAAAAAATAATAGAAATCAAGTCAATCATTTAAACATTACAAAAAAAATCGAATAGCAAAAAAAAAAAATTTCAGAGGGGCCGCTTAAAAACGGGGGTAGATCGACAAGTGGGAGAAAGATTAGATTATAGATCAATAATCTTAAAATCCTTCCCGCAAAATACGCATTCAGCGTCTTCAAGTCAGTTAGCTCCTGATATAGCAGTCAAGCAAAATATCGAAAAACGGAACGAGATACACATCAATCGTTCGAGAGCAAGTCGACTCGGAATAAATGACCAAAAACCCAGATTGGTCGGTTCGATCTAAGCTTCCAAGCGGCGCAGAAAAATACATTTAAACAAATACAATTCAGTACATTCAAAAATCAATAATCAAAATACATATAAATTCATTTCATTTCGATATTTTTCGATACAGCATATTTAACTTACATCTTGCATGAGTTAATATTGTTTGGGCAAACTAATCGTTTATCGGAAAAGAACATATCACAACTGGATGATCTGATCAGAGACATAATTAAATATACGTTCAATAATATAATTATGTCTTTTTGGAAACGTTCTAAATTTTAAAAATATTTAAAGTAACATATTTGACGTTGTAGTCAGTCATCATCAAAAAATAAGCAGACGATGAATGAAAAAAGAGTAACAACAAAAAATTAAGAGCTCTTTTTTTTGCAACTAAATTGGTATAGAGGACCAACAAGAAAATTATAGTTCCCGACACTAAGTATTAGTACTAAGATAACTTTCCATTTGAAACAAAAAATAAATAACTCTTTTAAACGCACGAGATTTATCTTAAATTACAGTCGATTTACTAACCGGCAAAAAGTAAAGGCAAAGAACAAGATTACCTTTTGCTAGTAGACGACCATAGAAATTGTTCAAATTTTTAAAAAGGTATGAATCTAAGTTTCTTACAAAAGTTTATGATTTTTTTTTCCTAGTCATTATAAAGCTATTTTTTTTGGTTTTTTTTTGCTATATAATTTAATTCCAACATTTCGTCGAATATTCAAAGAATAATTAAAAAAAATATTCGGTTCGATGCAACAGAAACGATCACATTTTATCATTACAAAAATTAGTTAGGTGAGAAACGAAAATTATTAATTTTTTTTCTGTTTTTTTTTCTGTTCTAAGTTTTAACTTTTAAAAACTAATTTAAATTTTTTTGTTACAAGTCTAATTATAGACTTCTTTCACTGTGCTAATTGGGAGATTTAGTGATTTTTTTGGTTTTAAATTTTCTAGATATAGTTAAAAATAATCTCTTTAGCAATGGCTCGGATCGAACGACTAGTCGTAATAGTAGAAAAACAAACAAACAAAATTACTAATTTTTGCACGTGCTCTCCGTCAGAGGTAATTCCTCTGCATTCGCAAATAGCCGTCGAAAGCATTTTCGATGCTCTCTTCATCCAATCCCCATTCTTCTAAAGAATATTCATGCTTACCAAACTTATGCTGCGAATTTTCATCCAAGAACTTCTGATGTTTCGCAAAATCGTCGTCGCTGTAGTCCAAGTCCAATTCGTTGTAGATCAACTTTATGTACTTGATTGGATCTTCAATCAACGATTCGTAGTCTATATCGACGCAGTGCAGCTCTGTATTCGCCCTTGTGTCGGCTGCCGTGTTGGCTGCGTTGACTAGATGTTGGTAGCTATTTCGACCCAGTTCATTCTTCGAAAGCTTGTTTACCCCCATCACTCGTGAAGCCGAAAGTTCTAGTGAACAGAATGAAGGTACTATCTCGTCTAAATTTCGGTGAGTCCAAACGAACATTGCCTCAGGAAATACCGCTTTAACCGAGGCCAGATGAAAGAGATGAATGCGCGATTTTAATATAAACGCCCAAGGATTTAACTTTTGCTTATAGCTCATTACTTGCAATTGTAGTTTGTAATATTCATATCTCTCTTTCATCTGGTCCAAGTTCTGTTTGCAGAACCAAGAGGCATACTCCCGAGTGTCGTCGAACTGTGCCGGAAAGTCACCGAATATACCGCATCTATTTAATAGTACCTCACACTCCTCAGCCATGTACGGTCCTTGGTCGTGTTTCTTCCTAAAGTCCGGCGACGACCTCTCTATATACTTTAGGATATCTTGAACCATATCTATCGTGTCCCGGCTATCTTTTCGAGTCGGATACAATACTTCCCATTGGAGTGGAGCCTTTAGCCTATCGTCCTGCGACAAAAGCCTATGGAGTAGAGTCGTCCCACTTCTTGGTAGGCCTATTATAAAAATTGGCCTTACAATCTTGAACTTGAAAAAAGACAATGAATGTTTAATTACAACTACTCAAAAACAGGTGTAGAGTTAGACGTGTTAAGCCACGTGTAGTAAAGAAAAAGAACACTTACCCTCATAGCCAATGGGTTTTCTTTCACGTATTTCGAAATTTCCACTTTTGAGTCCAGTAATTTCTGGAGACGCTTAATTATTGATACGCTACCTAAGAAACCCAGTTGCTTTTTCATACGCCGGAAACATTTCAATAGTACGTCGAAACCTTCGTCCCATTCTTCCAGACGACCAGAATTTCCATCGACAATTGCTTTTTTCGAAATTCTTTGAAGGCTCATACCAAAACTTTCCAGCACTCGGTTCAGGAACGACGCAAGCCCGATCAAGAGAACTCCCGAATTAGACATGGCTTCTCTCGGTCTGAGGCTGAACTGATTACTGCCGCATTGGCCGCCGCCTTATATACTTTTCGTTGAGTAGTAAACCGGTCAAATTTTTATATAGATTCTATACTGAAAGCTTGCCAAAATTTTTTCAAACCGTTAAAATCTAATTAATTAGTCCTATTTAAATGGTAAAAAAATGACTTTTTTATTCTATGACGTCATCAATTTTTAACGTCACACATTCATAAAAAAGTATATATTGGCTTCCGCTTATTATATATATATATGAAATAAAGCTGTATATTAAATATAAATATAAATATAACATTTTAAATCAATACCTTTTAAATAGTTTCAGAAAAAAGAGAATTTTTGACCATTTTTATAACATAAATCAGTGTATTTGCACTCATACACGCTTATACGATCGAAAAATATATATTAGGGCGATGAATTCTTACAATTTATACTTTATAAGATAAGTTTTACATAAAGGAGAGAAAAAAAAACAATAGAAAGGTAATAAGTATAGACATTTAATTCACAGACTAAGCCTATTATCGTCCAGATGATTATATCTTGCGTTTACCAGTTGAAATGACTATATTATACGACATTTTTTTAAAACAAAATTACACAACACCTTTTTAAAGTTGTTTATGTTTATTTGTTTGTTTGTTTTGGAAAATAAATAATGTTTAAAAACAAATATATGAATATAAAATTATAATTCTATAATAATTTTCACTTTATAAATATTGCTGTTTTTTTCTCTCTTTTTTTTTTTGACGTATGTTTGCAGCTGTCACATTAAATATGATAATAATTTAGTATTAATGTAATTTGACCCAAAAAGAGGATAATGATTTTCTTTTAAAATATTTTTTTTTAAAAAAAAAATTAAAATTTTAAAAGTTAATAATCACAATTTACCATATTATATACTTTTCTATGTTTTAAATAGTTTAGAGAGAATGTATTATTTAAAGAAATGTTTTTCAGTGTTGAAGAGAAAGGAAGAGGTGACGAATTGTCCTCTCCCTCCCCCTCCGCCCCCTCCCTTTCTACTTGTGGATAAAATAAATATTCATCGCCCCTCTATTATAACAACCTTTTCAAAGGACGATTTTAATTTTTAAAAATATAATTAGATGAAAAACCCCAAGATTAGTTTAAAACGTAAAGATATTCTTATTGTTTTCCTCTTCCGCTTTCTTTCATTCCATATTTATTATGTTTCGTAGTTTGGCAGTTGATCTTTCAGTCTGCAGACAATTTCTTCGTAAAATCTTATCTGCTCCTTGATAAAACCGTGCATTAAAATCCGAAAATCGGCAACGCGATGTCTATGGAAGTGATTTAGCTCGGCTAAGGTGGCATAGGTAATCACATCCGCTCTTGTCCTTGCCGATTCTAATTCGATTTCTTTTGCTTTAACAGTTTCTAACTTTTGTCTTAAATTCTGAAAAAGAAAGAATAAGAAATAATATTATTAATTTTCATAATTTTGTTTAACGAAAAAATTCTGAAAGGCCGATTTAAAAAATAAAACGACATGGGGTTTTTCTTTTTTTTTTGTTCAAATACATACACATATTGATAAATATATCGATTAATACAAAAGGTGTATACATTTTATATACTGTATGTGAATATGACTACTTTATCAGATGCAATATATTGTGTATGTCAACAAGAGTCAAGAGTAACACCTTACAAACGAATCATGCGTTTTGTGCACAATTTCATGATTAATCTTTGCCCGAGGATAAGACCGTCAACTCGGAAGTGAAAAATGATGTCTGTTTTGTAATGGAGTAACAAGAACAACATTACGCACTAACACTCTCAATGAATCAAACAGCCGACATACTGCAACATTCTAAAATAGCTATGCACTCTCATTCCGTTAGTGTTATAAATAATAGACTGTTATTAATGCCTTTCCATAAATACAAGCATATTCGCCTAGGCTAACTTAGTACACATAAACTAGACTTCTAGGATTTACGGAAACGTCTAAACTTTTTTTTTCTAATTCTACAAAGTCAGCAAAAACTGCAAAACCCTCTCCTCACACCACCACCGCAGCCCCCCTCCCTGCTTACATCCAAAATTGTAGGACGTCCCATTGGGAATAAAAAACAGTTTAAAAAAAGATCTAGACAGCAAAAAAATTCTAACGAGTAGTAGTTATTGAAAGATGCTCAAAAACAACTTTTTACTTGAGTTCCTCTTTGTTTAGCGTTTGCTCTCATTTTCTACCTGATTAGTTGTCTAATTAATTTTTTAAGTAAGACAGACAGCCGAATAAAAAATTGTTTCTTTAGAAATAAAAAAAAAATTAACCTATTGTTCCTATTTATGGAGAATGAGAAAAATTAATAGAAAACATCTATGGCCAATTTGTTCTATTATAATATAATTAAGCTAACTGTTATATAAGATCTCTATAGAATATTTAACTAGATGTTTCATTTTTACCGGCTAATGGTTTTGTTCCCTGAGGTAGGTTGGCAGCTGTGTTAAGTCTTGGGCATATTTCATATAAATTATCTCATCTACCTTTGTTTACAATTTATAAACTAGATATTATTCGACAAGGACCCACGCAAACATACCAATAGCCAGATGCACATGAGTAATAAATAATAAACAAACAGCGAGTGCAGACTACTTTTTCTAAGTATCACTATCCGTTTACATTGGACACTCTTCCGGTACACATAAATATGTATATATATACTGTATAAATGTATATAACAACGTCTATTATACATTATAAGGGGTCTGGGCGAAAGAAGGACGAGGAGAGAGTGGCGGGGAAGAAGCTGGTGAGTTACACGGAGATAGTTCAAACTGTAGAAGCCAAAAAGGCTGATTTGGCGAGGTAAACGTGCACGCCAACGTCACCCTTGCATGCTAGAGATAATACAGACGATCATTAAAACCTTATCCCTATTTATAAATATGTTTGTTACTTTTTTTTCTCAACAAGACCTCTATTTCATTGTTACTGTTGTTGCTATCGTTTCTAATCTTTTTGATAAATTACTATTTATAATTAAAAAAAAACAAAACTTTAATAAAGTTTCAAACTAATGATAAAAGAGTTAAAAAGAAATAGAAAATAAACAGGAAATAGAGCAACGTCATTACTATAATAAATAATAGAATGCATATTGCAGTATTAATAAATTTTTGGACATGAATTAATAATGATAATAATAAAAATAACTACTAGAACATATGTTGATATTTGTTTGTTTTTTTATTTTTTTTTCTACTTCCGGTGAATTATTGCGTCTAAATTACCACTTAAAAAGAGAAATTTTAAAAATTAAAAGCTAACATATAAAACTCTATATCCCTATTGGATAAAAATAAAAAGAAAATGATAAAACATTATGTTAAATTATTTAAATATATACATATTAATTTAAATATTGTATATATACATTATACTGTATATAAATTTTATATACAGTATATATAAGTATGTATACGTATATATTTTATGTGCTTTTCTACTAGTCAGCGGATACAAGGGTACCGATAGAGTGTCCTTAGATTTGTTTAATGTTTAAAAAAATTTCCTCCATTGCACCCGCTGTTTGAAGTATTGGTTAAATATACTGAAAAAAAAGAAAAAGATATTTTAATACCTCCTCTACTCGCAATATATCGGGGAAAACGGATAACATTCCTTTGTATTCTAATAAACCTTCTAAAAGTGGCACCATATCATTTCTCGGCTAAAACACAACGAAAATGAATTTAATTAAATTAACAGAAACCATGAGAGAGAGAGAGAGAGAGAGAGAAAGAAGCAAAAACCTGCTCGCCGAAAAGACCTCCAATGTCTTCGTATGTTTTTCCTGTCTTATCTATTGCGTTGGACAATTCTCTCGACGCTTTTATATTTTTTTTTTAAATAGAAAATTAAATAAAAGAGAAATTAATTTCGTACAAAAAAGGAAACAAAACAATAAAACTTACCTGGTCTCATATCGTGATCGAACGATCTTGATAGAGCTACCAAAGATTCGCCAATTTTTACAAAGTCCTTTCTAAACGCTAATTAATTAAAACAAATAAATAATAGAAAAGCTTAAAGTACCATATTATAAAAAGACCCTTACAATTTTGATATCTTTTCATACTACTTTCACCAACGTTTATCAGATGTTTTAGGCTATCATCCATTGTCTTAACAAACATAGTGAAGTTATTTAATGTTGGATCTCTGCCAAAAAGTTAAAAATTGTAGGGCATTAAGGGCTATATTTAAGGATGTTAAATAATGAAAAACATACACTTGTTCTACCGTGAGAGGCTGAGAAGGTACACCCACAGTATGAAAGAAATTTACATTTTGAAAGTCGTCTTTTTCAGCTGATCTCTTTCCCGTCTTCCATACTTTTAGATCCGTACATTTTAAGAAATGATGCCAAACTTTGCATTGCGATATGACTGGATGTAAACACAACCTATTCACCCATAATTGTAATTGACGCATTCGTTCATTGATAAAATCATCTTCATAACGTCCTTAAAAAAAGAAAATTATGCATTAGGGCGCACTCTAACGGAGTGTAATTGTATTGATGGTCGATGCACTTAAATCTTTGTTAAATTGTACATTATATAATATAATCATTTGAAATATACCTGATATCTGTTTATCGGGTAATGGAGGAACAAGACAAGTTGGAAACTTTTCGATTAGGCGTTGATGTAGCCAATCGAACTGTTTAAAACGTCTTGAAACTTGAATTCCACTAAACTAAAAACATTATGAAAGAAAGAAAATTAAACTTTTATCATCCAATTCTAAATCATAAAAAGTGAACAAGAGTGAGAAGAGAGTAATTAAAGAAAAAACAAAAAAAAAACAGAGCAACAATTATCAGAAGAGTAATTAATAAAAGCGTAGGATATAATTTCTTATTGTTGTCGATTTAATTAAATCAATGAAATTGTAAGCTAATAGAGTGTTGATTAATTTAAAATAGTAAATTATAACAATAATAATAGATGGATAAATAGATAAAGATCAAAATAATTCGAAAGGAAAGAAATGTTTCTTATATTCTTCGTTTATTCATTAATTTTCTTTCGTGTTTTGTGTTTTTTTGCTTTTTTAAGTTAGAATTTTCCAAAAAAAAAAAAGTTTAATGAATATTTACCTCTCCTGTCTATAAATTTGTTTTTGTTATTGTTTTTGGATATTTGAAAATAAAAAAAAAAAGAAAAACAAAATAGAGAAAATAGAAAAAAAAAGAGAAAAAAATATTTTTTTGTTATAGTTAAAAGAAAAAAGAAAAAAAAAACCATTCAATTATTTCAATTAATTTATAAAGATAATACGTACATTTGCAGATGGTGTTAATTTATAGGCGATAAAATGTTTTAGCCCCTTCATTTTACTCTCTTTTGTTGGTGATGATATAATACACGTATATTGATTTGCAGGTTCTTCCCACATAGGGCCTTCTATTGAATGCTATAGTATTGATAAAATATTTAATTATAAGGCAAAATTTGTGCAATAAATACTCCATATATAGATATTATATATACATATACATATACGTATGTATTACTTCAAACATACCACTATTCTATGATTGATTTCATGCGATGTATCAGGAACAGCACCAAACAAATAGGCGTCGCCACCTTTCAAGTTCGCTCTATATTGTAATTAAAGAGAAACAATTTTTTATAAAGCAAACATATTAAAGAGAAAATAAAACAAGAAAGAAAGAAAATGATAAACAAAAGAATAAGTGAGAAAAGGAAATGAAAGAGTTTTAATCGAGGGAGAGGAGGGAGAATTTATAAATTTATTTATAAAATGATTAATTCGTTTTTTAAATGGTTTACTTACTTATTCATTTTTTTACTAATTGTGCCATACTTCGAATCTCTTGATACCCCTGATACGCTATATTGACTTTGAGTGTCCGCCTGTGACTTTTTAAAAAAAAGAAAAATGATGAAAGTACGAATCAAGAACATAAAGGTCAAAAGAAGAAAAAAGGCAGTCAAAGCATTGGAATAGTTTATTGGTAGGAGAAAGAAGATAATCGTCAAATAGTAGTGAATATTATCTTATTGTAATTTTTTTCTTTTTCTCTCCTTACTAAATCGCGCTATTCCATTCAATTAACATTTAAATAGCGTATAATTTAATATATAACGCGTAAAAAACAAAATGAATATTTAAGCTTAATAAATTAACATGTAGATATTTCCAGTTCATTTACTAGAATATTAATTTTTTATTAATATCAAGTTCAAAGGTATAAATAACCTATTAGTTTTAAAGTGTTAATACATTTAATTAACATAAGGGAATATGTACAGTATCTGAGCTTTATTTTAATATTTTCTCTACAGCAAATGAACTAGATAAATACAGTATATATTGTATATACTGCAGATGTGAATTATGATAGATAGCTGTATAAATATAATTTTGAATAATCATAAAGACAATATTAACTTGTTCACCTGCAAAGTATTTCGCTGTAAAATTTTACATATAGTTTATGCTAAATTTATAATCTTGTAATAAAATAAAATTAATAGAATACCTGTGTATGATCAGTTGATACTGAATCATCGTCATCCCAATCTTCATCTTCGTCCCAATCGTCGTTTGGTGTTAATATTGGTTTTGGAGGAGAGTTCTGTTGAGCTGGAGGCTGATATCCCTGCTGTTGTTGACCTTTTGTGATAAGGAAAGAAAGAGTTAACTATCTGTTAATTGTTGAAAAATAATAAAACTTGAAGAGAAATAGTAAAAAAAAAACATATAACAATATTCAATTTTTGAAAAAACTAAGAGGAGAAGATAGATACGCTTTTACAAAAACTAAAAGCACAAGTTAAAATGTGACAAGACAAACTATAAAAAAAAGGAGAAAATAAATCATTTAGATAACTATACAGATAAAAATTAAGGAAAGCAAAGCTAAAATAAAAATGAAATTATGATGAGATAATTAATCAGAAAGCTTTTTTTTTTTTACAACGAAGATACGTTTGTTTCTTTTTTTTTTATAACAACAGCATCTCTTTACCATAGTTGGGTACTACGCGATTTGTTTGAATTGTATCAGGACGGGGTCTAGGTGGTGGATATGTAGGTGTACCCCATCTGTGATTAGCTGTGGTTTTACTGGCTGAATAATTATAGGAATTTATGAATAATCATAGGATAAGATATCATAGCAATAAAAAAAAAATCACTCATTTCCTTATCAGGCTTTCGAACGTAAATGTTCGTACTCGTATACTAATGAGGAGTTCACACTTAAAATATCCTTACCATCACTCCATTGATTTTGAAATGAATTATTTTGAGGAGGTGGTAGTGGGGGTGGAGGTACCCTGGGCTCGGGATATTCTATAGTCTGTATAAGAGAAAAAAAGTAGAAATAGCGTAAATAAATCAATGTCAAAGAGAGAAAATTTTGGGTAAATGTAATTAAATTCCCGATTGATAGAAGATAAACACAAATGACAATTACTAATTAATAGATATGGCAACTGTTTAAACAAAATTAAAGTAAATTATGCAGTTTTCTTCAAACAGTATAAAGTGATATAGAGATTTCGATAAACAATTAAAGCTAAATTTCTAATAGTTCTTAATCTTAAAAAGCTTTTATATTTTATCTAATCAATAAACTTAAAGAGAATATCGAAAGAAATCGAAGTAATAAGAGTTTGAAGATTATTACAATTAAATATCAATTGTTATTTACTTTTATTGTTACACTTAAAATAGAATTATAATTGTATATAACTTACTTCAATATAACTCTTTGGCGCTAAACCAACAGTACCATTGGATTTTCGAACATCACACCAGCCATCTCCAACCGACTAATTGCATTAAAAAATCGTTAAGTATTGTTTTTTATTACATTAAATCTCTATTAAATTTATATATATATATATATATATATACAGTATAAAAGTATAAATCTACCTCCTTAACAATTGTTATCTCCTCTCCAACTGTTAAAGATACCTCTCCTTCACCAATTGGTCGGAAATCGTATAGAACCCGGGCCTAATAAAATTAAAATAATATAAAACTCTCTATACTATACAATAAGAAACATTATGTCGACTGTCTAAAAATAAAGTCAAATTTTAGTATTGAAGGTCTTCGTTTTAATAAAAAAAAAGAAATAAGAATGTTATTTGTAAACATGCAAAAATATACATTTGTACAAGTTTATTATTTTTATTTTGCTATCGAATAATACTAATCTATGAAACAGATTAGACAACAGGCGCACTTCTCCTTACCAATATTCCGTTGTTAAACATTTCTATTGTTTATCTTCAATGTTGATAAACTGTTGAAGACAATTCAAATGTATCTTGTCATTTAACTCTTAGAAAGACGGTTCTATTCAAATTGGATTTATTAATATTGGTAATGCTTCAATTGAACTCGTTTTAGTCTCGGCGACGTTTTCTTCTTTAGTACAGTAAAATTTTTTCATACTTCTCAATAGGGAACTCTTCATCCATATTTTTTTTTTTCTATACTATTACAATTTCTCGTACATCACATTAACATGAGTTTATCAGTAGATAAGACATACACTAGCTTTTCATCTAGAAATTTTCATATTTATTCATTGACAATATCCTATAATAATTTATCGTCATTGGGAAAAATATCACTTGAATTAAATTGATACGATGGGCGGGATGCGTGACGGAAGCAATCCAATCAGAAAGATTCAGATCATTAATATAATTTTCAAATAAAATGAATATAGAATTGTAAAACTGACACTTAATTAAATAATAATATTAAATCAATTTAATAAGAAGCATAGATTTACCTTTAGTTCATTCGCCATGACATTAAAAACCAACTACAAGCTTGGGGTTACCCAGTGCGAAATAAAATCGAGGCTGAGGAATTCCTTATTAGTTTCGTAAAAAGTTTAATAGTAAATTATAAAAGCCATTGTATTAATAATTAAATCTAGTTAAAATGTTCTTGTTCCATTTAGATGAATATTTTTTTTTACGAAAATACCGGAAGCGGAAGTTATAGTGAGGTGAGGACTGAAAACAGCTAAACCGACAACTCAGTTGTGCTAAGGCAGTAAATACTGTTGATCGCAAAAAGTACAAACGCAAACCATGATTAGAAAACTTTCATCAAACACTATTAGACAAGGAAACTTTATACAAAAGGTATTATAAAATAACTTTTATTTTCACGATTAAGAGGTAATTATTCTTAGTTTCTAAACATCAAACCTCAATCTTCGAGCTTTGTTACATCATCGATAAGAAAAAGTACTCAAAAAGAGGTAAATATATGGATCTCGTTAAAGTTCAGTAATAGCAAACATGTATATGATCATTTCATAGAAGTATTTGTGATGACAAGTTTGATTTGATAATTAAATGAAGTGTTGGAACGAGTAGTTATCTTTGAAAAGTTATACCGCGACCTAAAAGTTTATCACTTAAAATTGATAATACCTTTTTAATATATGTTAACTTTGACCTTAAGTTGCATAAGTCATTTTTTGTGTGTTACTATGTCATAAAAATATTGCCTATGACTAATACATCGCTAATTGATCGTCTTTGTGACGATATTTATTTTTTTCAACAGCAAGTTGAAGAGCAACAGGATAGGAATGAAGGGAACGAGCCATTTACGGAATTGGTAAGAGATTTCTTAGCGCCAGCAGATTTTTATACCCTTTTGAAAAAGTATGGAATGGACTTTTATTGTGGCGTTCCAGATTCTCTACTTAAAGGTAAATAATAATTTAATTCCGATAATGTATCAGATGGTAGTATGTTAAAAAGTGGAAGTATCGATTTTGAAAGTAGCTAATACACAACAAGCTGCAATTTTTCAGCTTTAATCGACGTTTAGTATTCTAACAAAAAATTATTTATGTACAGACTTTTGCGCGTATATTGCTAATAATTCGGATTCGAAGAAACATGTTATTACCTCAAATGAGGGAACAGCAGTTTCTCTAGCAGCTGGATATCATATGGCCACTAATAAATACGGTGTCGTTTATTTACAGGTGTGGAAGTCAGTTAATAGTTATTTATGGCATTTTCTAATTTTTCTTTTCCGATACAGAATTCTGGTTTAGGTAACATTATTAATCCCATAATGTCGTTAGCAACACCTTCTGTTTATAGTATTCCAATGTTAATACTTATTGGATGGAGAGGCGAACCAGGAAAGAGAGATGAACCGCAGCACAATGTTCAAGGAGCAGCTACGCCTGGTATTCTAGGTAAAGAAATATTATCAATATTCGTATATAAGATACAGAAGTTCTAAGATTTTCTACTTTCGCTTTGGCATTTATAAAAAGTAATCTTTTTGTTAAGCGTCCGTTGGAATACCTTTTCAACCTTTGCCTGACTATTTGGAAGGAGCTGAACATGTAGGTATCATTTTTGATTTGAGATGGCTTTTTAACATATTAAATAAATTTTATAAAAAAGAAAAGAATAAATATGAATAGACAAATTTTACACGTTGAATCAAGAAATATATGATTTTTTATATTTTTCAATAGGTTATCGAAACAGCTTGTCACCATATGGTCACTACGAAAAGTCCATACTGTTTGCTGGTAAAGAGACAAACATTTCTACCTTACCAGCTAAAATCTAAGAAGAAAAATGAATCGTAAGTTAGATTTTATTTTGTGATTTAAATTTTATTATATCTTCTTCATATTCGTTTTCTTTTTATATAGAGCTGTTCTTAACCGAGAAGAAGTAATAAAGTTAATTGCGGATCGAATAGGAGAGACCGATATTGTAGTTGGAACAACTGGAATGCTTTCTAGGGAACTTTATGAATATAGGTTGATGGAAAACAATTAAATAAAATAGCTTGATAAAAAAAAAAGAGAATATAATTATTTTCTTTTATATCTTTTTGTTTTTTTTTCAATAATTACAATGCGTTTTCTAATTTTAATCAAATGCAGAGATGCAAAAAATGAGGGACACGAAAGGGACTTTTATACTGTTGGCTCTATGGGTCACGCCTCTTCAATTGCCCTGGGAATTGCCATGCAAAAGCCACATCGTAACGTTTTCTGCTTGGATGGAGACGGAGCAGCTATCATGCATATGGGATCCTTAGCAACAGTTGGACAAAGTGGATGCAAAAATTATAAACATATTATATTTAATAACGGAGGTCATGATAGCGTAGGAGGACAGCCTTCAGATGCCTCTAGCGATTCATTTTCATTCACTCATATAGCTATGGGAAGTGGATATCGCGAAGTAAGACATATTTAAATACGTATATAATATATTGATTTCCATATTTATAGGTGTTTTTTTCTTTTTTCTTTTCTGATAACACTAGATGAAACAAACACACTAAATAATAATATGTCTTATAACGATTAATCAATCTATAATAATAATAATTAATAATTTGTTAACTAAAAATATTTATAAATCGGTAGTAGACTTTTTATTTTTATTAAAGAAATATTATTTTTTAATAATATCGTATTTTGTTTAATTTATAATATTGAATGAAAGATATTTTTATTTTATTTATTATTATATTTTTTTTCTCTATTTAAAGTAACTTTAGAAGTTGTTTTAAAAAAAAAATAAGATAGTGTAAAATTACATTCTGATGTAAATACTTAATTAAGAAAGAAAATCTATATTTTCATCTATTATTTTCTTTGCAACTAACTAAGGTGGAGTTATTAATAATGATGACAAATCTATAAATTTGATGATATTCTCTTCATAGATTATACATATTGTTTCCTTTTTTTTCCACATTAATAGGCGTGGGTTTCTACTACCGAAGAACAAATTATCAATTCAATTACGAGAATGATGCAACTTGACGGGCCAGTACTATGTGAAATTAAGTGTAAGATGGGGTCTAGAAAGGATTTGGGACGTCCTACGACAACACCATTAGAAAATAAGCATGATTTTATGAGATTTTTGAAAAATTATTAAATTGCAAACTATAAAAAAAAGGAAGATCTGGCATTATGAAGTGGTAGGATTTTTAAAAATGCTAAAAATAAAATGAATAAACGTAATTAAAAATATCTGAATTTTCCATACCAAACAGAAGGAATATTGAGCTTTGAAGAGGGTGTAACAAATTGAGAAGCATTTTTCTATTTTTTCTTGGGTCTAGCTAATTTTGTTTTTTCGCTACTTTAAAAACAAAAAAAAAGACAACTATTTCATTATGAAACTTTTATAGTTTCTATAATGCTTTAGTTAATTTCTTTTCTCGTACATTCTGCAAATTTACTTTAATATTTATCTCTTTTCTCTCTTTAAGTATTTTTGCTTTAATGAAAAATTTGAAAGAAAATAAAATACTCTAATAATAGTAAATTAAAGTTTTTCTTTTGTAGAATGTGTAAAAGGTTAAGCTAAGCTTACTCTGAGGTCGATAATCCCGTCTTGTCAAGGCGTAGTAGTACGTTTTATAGATAAAAGATTATTATTTTATGACCGTAGTCTTTTATTCTGGATTTTTCTTTCTAAGCACCGTTTTTATATAAATAATAATGAAAAATTCGGTTAATTCTAACTGTTATGAAAAGCATTTGTCTCCTCCCCTTTTCAATAGAGTCAATATTGGCTTTTGACAAATCAATCAAATTGGAATAGTGTTTCTTTATCATTGAAACTACTTGATTATTCTTTTGTTATTCATGAAATCGAATTATAGAATTACTTGTACACTTTACCTGGAATAGAAGTATACCAAGTTAAGTAATGTCTATTAAAGTATAGAACAGCTGAGGACTTTTCTTTTTTGTTTTTCTCTTTTTATTAGGAAGAAAGGAGAAAAGCTAGATAATAGACGCTTTTCTCTCTTCTTGTATCTATTGTTTTTTTTTTAACCACCTCCCTATTATAAACAAAACAAAATAACTAATTAATTTTTAATAATTAATTAATTAATAAAAGAAACATAAGTATTGTATTTACTTTGTTTCTTTTTGAGAACAGCAAGAAAGGGGAAGAGAGAAATATCATAAAAGAAAGAAAACAAATATGAACATCTTTATATTTAGAATATACTTGGAATTATCAAAAACCGATTATGCAAATTTTTTTTTTTATTAGATAAAACTAACACATCGACGAGCGTAAAAATATGCAGAACCTAATCGATTGTTTGAACTGTTCATTTGTCTTGTACGGGCGTTCTTAGATCAATTTCCCACTAGTTCAATCCTCACCCGTACGCACACATTATGTTTACCAGAGCGACAAAGCGCCTAGATTTTTACTTTTTCTCCCGCCAGTCGACGTCTAGGACGCACGACGTTACCACCTCGAAATATCTTTGTTATATTATATTCCTATCACTTTAGAGACGTTATGAGATTTCTTCAACTATTTATATCATTAATAATTATAGTATGTTCTTTGGGAGAAGAAATTAAATTGGCATTCTTCTGTCCCAAAAAGTTTTACTACTTTTGGAACGTTTCAACAAGTATAGGTGGATTAGCGGCCGCCGTTCAAAAAGTTGAAAATGATGCTAGTCTCTCTCCTACTAAATATATGTAAGTAAACATCATCATTATCTATCATCCTATTTATATATGTTTATATATACATACATATATATCTATATAGTGTAACGCAGTTTGTATATAAATTGTCTATTTTAGAACAAACGTTTAATAAATAATGAGAAAACTTTAGATGATATATTTAAAGACGACAATGAAGGGGTAATCTTTAAAAAAGTGAGAAAAGATGAACTAATATTTTACTTTTCTTCCCTCTCTCTCTCTCTCTCTCTCTCTCTCACAAAAAAGGCACCCAATATTAAAGACATAGATAAAATGTTCAATTTAGTCAATGAACTATGATGAAATGGAATTTTATAATTTTGGAATGGACACAGTCTCTTTCAAACACGTACTCTATTAGAATACATGTATTAAGCTAATTACGTTTGAGGAAAATGAACAGCGTAAAGTGGGGCTAGAACGTTTCATTATGATAATTAGGCGATAGAGTATGTAGAACTTTTATGTAAAAAAACAATATCCCTTTGCGTCTCTCTCGCTTTCTCTCTTCTCTAGCTAGTACTATTACTCCTTCCTCTGTTCTTTCTCTCTTTCTCTCTTTTGTGCCTATTCTAATAGTATATGAATGTCAAAACTTATATAATGGATATGGGAAGAACTGAGATTGTATTTTGTCCCCTTTTAATACCATATAATACATAGAATGCCATTTCTTTGATAAAAGAAAAGAGTTATGTTTATATTGAATAAATATTGAAACTAAAGTTTTCTTTTTCATTTTATTATATATTAATATATATAATATATTATATAGTTTATATTTTAGTTCATTTTTTTTTTAAAAAAAAAAAGATAAACACTTTTTCACGTTTTAAGATTACACTTCTTTGTATATAGAATGCAGTTTCGTCGCATCAATACTTTAGGTTAATTACTAGACAGTTGCCCTTCGATTACGAGTAATAATTTCTTGTTATATTTTACGTTATAATGATAACCCCAAAGTTGATAGGGGGAGGAACTGTTTGATAGGGTTACGATGGAAAGGACAACTAAAGAGCTGGAGGGGAATGGGCTGTTATAGGTTAATATAGTTTAGTTATCAATAATAATAATAATAGTAATAATAATTATGTATACACCCTAACACCTTTCTTAAGTTCAGCTGTAAGGAAAATTAGTTTTCGTGACAAAGCAGAACTTTGTTGGTTTACTGAAAATATTGAAATAACTCTGTCAATAAATCTCGATTACACAGAATTGAATGGAGAGATTCCAACTGTAATTCTAAATCTGCAATCGGCCAAGCATTTGACCTAATTGGTAGAGACAACTTCAAGCCTGATCTCATCGTTGGACCATCCTGTTCACCAGGTAAATAAATAGATCAAAGAAAACGTTTTCATTTCAATTTTACACTTATAGAAAGGGAATTTTTTGAAATATCAAATGTTTTGTTTAAGCGTCACTTCCTGTCTAGGCGTTAGATTTCTCATTCTTAAATTTGCATTATAAAACAATCATGTACTTTCTAACAAAATAGAATTTGGAGTGAGGGAAGAGAGACATATTGTAAACTTATTAAGAGGAAAGAGAAAGGAGAGAAATTGACAAGAGAAAGTATCATAGCTTCTTGACATTCATCCTCCCATACTCTATTTCTCTTTTCTCTTATTTCTTCATTTTCAATAAGACAAACAACACTTGAAAACAATAAATAGCGTACTCTTAGGACCGCTAATCAATTTGTACCTTTTAAGGTATGGATCCGGTGTCTCAGCTTGGCTCTCACCTTAACATACCGGTTTTTGGATGGATATCGAGCGATCCTTCACTGGAAGATAAGGAAAAGCATAACACCTTAGTCAGATTGTTGGGTCCGCTAAGTGTTCTAGGAGAGGGATTTATACAAACTTTTAATCTCTTCGGCTGGAAGAGGGCATTCTTAATTTCAACTATAGGACCAGACCATGGAGAAATGGGTCGCGGTGTTAAAAACGCATTTCAGAACAAGAAAAAGGACGGATTTGTTATAGCAAGATGGGAACAGGATGTCGAAGAGAAGGCTTCTTCAAGTGTAATAAGCGACATTTATGATAGAGTGAAAAGGGAAGCCAGGAGTGAGTTTATGAATCAATAATGCCTATACGTAGAATATTTTACTAATATTGACATTAGTTTATTTGATGAGCTGGTGTGAAAAATTTTTTTACTAAAACTAGGTCAATCAATTTTCCAGTTGTTATCTTGGCAATACCCAAAGACGACCTTCGATCTTGGATGTTGGGAGCCTACGATAAAGACATGACTAGCGGAGATTATGTTTTCATTTACGTCAACCAAGAATTACCTTCAAAGCGAGTGTGTAATAGATTTTATAAGAGTATCCTCTCTTCTTATCCCTTTTTGTAATCCATAAGGTGTTGGCCGATATTCAAAGTACTAGTTTCTGGGAAAAAGACGATGGAAGAGACTCAGCCGCGAGAGCCGCGTACGAAAATCTTTTTATTGTTAGTTCTACAAATTTTCTTCTGTCTATCTATTTACAGATTTGTCTATTTATTTATATATAAGCATAAACAAATATATATACATCTTTCTTTATTTTTCTTTACTTTTCCTCATCTCCTATATCAACTCTCTCATTCTCTCTCTCCTCTCATTCTCTTTCACTCCTCTCTATACTGTATATATATATATATACATTTTTTTGGGTTATTTCTTCATTCCCGTCTCTTATAGATTATACTAATCCTTTGTAAACATTTCTTTAGTTATACACGAAAACCTTGAACTTTAAAGAAACTGAGAAATTTGAAAGAGAATTTGTATCGGCAGCGAGTGGTGCAAGATGGAGTAAATTCAATCCAACTACCGTATGTATAGTTTTACCAATCATTCTCTTTTGTAATGATCAACTCTCTATAGCCTGATATCTATTCGTTCTTCTTGCACGATGCTATTATGGTTCACGCTAGATTGGCAACTTTAGTTGGTACCGTTTCGAATGGGAGAGAGATATTTGAAAGGGCCAAGAACTTCTACTATCCATCCGGAGCAACGGGAGACATTATGTTTGGTTCGTCGGCGGATAGAAATCCAGATTTTTGGCTATTCGATTTGGATTCAAATGGAAATTTTACAATCATAGCGCAAACTATTACTACTCAGGGTGGAGGACAAAGACAGATGGACATTCTTATAGAACCAAAATGGGGTGATGGTAAGAGAGGAGTAAACAACGCACCACCAGACGTACCATCGTGCGGCTTCGAAGATGAAAATTGCAGTTGGTGTTATTTGATTATTTTTGAGTTTTAATTGTCATTTTAATGATTCTAATAGACTTTGAATATAACAAACAGAAAGCTACTTATCCATAATAATACCATCAGTTGTGGGGGGTGTTATTCTGCTGGCTGCGATAATTGGTTTCTTAGTCTACAGGTTTGTAATTATTTAGAAAAAAAACAAACATGCTCTAAATGAAAGAAAGAGAGAGAGAGAGAGAGAGAGACAGAGAGAGAGGGAGAGAGAGAGGGAGGGAAAGAAAGAAGAAAAAAAGAGAAAGAAAATAGACTACTGTCCATAAGAAAAGATGTTTACTTTAGGTGTCAATAGACCTGTCCTATTCAATCGATTATTGATTATTATCGAATAGTCATCTTTCGTTTATTGTGTGAATTTTTTGTTAAATAGTAATATTTCCATTAGTTTTATTTACTAATATAAAACTTCGAATTGTAAAATAGACAATTCCGCTATGAAAGAGAAATTGCAAGCATGGTTTGGAAGTTGAATTATTCAGATTTGCATGTTTATACAACTGGGCACATTCCTGGAAGTCAGGTAATATATTTTAACTGGCATACTATATGATATATTTATCGAATTTCTATATACTTTAGCTTAATTTTCGAAGTTTGAGTACGAATCTTAGAAAATCAAGAGTTGGTTCGTCATCGATTGCCGAGACGATTGCAGGCCAAATATTTATTACAATAGCAAATTATAAAGGCAATCACGTGGCTATTAAGAATGTTAGGAAGAGTAGGATAAAGATAGAAAGAGATCTATTATTAGAGATGAAAAATATGAATGAATTAAAACATGGCAATTTAGCTCATTTTGTAGGAGCTTGTATAGATTCTCCAAATATTTGTTCTGTTTGGGAATATTGTACAAAAGGAAGTTTACAGGACGTTATTTATAACGAGAACATATCTTTGGACGATATGTTTAAATTTTCAATTGTTAACGACGTTCTAAGGGTTTAGTAATTTTTAAATTAGATTAAATTTAATGCTAATTAATTAACAAACAAAACAAACAGGGTCTCATCTACCTTCACGATTCTCCTATTAAATTTCATGGTAGATTAAAAAGTAGTAACGTCGTTATCGATGGTCGTTGGGCTTGTAAATTAACAGATTTTGGCCTTAGGAGATTCTTATACGGCGAAGAAGAAGATCCCGAAATAACTGAAGCCGCCATAAATGAAAGTAAGAGATCATTGTTATTATCGCCATTGCTACACCAATCCTTGTAATATCTTTAATGAATTATTAAGTAATTAATAGATTAGTATTATTGATAATCCTTTGGCTGGGAGCTAATAATCATATTCTTCATTTTCTGTATCAATTATCATGTGATAACGTCCATCCGTATTTCTCTTCTAGTTCTAATTTTATCATTAGTTTGTCAGAAGATATTTACACGTAATATTTTTCCTTGAAGTTTTCTCGAAAACAAACAAAACAGATCCAATATCTTTATTGATTTATAAATGCATATTTGAGCATTTTCCACAAACATTGACAAACTCTTTGATAGATTGGGAAATTTATTATCAATGTAACAATTAATTTTGATTATCTTTTCGTTTCCTCTCTCCGCAGAATTATGTTGGACTGCACCGGAAATATTAAGGAATGAATCGAATCTTAATTATTTGGCTGATATTTATGCCGTTGGGATCATAATGAAAGAGACTTTTTGCAGGAATAGTCCTTATACTGAATACGAACACGAATTCGATACTATACGTAATCATATATTGATAATAAACATTTGGAATAGAAAATAATTATTATTCATAATCGATTATCGTTATTTTCAGAGATTATTCAAAAGCTTAAAGAGGGAACTGATCCACCATTTAGGCCTAATTTGAACGATTTTAAAATAGAATCGGAAAAGAACGGTCTTGTTGATTTGATTGAGAGTTGTTGGACTGAAAGACCAACAGATAGGTCTAGCCTTTCTTATATACTAAAAACACTTGGAAAACTTAATCCTAATAAGTATGTACAAGAACTTTGTAGTATATCTATATTTCTATACTGTCTATATATTATCTAATACTCTATCTTTTCCATTCTCTCCTAAAACGATAATACAGAAAGGCCAACGTTATGGATAATATGATAGCTATGATGGAGAAGTATTCCAATCATTTGGAGGATTTAGTTGCAGAGAGGACAGTTCAGTTAGACGAGGAGAAAAAGAAAACGGAATCATTACTATATAGGATGCTTCCACAGTAAGTTTAATGAAAATAGAGAAAAGAAGTGAAAGAAAACTATTGTTTATAACCATAATATTTTTTCTTTTTAAAAAAACAGGAGTGTCGCTGATGAATTGAAAGTCGGAAAGCCTATACAAGCTGAATCTTTTGACTCGGTGACAATCTACTTTTCAGATATAGTCAGCTTTACAACTTTAGCTGCTGAAAGTACTCCTTTACAGGTAAATATTTGGATGATATCGCCTTTAGGTTAAAGGTATTACAAGTTCATTTTCTATTCAATTGATAGGTTGTCGATCTACTGAACGATCTATATACGCTGTTCGATGAGGCTATAAGCCAGCACGATGTATATAAAGTTGAAACTATTGGCGACGCTTATATGTTAGTTTCCGGCCTACCTAAGAGGAATAAAGATGAACATGCTGTCGAGATTGCTGACTGCGCTATGGATTTATTGAGTGGCGTTCTTAAATTCAAGGTTCCCCATAAGCCTGACTTTAAATTACGAATAAGAATAGGTATTGTACCATGACGCCATCTGTTGGCTATCTTGTATATTATTTATTATTTAACCCCCATCGTCATAGGACTACATAGTGGGCCTGTTGTGGCCGGTGTAGTTGGATTGACTATGCCCAGATATTGTCTGTTCGGCGATACAGTAAATACAGCATCCAGAATGGAAAGTAATGGACAAGCTTCAAGAATTCACTTGAGTAACTCATCCTATCAATGCCTATCCAAATTCTCCGGATATCGTTTGGCGGATCGAGGAGAAATAGAAGTTAAGGTACACAAAACAATCTGTAAAAAAATACATTTATATAAAAAACACAGAATGACCCCTATTAGTTTCATCTTTATTCTATTCTATACCTCATTTATCCTACACTCCTCTCTCTTTCGTACTCTTCACGCATCTATTCCTTTTACCTCCCCTCATCCTATTAATAATTTCCAAGAATATATAGTGTGTAGTTTAATAATATGTTTTTTTTTATAATAGGGAAAGGGTCTTATGAGAACATACTGGCTCTATGGAAAAGAAAATTATGATAAAGAATTACCTGATTTTTCAAAATTAAGTGCAGACGATTTACCAAGACCTGTAGCTTTACCAGTAACGCAAGGAAAGATGAAAAAAGATAGTGGATTTGACGAAACGATAACAAATTGTTTCCATCAACCAAAAGAGAAAGTTTCTAACGGTTTACCTCCTGTTGAGAAATGATATCAGTAATTTTCTATTACATTTTCAATGGTACATAAATCAATTAGAGCGTAAATTAGAGCCTTTATATAAGTATATATACATACTATAGTGTGTATATATAGTTATGTAAATATAATGCAGGATATAAAAAAAAGACATTCATATTTATCATCTTTTCTTCTTGAAAACTAATTTTTTTTTATATTGTTTATTACGATTATTTTTTTTATTTTGCATTTATCTCATGTTCTAAACATTTGTTTATTGAATGAAGAAGAAGATTTAGGATTGTCAAAAGAAAACAAAAAATGAAGATAAAGATATATACACTACATAGAGAGAAGATAAAAGGGAAAAAGAATGATAGAAAGTAAATTAGGAATTTCTTCATACGTTATACATAGAAAACGTTAAGAGAATACAAGTTTAACGTTTAGAATAAGATAAAATTAATGTAATTTTATGATAATTAAAAGTACTGTTAAAAAATCTGATTTAATTAAAGTATCAAATGCTTTTTATTGTTTTATCTAAACGTATACGTCATAAATTCAAAAAGCAATCCTAGAACTTTGAAGATGTATCATGTTCATTTCATTGAAAAATGAAGCAAACCTTGTTTTACCCTTTGTTTTAATGTTATATATATATTTAAATTTAAGTAACTATGATTGGTATTAAATATATGTCTTGTACCGTTCAGTATCAAATTTATGCCTACATGAAAGACTTAGTATTATATATATATATATATATATATATATATATGTACTGTATAATAAGCTAGTCAATACATATCTACATATATATATATATACTGTATAAAATTTATATAGACCAAGATTTCTTAAGATTTCATATATTATCTGTACTTTTTAAATTTATCACTTAATAAAAGTACGTTTTTTATTTGCATACTTTTCATGAATATTTATCAGTTGATATTTCGAGATAGTTACTTGAAAGATGAGAAAAAAAAACTATTATACATTTACTAGGCTTAGAACATCCGGTATAGGCTTTAGTATATAATTCATTTAGCAGCTTTCTTTTATAGAATAAAGAAATATACTACATAAACTACAGATTATATATATATATATATATATATATATAGAATGATAGATAGATTGTGTTGGTTTCCTTCTGGGAATGATATTAATAAGTCATAGTTAATTAGTAGAAAAAATAGAGAAAGATATTAAAAATATAAATGACAAGGTAATACAGAAGAGTAAACTGGTGGCAACTGTTTAAAATAGATTTTATATTTAATGTTGAAATAACATAGAGAAAGTTAAATATTTATTCTGGAACCGTATAATTAAGGCCAATAGTCAATAAGATTTTTCTCACCATTAACTACAGCACATTTAACAAACATAATCGACTTATTTTTCAAATCGAAATCGCTTCGACTAGTCTTTCTTTTAAGCATTATTATTCCTTGAGAATATCTCTCTCTCCTCCTTTCTTCCCTCTGTTTCTATATCTATTCGTCTGTCTGTTTGTCTGTCTCTCTCTCCTCTCTCTCTCTCCCTCTGAGTCCGTCCATCCATTTTTCTACCTACCTCTCCTACCTACGAATCTTCCCTCAAAAGTGAGTCTTTTTCTTCTTCAATTGAATACATCTTGTCTCTATTAGCCTTACGAAACTTCGCTGGTCTCTATTGTGTATTAGTTCTCCTTTTATTCATCTGTTTAGCAGCCCATTTCTCTCCCGTCGCCTATCAAGTTTATCAAGAGAATCTTTGGAAATATGCTTACTCACATTTTGTACGTTCTCTTTCTTACTGGAGAATTAATTCAACTTGTAAATGGAATCAAAGTAGCATTATTGTTGCCGGAAGAAGGTCAAGATATTCCCACGATAGGATCCAGTATCGGAGCTTTGGAGCTGGCTATTGAAAAAATTAATAAGAGTTATTCCTTCGAGTAATACTTTTTATTTAATCCATGGATTATCTGATAAAATATGCAATATGTACAGCGTTTTTACTGTAAATATATATACTGTATATATTTTTTTTCTTCTTTTATGAAAATCGATAATCCATAATATAAGGTGTATATATGACGTATTAACTATATAATAATCTTTATATTTAAATAATCCAATAATATTTTTTTAATTCATTCAGAATAGAATGGAAGGATTCAAAATGTTCAAAAGGAGGTTCTATATCAGCTCTATACGAGCTGATGGAACAATCGAAATATTCTTTAATTATGGGTCCAGCGTGTTCTGAGGGTAAATAGTCTTAACGAGATATTTATGTTCAGGTTATCCCTCTTTTCTTCCTCTCTCTCTGCCCCCTCCCCCTCCTCTCTTACTTACACTGCCCTTCTACCTCAGCGGCAAATGTAGATACGCATATACGAATACCAGCTACCTATGAAGCTTCTCTTATATCTCTTCTGCTCTCTCTCTCTCTCTCTCTCTCTGTTTTTCTCAAATTGGTTCTTATCTAAAACTCTTGTTATTGTATACATGTCACGAAAAAAAACAAATTTATTTTTAACATTTTTAAAAAGAAATTTAATTAGATGTTTCATGAATATTAATAAGTCTATACAGACGATTTATAGATAGAAAACAGTATTGTTTCCTTATGACTGAAAAAAGAATGATATATCTTTAAGAGGATTGCCTGGTTATGAGCAGAATTTAATATATGATTAAGCTGTATATATTTTAAAGAGTAAGAGCTTTTATTTAAAATCTTTTCTCTTCTCACCAAGCGTTTATTTATAGAATTCGATGTAAGAGCGAGCGAGCGAGGCAGAGAGAGAGAGAGAGAGAGAGAGCGATAGATCATGATCTTCATCATCTCCTCCTCCTCCTCCTCCATATACACTTAATTTTATTTCAACTGCTAATCATATGTTTGCCACAATTGTAGGCCAATCTTTCTTTCTCTCCGACAGAAACTCATTAAAGTATTTTCTTTTCTTTTTACTGTATTCTAAAGGATTTCTCCTTCCTAATCTATTCTTATCAAAAAATTTTGGCCCTCTCCTTTCTTCTTATCATACTCTATTGTTCAAAAATAATTGGTTTTGAGAGTAAACTGTTAAAATATAGAATAAAAATGATATGAAAAAGGAAGCTGGGAACAAATTAAGAGGGCAAATTGTATTCTATACCATTGTATCTATCTCGCTAGTTGGATTAATCTTTATTAATTCTACTTGAGGCTTATCTTCAACTGAATAGATTTTTATGTGTCCAATATTGCTTTTTCTCCTTATCTCTCTTTGTGTTTTTTAAATCTAATTAATCACAACAGCGATGAAGCCTACAGCTGAATTAGCTTCTTATAGAGATATTCCAATTTTTGGATTCTTTTCGCCTAGTCCAGATCTCTCCAAAAAGTCTGTATTTACAACTCTAGTACGACTGCTTGGGCCTACCAACTATGTTGCAGTTGGATTACGCAAAATGTTATCCTATATAGGATGGAGTCACATATTCCTAGTATCGAGTAACGCCGCCGAATATAGAACCTTAGCCGGATCAATTAATGATATATATAAAGCTTCTGGGAGTATAGCAAGATGGATAATGGATGTTGATCTGAATCCAGCTGAGAATGAAATAGATAATATTTTAGTTAAGATTAAGTCTGAAGCACGAAGTAATTAGCATCATTGTTTTAATTAATTTTTTCATAAAAAAGAGATATAATCAAATATTTTAATACAGTAATCATATTATGTGTACCTTCGCATCAATTGCGTAAATGGATGCTAAGATCTGTTGAAAATAATATGGAAGGTGGAGAATATGTATTTGTATATACAACCACCCACATTCCAGATCCGGTATATATTAATGAATTAACGTCAGAAAATATCTGGAAAGGGAACGACGGATCTGATAGTCTGGCAAGAAATGCCTTTAATAATCTCCTAATGGTTGGCTTTAAAATACTATTTCATTCATAATTAAAATTAAGAATTCTTTCCAGTTCTGTATGAAGTCTTTAATGAAGAAAGAAGTTGAAAGTTTCTTAACAAAAGCTGACGAGGCGGCCACGAAGAGTGGATATTTGAATAAATTTGGAGTACAGTTTAAAAAGGTATGAAGGCATCAAGAGATAAAGAATAAGAGAGAGAGAGAGAGAGAGAGAGAGTCTTTAGCAATATCAGATACATATTAACATCTACTTACTGTATTCTATAATTATATACTGTAGTTGTATAGAATTACTATAGTTTGTCAATGCAAACTCACTCTTATAAAGTGTTTTTCAAATATGACAGACTAAACTGAAATCTCAAAATCTATCGTGCGTAAAGCTATTGCCATAGTTTTGGCTCATCTCTATCGTCTATCCATCTGAAGATGCGATTCTTAGTAATTCTATCTTTCATTCTCTCTTCTTTCTATTGTATTATATTGTGCAATGCATTTTTTCGCATATATTTCCTTTCTTTTTTCTCTCTTTCTGTCTCCTACTGTATCGTAGACAGACTTTATCGCATGCTAAACGAAAGATGATTATCGACAAAAACACTCTTTATTAAATTGTAAATCGACTGACGGAAAGTGTCGGCGTCTATATAACTTATAAGATTTGATATCTCTTTTACCCGACGTAAAGGGAATGAGAGGTGGGAAGATAGAGATAAAATCATCATATATAATAAAATGATAAATCCTTTTTAGAGAAAGACTTGATATATACTTTGTGATATGTTAAATGTTTCTATTACTCTCTTTTGGGGATAGAGTAACAGCTATTCATTATATCTGCACGATGCTCTTCTTCTATTCGCAACTGCTCATCAGGAGCTACAGAATAAAAATCAAGCCACAAGTGGAACATCATTATTCTCCATTGTAAAAAATAGATTTTATCCATTAAAATCAGGTTAACTTCTTTATCTACTCATCGTTTTTAGAACAGGGGATATATTTAAGCATTAATAATGCATATTTATCCTTTTTAAACCCTATCCCTTTGTATTCCTTAGATAATTTTTGGTCGACTGGTGATGTGTATATATCGGATAATGGGGATAGGCAACCAGGATTCACACTTTTTGATTTAAAATCCAATGGAATATTCGAGGAAGCCGTTGAATTAATACCAGAGAAATTGAGTGCAAATATTACAACAAGCGTGAAATCGTTGTCGAGTATAATTTGGGGAGATGGAACAGCTGGACTTTCTAATAAACCGCAAGATATTCCAGATTGTGGCTTTCAAAATGAGAATTGTCCCAGTTAGTAGGTCAAATTGTCAGATGTAACTTATTGTAAAGAACTGCATATACAGTATATTAGTATATAAACAATATACTTTATTCTGTATACAGTATAAGAGTAATTAGTGTATTTTAATATTTTATTCATTTGTAACAGATTTGGCTTTATATATAACTCCCCCGACTGCAATTATGATTTCTTGTATTATTGGAGCCATAGCTTACGTTCTCTGTAGACGTTTTCAAAGGGAAAAAGATTTGGAAAATATGACGTGGAAAATTAGATTCGACGATTTGAAAGAGATTAAAAAGGATTTAGCCAGTCAGAATGCGTCAATAATCTCTAAAGGGTCAATATGCACAAATTCCACTCTAGACCATTCGACATCACCTGAAACTAAGGTGTCAATTAAAACTGCTGAATATAGAGGAGGCATTGTCGTAGTTAAAAGCTTGAGAAAACAACGTGTCAAAATCGACAGGGATTTGAAGATTGAAATGCGCTCCGTATGTTTACATATTAGACTTTTCTTTTAACCTTATAAAGGTTTTATCTCATTTAACATTCTAATTTCTCTCTTATTTCTCTACTTCTTCTTCTTCTTCCTCTTCAGTAAATGTCCTTTCTCTTCAACTGTTCGTCCAAAACCAGTACACTTAAACTATTCTTATTTACCCGGATAAAAACTACATGTATTTATTAGATGACCGAACTCAAGTCGAATTTTTTGGCATCGTTTATTGGAGCTTCCACCGATATTTCTAATGTTTGTGCAATATGGGAATTCGGTACGAAAGGAAGTCTTAAAGATGTTCTAGAGAACGATGATATATTCCTAGACGATACATTTAAATTCTCTTTTGCTAACGATATTCTAAGCGTAAGTTACATATGCTTCTTCTTACTACTTTCACTTCTTCCCCTTCTTCCTCTCCATCATTTACGACTATATTAAATAAGGATTTTTTTTTTGTTTGATTTTCTTTAATAGGGCTTAAAGTACTTGCATACAAGCCCTTTGAAGTACCATGGAAAATTAACAAGTAAAAACTGCATTATCGATGGAAGATGGCTATGTAAATTAACAGATTACGGCTTAGAGAAATTTAAAGAAGGAGAAGATCATAATCTGACAACTTCAGGTAGTATTCAATAACTGTTTATAATAAAATAATATAAATAAACAATGGCTGATATTGAAACCATTTGCTAGACTTATTTTGGATTGCTCCTGAGCATCTTGATACCGATTTCGACGATTCTACACCACCAAGAATAACTGGTAGATCGCCAGAAGGTGACATCTATAGCGTCGGTATAATATTTAAAGAGATATTCACTAGAACTTCCCCTTTCGAGGAATACGACGATCTAAATGACAATGAGATTATTAAAGAGATTATTAATGGTAATTTATGTCCAAAGTTGGAGGATTTAGAAGAGTCCAGTTCACTCGAATCGCAAATATCAAATCTTATAAAACAAACTTGGCAAATCGATAATCAAAAGCGACCGAGTTCATCTAATCTATTAAAGAATTTGGCTATTATAAATCCCCATCGTTCTAAAAATGTTGTTGATAATATGGCTAAAATGCTGGAGAAGCAATCGGAACAATTAGAAAAGATTGTCGGTGAAAAGAGTGAGCAGATAGAAGCGGAAAAGAAAAGGTCGCTCGAGCTGCTTAACAGGATGCTACCTGAGTATATTATAAAAATTTCTATTTGCTACAAAATTATTCATACTATTCCATCTTCTTACATCTTCCCAATTTCTTCTTCCTTTCACCGTTAACCTTTATAGACATTTACTTATTTAGCTTCATCTTTTACTTAGGCTAATCGCTAAAGAATTAATAAATGGAAAAGGAATTCAAGCGGAGAGTTTTGAAGCGGTTACAATCTATTTCTCAGATATTGTTAAGTTTACAAATCTAGCTGCTAAAAGCTCACCAATGCAAGTTGTCGACTTATTGAACGCTCTTTACACTCTTTTTGATCAAACAATTAGTGTACACGACGTATATAAGGTAAGAGAAAATGATTTACGTACAGTAAATATGTCTATTACGATAGATTCATTCATTTGTACAAAGATATAACAACTTCATTAATTTTAATTATTATGCTGAATTAACGTAATTTATAAAATATTCTAAGAATATTACGCGATTAGTTTAATGAGAAATGAAGGAAATAGGGTTTCATTCAGAGCTGTCATGAACAACATTTAGCTATTGGAAGGACATTAATAAATATACAGTATCTGTATATAAATAAGTTCACAGAAACTTTTGATGGTATCTACCCTTACCACTCTACCCTACTGTTATATTAACTTTTATCTTTAGCGTCTAATGTACAGTATATACTGTTTATATATTTATTGTATTAATGTATAATAATGTTGCCGATAGTGTATAATCTTATAAAAAACTATGATTAACAGTATTTAAAAAGGTTTCTTTTTACAAAAATTTAGGTTGAAACTATTGGAGATGCTTACATGTTAGTAAGCGGATTACCGAGGAGAAACGGTGAAAAACATTGTACAGAGATCGCAAACTGCGCTTTAGATCTTCTCAGTGGTATCTTATCGTTTAAAGTTCCTCATTTGCCTGACTATAAAATACAAATTAGAATTGGTATGCTTTCATCTATTTTGTAAATTTATAAAGATAGGGCAAGGGAAAGATTACGTACAAAAAGTCAATGATCATTATTAAATCCTTCTTTTTTCACTCTCTCTCTCTCTCTATCTCTATCTCTTCGTCCCTCCCTCTCTCCCTATCTCTCTCCCTTCCTTCCTTCCTAACTCCCGCCGACCGTACTTTTCCCCTATTTCTGACAAATATTAAGCTAAATTAATAACAGAGGCATACTTTTGTTGTGAATATGAAAAGAGTCTTTTAGTAAACAAATGTATTATTTTTTTCTCTTGCTTTGTTTTGCTTCTTATTTGTAAATAAGTAAATGCAAATTGATAGGTCTTCATAGTGGTAGTGCCGTAGCTGGAGTAGTTGGAAAGACAATGCCTAGGTATTGTCTATTCGGAGATACAGTCAACACAGCGAGTCGAATGGAAAGCAACGGACTACGTAAGTAACTAATACAAAAAGTATATATATATATATGTATATTGAAACATATTGTTCTACAAGCATTAAGAATCCATCTAAGTAAAAGTACATTCAAAGGTCTAAGCCTATTCGATGGTTATTTAATGGCTGAAAGAGGAGGTATAGAAGTTAAGGTAAGTTGAAAATATTAGCAAGATAGTCAATATTAACATATAAAAATGATTATATATATATATATATATATATATATATAATGGAAACAATCTCTAGCGTCCAAGCTAACGAATCTTTTTTGTAGAAAATTTAATCATCAGTTATAGAGTATAAATTCAATTATAGGTTATAATAACATTAAGAAAATTATCAAATTAAACAAGCTAAATGTATGTAAATAGCTGAAAAATCACTTAATATATATATATATATATATATATATATATATATATTTGTTTACAATATTTTACCCTCTTAACATTTATGCAATGAATTATTTAACAGTTTTCTTCAAAGATCTCTATTGCTTTTATCGGTGTCATATATTGTATATATTATTTCCCTTAATTAGTGTAGAATAAACAAAAGAGAAAAGAAAGGAAGCTTTTCGTCCGAGTTTTTTAACGAATTATTTTTCCTTTAGAAGAGAACTATAAGATTTTTAATTTAGATTCATTCAAATGCAATTGATTATCTCTGAGAAGAATATTTTAATATTTATCTAGTAAAATAGAGAATTTATAGTAATTTCTCTCAGTTTGAAAAGAGACGTCCCGTCCCATTCAAATTAAGATTCTGCTCGAGTTTCAATGGCAATTAATGTCCAACTCGAAATAGTATTTTTGTTTTGTTTGGTCTCCATTTATATATCTATACTATACTTTTAAACAGGGAAAGGGTAATATGACAACATACTGGCTAATTGGTAAGATTGGATTTATGAAGCCCCTTCCTGATTTCGATATTTTAATTAAAGAGGACGACCCGAGACCCAAACGTTTACCGCCTACTATGGCAAATAATGAGAAACTTAGAAAGAATAGTGTTTACGGAGCATCTGATGTAATAGTGATGAAAACTCCCGTCCCAAAGAAGCCTGTATTGAAACCAATCGATCAAACTATTTCTCCGCTATAATTAGCTGTCATTAAAATGTTTATTTCCATGTTTGCAGATGAAACTCTTGTATTTTTCCTATATTTACTACATAGTATATATATATATATATATATATATATTAGTATATATATACAGTATATACTGTATGTTTTGTATTTATTCCTTACTCAACTTTCATTTTATGTATACAGTATTAAGAATTTATATGAATTGAATACAGTTCATTATCAAACATTTTATCAAATCCATTTCATCCACTTTCTTCATTCTTTATTCCTTATTTTCTTAATCTTGTTCTTCCGTTGCATAGTTATCTCTCTATCTATCGCTCTCTCTCTCTCTCTCTATTATAATGACAATAAACGCCGGTTGATGGCGTTACGAAAAGTGCCTCTCTCTCATTCTCTCTTTCAGTTGCTGGCTTTCCAGATCATTGCTAACTTTTTTCGGTTAGTCTCCAGTTATCTTTAAGATTACTGTCTAGACACTTTCTTTTATCTCTTTCTTCTATCTATCTATTTATCTATCTGCAAATACTGTGTATCCTATCTCTATATCTTTCATTCCTTTTCTCTCTTCGTCTTTTCAAAATTGAATAGTGTATTTGAAAAGTCTTTTCTAATTTATCAATTTCTGGATTATGTCAGAATGAAGATTCTCTAAAGAATGAACTTGATATTTCTTCTTTAACGGATAAAGAAAAGTTATAATGGCAAACTATAGTAAGCATTCTTAAAATTAATAAGCTATTTATGAATTAAAAGAAGCATATATAATGAGAGTACTATTAATTGTTAATGTTTGTAATCTGTGCCTATCTTTTATGATATGACTACTTTTTCTATTTAACTTCAAGCTTAAATTCCGATTACCCCCATCTCTCTCTCTCTCTCTCTCTCTCTCTCTCTCTCTCTTCCTCTCTCTATCGCCCGCTGACTCTTCATCGAACTTCTAAGAATTATACATTTCTAAAAGTGCTAGGGATTATAAATCATTAGGTTTCAAGTCACTATGCTTAAGCCTTTTAAAATATAAGTACGCTTAGTAAAGGGAAGAAATTGAGAACGAGAATAGGAAATAAAGGAAGCAAAAGGAACAATTATCTATAGGAATAAATATTTTCATTCCTTTTACCATACTTATTAATTGAGAAAAATAGCTTTGATTTAAAGTTAAATGTTTTTCCTACAGCAAATGACACTGCAACAGATAGTGGATACAGACTGCAACATTTATTGGGTATATACTTAACGCCAGCAATATTCATCACTTCCCTTATATCAAATGTGGCACTAATAGTAACAATACGGAATGCAGAGCTTTGTAATAAATCAACAGTGGTGTATATAATTTCTCAAGCAGTTGCCGACGGAGTATACTCTTGTCTTTCTTTGTTGACCTGGGCTGAATTGTTCGGTATAAGATCCAAGTCAACTGAATATGGTTGCCTTCCTATAACTTACGCAATGAATATCTGTGGTTTCTTAACGGTTTGGTACGCTTCACTTATGTGTTTTGACTATATCCTGTACTTTCGTAATTGGAAAATTGCAATTAAACTTAGAACTAGAACAGCGGCTAGATTAATTGTCATTTTGGTTGCTCTATTCGCTGCGGCCATTTACATAAACACAACTTTATTAAATAATGTTGATACTGGAAATACAAGTCAATCATTCTGCAGACCGAATAACGAAGAAATTTATTGGGTATTAGACTTTTTCGATATGATATTTAACGGTTTAATAGCTACAATGACTTTAATTACTCTATGTATTTGCATAATTAAGGAAGTACGCAACTTTCATAAGAGCAAGCCGGAGACAAATGGTGAAGTTGGTAAATTTAGTTCTCAATTGACTCATTGCGTTGTAGCTATTGCTTCCGCACACGTTTTTACTAGCTTGCCAGTAATATTTCTGAGAATTTTAGCTAGTGGTATAATACCACAGAATTGGACTTTTAATAATAACTATCCGTTTATCATTCTTCATGTTCTATATCAAATTCGTTTTACACTTAATTATTTCATAATGTTTACGCTATCGCCAGAATTTAGGAGGACTTTTTTCAACTCTATACGATCTATGAAAAGTAGGCGAAGACCTCAAATTCGAATTCCAAATCAAGCTGCTGAGAGTGAAATGATAGAGTTAAAAGGATAAAATAAACGTTTTTCTTTAAAGTTTGTTCATTAGATCATTGGGAAAGTTATCTCTTTAGACTTTATATATTCGTTTTTCTTCACTGCTGTCCTCAATTACATATATACTGGATATGTACTGTATATATGCGTAATATGCTTAGATTTTATTCTCTCTTTCATAATTTTCATTATTAATCTCGTTATTATGTTTTTTACTTTTTTCTCTATGGCTCTTTCTATTTTCTTCTCTCTCTTTCTCTTTCCCTTTTTCTTTCTAGACTGCTTTCATTCTCAATAATATAATAAATTTACTTAATAAATTTAACATTCTCGTAAATCCTGATTTATCTAAATTGCGTTAAACAAAACAGTAAGGAGAAATTATCTGGTAAGGTTGACGATATTCTTAGCTTCTCTTTTACGCTTAATAGATAGATATTCTTTATTATTTCCTTCTTAACTAGATACTTTTGTTCTATATTGTCTATGTTACCTATTGATAAGATAAAAATAACAAAACACATTCATTTCGAAAAATTAAAACACATCTTTGTGTAATTAATTAATGACATATATTTTCTTTAATTAGTTAATTAGAACAAAATATACCTAATAAAATTTATTGTTATTTATTCATCCTTTTTCTTCATATTAACAGTTGAATATTTAACATTTCTCAGAGCTATTGCGCAAATTATTATTGTAATAACTCCGATAATTTCTAACAAGATAAAAGATCCAGTCCATGCGTAATACTTTGCGTACGAGCTTAAAGGTAAGCCAGCCATTACTCCTCCAACTGTAAAAATACATATACAGGTATACAGTATATATATATATATATATAATTTATATGTGGAATTTCTTACTGTTTGCTGCAAATCCTACAAGAGCATGAGCTGTTCCAGATAGATGCGAAGGTGATGCTTCAATGACAACTACACCGTATGAGTTGATTGGACAATAGACAGCCGCTCCCAATAAAAGACCCAAAGTCCATATTAACAGTTGGGAAGAATCTTTATTTACTAAAAAGACTGTCAAATGCAAGAAAGTTATTGTTCCAATCCAGCCAATTAGGGTTGCAATCATTCTAGTGCTTCCAAATTTCGTTGATTTACCCTGAAAGAGAGCAAGAGTGAAGACATTTCATTAATTTTCTTTAATGAAATTTGCTAATTAATAAAATTGAAAGAAAGAAAAGGAAAATTGAACTGAAAGAAAGAAAGATTGAAATAATCACGTACGTAACTTTGTTATGCATAATTACACAAAGCCCTATCTATCATGTGAGAGAAATGATGAGCTGAATTAAGGTGAATTAATATTGTATAGGAGAAAAAGAGAAAATATATAGGCTTATTTATACGAATACGAAATAGAGGGGGAAAGGTTATAGATTTCGAACCAACTCGACAAAATCTCAATTGAATATTATTATTATTGCATTACTTACGTATGCCGATACGGCCTTGTCGGTAGCATATCCGGCAACAATTGAACCAAAAAATCCACCGATCTCTAGAGAACTGACGTAGGAACTAGCTAAAACAAAAAGTTAAATTAACAAGAATTCGGTAAATTAGTTAAAAAATCAACTTAACTCACCAACTAATGCCGATTGTTTCTTATCTTGTATAAAGAATAGTTGGCCCCAATCTAGGACAGCTGTGCGAATTAAAAATATGTTCATATAGCAGAAGCCAACAATCCACATTAAACGATTTGTTAGTAAATCTTTGAAAGAGCCTCTTCCTTGTTTTGTAGTTTGATCTTTAACTATAGGCTTATAGCCAAAATCTTGGGGTTTGTCGAACAGAGAAAACTTTGTTGAAAGCGTTAACAAAACAGAGAAAACACCTTAAATGGAATGAGAAAGATTTAAGATTAAAGATAATATTATAGATAAGATGCGTATACCAATAATATAGAAAAATGATTTCCATCCGTAAATTCCGATGAGATATGTTGCTACTATAGGACCTACACTGCATGCAATATTCATTGAAGATGACAAAATACTCCACCATGTACCGAGTTCGGTAGGCGAGAACCACTAAAAATAAATGTAAAATATTTATACAGATAGTTAAAATACGTAACCATAACTACGGTACACACTATCTGTGTATATGTTTATACTTAATTAATAACTGATGAAAACCACTAGTCTATTAATAAACGCATTCTGTATATAAATATATACATTTTGTTTGTCAAAATATGATGTTTAGTCTATCTTTTCTTGAATTAATTTTAACAAACAAACATTTTTAAGCATTTTTGCAGCCGCAGGCCAACCAAAACCCTGAGCCAAACCATTGACAAACATGATGAGCGTTAGAACGTAAATATTTTCAAATGCTGTTAACGAATAAAAACATTCATAAATATTCATTTTCAGTTAATTTTTTAACATGCAAATTTATGCATGAAATCTACCAAGCACTCTCATTGTTAATTAACTATCTCTACCAGTGGAAGTAAATTCGATATTTTACTTATAAATTACATATTTAAAGTAATAAATTAATTTTAATATTGATTAAATATATGTAAATAGATGCAAATTAAAAAGAAAGCTTAGTATGTCGATTCATTCTTTAAAAGTTACTTTGAATTGAGAAGAGTAAAAATAGATATCATATTTCTTACCTGTAAACATGACAATAATAAAGCCGTTAAGGAAAAGGCCGAAAGCAAACAGCCATCTGCAACTATATCGATCCGCAAGGATTCCTCCAATGAATTTACTTATCGTATAAGCAATATTCTGCGAACTTGCCAATAGACCTATTATTAAACAATTTTTTTTACAATTCTTTTATAATTCAAGCTATTCTTTTCTTCTTTTTAAACAAATTCAAAATGTAAAAAATCAACTTTTCTTAGCTTAATTATATAATTGATTATGTTTAATTTTGACGGGCTTCAAAGAATCTTTACCAAGTTCATTTTCTCCGAAAGATAATTGTTGCATGATTGCAGGCATACAAAAAGCGAAAGCTTTCCTGTCCAATATGTATAGGAAGTATCCAGAATACATTGATACAAATGTTATCCATTTGTAATAGGTGAAACTTTTTTGGCTCATTTTAAACGGAATAAAGAACTACGCGAATTTTACAAAAGTCGAGTTTATTTTCCCTCAGCAGCTATTGATTCTGAAGTAATTAAAGGAAATATGTACATTATGACAGCAGTTAAAGTGCAGTAGACACGATATGATAGCTATTTACCTCAAGATCTTATCACAATCTTTGTAAATGTTCGTTGACATTGAAAGATCAAAGAATTGTAGGTGTCAGTACTAACTGCTCAACTATATTTGAATATGAACACGATATATATTGTCAACGTTTTTTCATTTCAACTCCAGAAAAACATGAAAACAAGGATTCGACGAACGTGTATTTTAATAGAAAAATCTACATAAATAACAAACGATCCTTAAAGATGAATTACATGATTTTTTCAATAAATACAAACATATATAAAAAAGTAGAAACAAATTAAATAAACTAATATTTATTTTATTTTTGTTAATACTCTTCTATAATCAAATTCACAAATTTTTATTTTTTTTTCATTTTCTTTTTCAACTTTCCGTAGAAAAAAAACTTTCATACTTGCTTTAAAAAAATCTACATTTTAACATTTTTAATAATACCCACTCAACTCAGGACGTCTATTGAAAAGAAAGAGGGTATAGTGAGCACCATGGTGAGGGTAATTGTTTTCTTCTTTATATCTGCAGAATAATCTCCTTCCCTACATTTACGTACGAATTTGTATATGTAATACATAAGCTATAATTTCTACTTTTTAGTAGACTTCGTAACCGACACAATATCGTTAATTATCATCTTAGCCACTTGACTAGCCATATCTTCCTCAGTTTTATCCTTTTCCTTACTTCTTACGAATATTTTTTCAACTGAAAAGAAAGAATCAAAAATATATAGTATAATAATAAAAAAACAGAAATAAAATATCATTTTCATTACGGACATAATGAAATAAACGCAAAAATTTTATCAGCAATATTTACCAAAGTTTCTTTTGTCATTCTCCGGTTCCGGTTCGAATCTGCGAACGTATTCTCCCCATTCGTTTATTCTACCTAAAGTCATTTGTCCTTCATCTCTTTGCCAAAGCGTATCGGGTTCGAATAGACTATTATCGATTGTAAAATTTTCGCTAACTTTATCGGTGGACTTTTTTGGATGAGAAGACGCTGTTGCTTGGTGAATAGAATTATTGGAACCGTTGCTTGAGTTCCTTTTATGTTGATTTTTTGCGGCTGAAATCAGTTCATCTAAATACTTCAAGTATAAATCGGATTTGAGAAAAACAGGTAGATATATCCTTTCCAGAGAGCATAGAACAACTTTTTGAGCACAAAGAAAGCAATCCTTTAAAGGCCCACCTTCCCGACATATATTCGTTTCAATTTCAAAACGAATCTTATCATCAAATCCTACAGGAGAGATTGCTTGTAACGAGAAATATTTATCGTAGATCACCATTGCATCTTCTTGAGCAGCCGATTCTCCATATTCAAAATTGTCCATTGCTATCCAGCATTCTATGAGAATAGAGCCGCCCTCCCTTTCCATAAATTCCATAAAATAGAAAAATGCTGCCTGATAAAATAGTATATCCGGCATTCTAACGTTGGATGTCAAAATATCTATTTGACGTTGATAAAAGAATTTACTATTATTATAGCCTTCAAAGGCCCTGTAAATAAACTCCAAAACAAAATTTTGACAATGATTAAAGCAATTAGGATCCACTGATCCATCTTCCATGCACATTCGTGACATAACATCATTTCGCAAGTCTTCGCTTATGCCTATTGGGTTTGTTGAATCATGTGCTAAGTATTTTTGATATATTGTAACTGCGTCCCGTTTTATTGCTGCGTTTAAAAACAAAAAACAGAAACAATCGTATCGATCACTAAATCAATTATTCATAAGCAATTAGCAGCTATTTATCAACTACCTTTTTCAGCAAATCCATTAGCTAAGTTTGAATTTTTTCCCTGATTAGATGCGTTTGTTCTGGAAGTCGTCGTTGATTTAAAACTCACCACTTCTAGCCAAAACTTCAAGTAATGGTCAAATCCTTTTGTTTCCAAATATCGTAAGAGATATTTTATGGAATCATTGTCTTGTAATAATTCATTTAGAGTTTGATGAAGTCTTGAAAACCTTTTGGGAATGTTGTAATTTTCGGTTTCCGAAGAGGATAATAGACGGAGATTATCTAATTACGAAAGGATTTACAATTACATACTTTTATCCGTTATTAACAATATTACCGTTAACAGGGAAGTTAATATTATTCAGATGATTCTTGGTGGTGTCCTTAGGACACGACGAGCTCTTATCTGAAAAAAAAAGGAGTTACCCTGGAAATTACCTATTTAATACCGCAACAAAAATATACTATTTCTAGGAAAAAACGGCATTGTTGGCATAGTCAGGCAAATTTATAGGCATCTTGTGAATAATAAATTTGGGACACTTTATAATTTTTAAGTTTCATAGAAAACTTCTCTTGACATTCAGCAGAAATTACAGTTGAGCAACTGATTCTATATGTCAGAACGTTGAACCGCCATCTTTATTTTTCTCAATATAGGGCCGCAGTTATTTTTAAGAAAATAGTATTTCTGAATATTTCCATAACATCTTATCAGTTTTCTTCAGAAAAATATAAAAATTATTTTGTGGAAATTTTAATATTCAGGAAGAAATTCGAAAATAAAAAAAGTTGCCAAATCAAAAAAAAATTATTCTTTTTGGTTATGTTCACTGTGAACCTAATGTTATGATATTTTTTATTATCTAATAAATTGTTGCGCAAGATTAAAAGGATACTTTAAATTTAAAGTTAAATATAAATTCAGATTTCACTTTATTTTTTCCTTTTGACAGAACTAAAACAATTCCTAAAAGGGTTTGTTGGTCCATTTGCAGTTTGGTAATATCTAGCAGATGCATATACAACCAAGCGAGTTAGAATCGCTATCAAAGACAAAACTAGTATATCAAGCCACAAAGGTCTAGTGAATCCCAAGGATCTTATAACTTCTTTTCCTGAAAGTAAAGTTCCGTTTCTTTTACAGATATCAAAAGTCGTTTCGTTCAGTCCAGAACATCTATTAAAAAAAAGGAACAAACACTATTTTGTATTAAGATATCGTTTTATCAACTGAATTAACTACTTTAAATCGGGTCCATAATTGAGTTCAACTTTAAGGAGGGAGTTAAATGATACACCAACCAAAGATATATGCTTCAACCAGGCAAGGGCCGGTGGAATATTTCGAATAAACCATCCTCCAGCCATCATATTAACAATCCCGTATATAGCAGCACTTGTTACAGAGGTTTGAAAGTCATTCAGAATAGATCCAATACACATTCCAACTCCCTATTAAATATTATTTATATAATAACAGTGATACATACAATTATATATATTTTCTATTGAATTTAATAACTAACAGATGCTGCCAAGGCGTTTAATAAGCCCAAAAGTAGATATATACAGAAATAACCGGCGTGAGCATGTAAATTAACGCACCAGTACGTTAAAGTTATAATAACAAAGGGTAGAACCATTTGCAAAGGAGTCTCACTAAAGTACTTTGATGATATATATGCGCTTAGGCGATATGCACCAGAAGACCTTTCTTTATTAATTATGGGACGTTCAAAGGGAACTAAAAATACACAAAAAAAGCTAGATTAACTTTATATTCGTATTGTTTGAAAAAAATTACATTAAGTAAAATAGACGAGATTATTTTAATTAGCAACTTACAGCTTTGTATTGCGTCTATCATAGTCGAAAATTGTAGATGAATTGATATGAAGAATATCTAGTCGAAAGAAATAGAGTTAATCAACAACAATTGTATCAATTTTACTGTTTTTACACAAACCATTCCTATACGATTATTTAGTGAGTCTTCTTCTCGTTTTAATCGAAACCATAATAGACTCATGACAATTGCAGTAAATACATTCTATTACGAGAAAGAAATAGATACACTTAACGATAAGATAGTTGCATGTAGGTTTAAAACAAAAAAAAAACAGAAAGAGAAATTAATTTCCCTTAGCTTTTGTTGCTTTTATTTCTTTAAATTTATACTTACAACAGAAACGGCCATCTTCGACAGAATTCTACCCAGAGACGCCTTAAAGTTACGTTTAGTTAGAACGACTAATTGAGTCGTGAATTTAGTTTGCCATTTGGATTGTGTATAGAAATCGTGACCGAGTTCTAGCTGTACAGATGTACCATTACATCCTTCAGAGGGTAAAGCATCTATATCTATAAAAAGTTTATTAAAAGATATTAGAATTATTATCAAACTAATTAAATATTTTAATTCGAAATTTATTGACAAACCATCGTATTTTCTATATTTTTCATATGTCACGGTTGATTGAGATTTAGATACAGTGTTCTCATTATTTTTCATACTAATTTCCTGCCTTTGTTCGCTAGGCCATTCAATTGTTTGTCTTAATGAATTTTAAGTAATATTATATTAGAATGATATTTTTTTTAAAAAAAAATAAAAATCTTATTCCTCACAATTTTTTTTCTGCAGCTTCAAATATTTCGCCTTTCAAGTATTCGTCTTTAACCTTTTCAACTGTAGGTAAAAAAAATTTTAAAGAATAACATGATTTGGACCTAAGAGGATTAAGAGAAGAGGCATACTGATAAAATCTGCAGGGTTGTATTCGGGTGAACAGTGTATATTTATATTCGAAAAGAATTGGGTGACTTCTTTCACATTTCCGTAATAGGCTACTCTTCCATCGCATAATAACAATAGTTTGTCAAATGTATAAAATATCTGACTACTCGGTTGGTGAATTGTAGTTATGATAGTCTTTCCTTGTCTTACTGAGTAATCTTTCAGCGTTTTTATTAAACTGTAAGATGTACTCGAATCCAGTCCAGACGTTGGCTCCTGCAATATTATAATGAGAAATTATTAATAGCTAAATCTTAAATCATTAAAGTGCCTGGCTTACGTCTAATAGCATTAACTTTGGATTTGTTAACAATTCACAGGCAATGTTAGCTCGTTTCTTCTCCCCTCCAGACAAACCTTGAATCTCAATTCCGCCAATTCCTAATACATTTGATTTTATATATAAGCATAAAAACAAATTTAACTATTTCATTCACTTACTAGTATTTATACACTTTTGTAAGTCAAGAACTTTAATTAGTTCGTCGACTCTATCAATTTTCATCTGCTTAGGCATCTTATCTGGTAGCCTAAGCATTGCTGTGTACTGAAAATGAAAGAAAACATGATTATTAATAAAATTAAAAGTCGCACTTTATTCAATAGCCAAAATGAAAACAGTATGTGTTAGGATGAAAAAAAAACCATTTTCAGATAGTATTTAAATAAAAGTAAAGAATGTGAAAAGAGTGAAAAAAAATACCAAAATAGATATCTATCTATGCTGTTTTATGGAAAAGGAGCTACAGGTGTAGAAAATATGAAATAGAGCACTCTCCAAAAAGAGAACATTTAATAAGTCAACAATAAAAATTTGTACCCTCTTTTATGACCAGACAAATGGGAAGAGAGAGCAATATGAGTAGTTTATAATTTAGTCTTTCTCCTGAGAAAATTTACCTAAACAGAATATAATAAAAAAGAAAATAATTTGCCGCTAAAAGGAAAGAAAAATAATCTATAACTGCCTTTAAAAAAAATAAAATAACACAATCAACCCCTTTCAAAGTGTTTTTTACAATAAAGGCAAACTCCTGGAACACTATTCCTTTTAACTTAGTCTTCATCAAATCTCTCTTTTTCTCTCTCTGTCTTTCTCTACAATTCCCTAATAGCCGAAATCTTTTTTAACGAAAAAAAAGGAAATTGGCTAAACTTGGTAATGATATTATATTTAAATAACAAACAAACAGACAAAAGGAGATTGTGGATTTTCCTTAAGGCTGATTTTCTTAAATGGGATAGAGAAAAATACAGCTTTATCAATCAAGGTGTATTGTCTATTCTCTTTGTTCTATTACGACGTGTTACTTCATTTTTAGAGGGTTACAGTAAAATATCTATATTTAGAAAAAGGAAGTTACCATTAGAGTTTCTTTTAATGTTAATCTCTCGAAAAATAGATCTTCTTGCTTAACATAACACATTTGTCTCTTCATAGATTTTCCCATCTGTACTCCATTAATTAATAGATTTCCAGTGATGTTTTCCGTTTCACGCATTGAAAGGACATTTAGAAATGTCGTTTTGCCAGCACCTTTAAATATTTATAAAATATAATATGAAAAAAATTAACAAGCATTTCATTGTTTAAATGTTAAAATCTTCATTGTGATAAGGAAAAAACTTTGTGTATTTATTACATGCAATATATCTTTTTAATCAGGAATAATCAGAGAATTACTCTAATTTTGGTGACTAGTAGATAGACCTAAAGATATATATATATATATATAATTTATATATATATATATATTAAGTAGATTAAACGATTAAAACCCTATGATAAAATAAGATAGATAGCAAATACACTATTTTATAATAGTATTTACCACTTGGGCCAAGGATTGCAAGTATTTGACCTGGTGGTGCTATTCCAGATATGTTAAAGAGCGTTTGTTTTCCACTTGGTAGTTTATATGATACGTCTTTAAAAACAACTTCTGGTCCTTTCAACTTCCTAGAGGAAAAAAATATTACTGTAGTTGAAAGCAAGCTTTAATTTCTTTTAAAACGTTCAGTAATATACGTATATATATATAAAGTATATATATAATTTTATTGGAGACTAACAAGCTGAAGAGAGTGAGGTGATAGTTTAAACAAATAACATTTTTTTCAGCCTTACCTGCAGTTCGTTCCTTTATCAGGCAGATCGCTTAATTCCAAAGCCATGTCTTTTTTAGCACAGACAGCCAAGAATGAGTACCAAGTATTGTTTTCGTCTCTGCTTTTTAAGGTAGCTCTGCTCGATAAAGTTATCTATAGTATAATTGCAATACGTTGTGCAATACTATAAACGACACTCTTAGATGTTAGTTGTCGTCAAAACTATTAATTGATTAGATATTGTACAACAGTTACTTTAATACTATATTTATTAATAATAAAATCAAACTTTTCAAATAATTATATTACGTATATTTTTTTACTTTTATCAGAAAACAATGCTATAATTTATTTCGGAGGCGTCTGCTAGTCATTTAACTGGAATCATCCGACTAGGGCCATCTGTTGTTTGATAAAATAAAAGATAAAAAACTAAATCAAATGCAGGAAATTGGTATTTACATTATATTTTACAAGTAGATTATTTCACAAGCCTAAAATAATTGGCTTATTCGCTTCTATGAGGTATATAAGGCATTCTAAAGTGTCAACGAGTTAGTTTTTATCCATTATTATCACCTCAAATATTGTAATATTGTTTGCCTTGATAATAAGATAGTCCTGCTATTAGGTTAAACGTCACGTTTTTAAGAAATATATATATAAATTTATATATATAGAAAATTTGAAAACAATTTGTGCTAAGCAAACAGAAGAAGTTTTAAATTCAATGTATTGAAAAAAAATTTTGAACGCTTTAAGTATTAAATTTTCAATGAAGTAATTGTTTGAATAACAATTGAATGTAGAAAAAAAAACAAAATATTGTAGCTTATTTTTTAAATTTTTTCTCGCTTCTTCCGAAGCAGATCAATATAAGCGCAATCGACAAGAGATGATTTTTCAACGTCTAAATCAAACATCAAGTCGTACGCTATCTTTTCTCCATCTTCATCAATTTCGTCATCGTCCAATACAACCTATTTAGCAATATTCGTGTCAATATTTTTTTCTCTCAGGTTCAATGACATTTGAACTAACCTCAAACTCCATAAAGTCACCTAAACCTTCTACAACATCCAGATGTATGCGAGCTTTACCAATCATATACAACTTTCGAACTTTCCTGACAACTCCCAAAATAGGTAGAGCCTTTTTAAGAGTCTCTTCAAGCTGTTTTGGATTGTTTGTAGGAAATTTTTCGTAAGAGGACATTTTGGGTCCGATTTCGTCTGCTCTCTTGTAAGCAATCAACTCGCCTTCATCCTGTAGATAAATAACAAATAAAATAAACTGTACAAGGTATTAAAACAAAAAGATATCACTGATTAAACCTCATCAAAATATCTTAATTTAAGTCGTTCATTTTCTCTGCCATTCACCAAAAAAAAAATATCTTTTTGTATGAGAATTTTTGGATTTTCTTTATGGAACTTTTCTTTCAACACTTTTTCGATTTCTTGTACGCTGTTTACGTTAACTTTCAATTCGATATTTCTACCCATTGCAGAATGTTCTTTCTGAGATAATTTAAAAACAAATTGTGTTAAACTATGATGTTAAGATGTGTTAATTTTTTTTTGCTGTGTTTAGAACAGAATATTCGCAGGTGTTCCAAATTCGAATGTTCTAATGACTTTCTTTTTTTAGAAAAACATACATAAACATCTTTATTTTTACAGAAACTCTTTCCAGATATTATTCTAAATGGAAAAATGAAAAGCTTCATACGTTGCAAAAAATATTAGGGTGCGCACGTGAGCCTTTTTGACCAATAAGCTCGTTTAAAAACAAAACCCTGGTATGTTCTCTTCCAAATAGTGAATTTTTCGAAGTAATATTCAATGTAACTATTTAATATATCGACTTACTATATTAATCCAATTTAATTTTATGATAAATAAAGTATCAGAGAGTATTTCTTATACTTTCTTTGACTTGTTACCAGACTTGGAATGAAAGAATTGCACTGCGCCAGTCTTGGATATTACTAAAACATATGCGTATCACTTCATTCGACGAAAATAGTTGAAGACTTAAATTTTTTTTGTGTAAACAATACAATTTATTATAATTTTCAATAAATATTTAATTTTGTAATTAAAAGGAATTACTGTAGCTATTTTAATTGATTGTGCACAAGTCAAAGTTATACATTTATACGAAAAAAGAAGGGGAATCCTTGATTTTTTTAACTTCTGCTTAACTTTATTAAAACTTGGAATAGAATTCATAGGAATCCGGTCACCTGATGACATAATTACCAAGTAACATTTTTTCGAAAGCGAATTAGGAAATTAACGGCGTCCCCCCAACGCCGCGCGGTAGGTATTAATACCCGTTCCGGCATTTCAAAACGCTTTTGGAGTAATTTCTAAAGCTCTCTGTAGATGACATGGATATAACGACAGGTATATATTTTCCTTTATTAAATTGTTATTTTGAAATATTTTGGCCAATCTTACTTACTAATGAATACACAATATATAAATCCTTTGCAATCTTAATCAATTCTTTGTATACATCATTCTCGCTTAAGATGCGATTGAAGTATCAATGATAGCACCTCGAACAATGCTTTTTTTTAATTTTCTCTTTTTCTTCGCATTCTCACTTTTAACTATTATTGCACCCACTTCAAAGATTGTTGTTAATGGCGATCTACGAAAGAACAGTAAGTTTGGAGAGTCCTGATATCGCTAAGGAATTTCCTGGTTTGATAAATTTGATGAGTAAGTTGGGCATGATAAACTCTAGACAGCCAAAATTCCTACCCGCATCCACCACTTACCATCAATTTTTAATGTTATATGAAAGAAAGATCATACTTTTTTCACAGCGATTCCAATATATTTTCTTTCTAATATAGGTGACGATGAGGATAAGCATAAAAAGAAGAAGCTGATAAAAGACAAAAAAGAAAAGAAAGACAAAGGTTATAAACCATTTGAAGAAGAGCATAGCGAAGAAGAAACCCTTGTACAAGGTGCTGATGAGGGAAGGTAAGGAAAATTTGTAGAAATAAATACGCTCTTTTTCAATAAATCTCTGTATTTTCTGTATAAATAAAAATGCTAACGAAGCATCTTTTTATGATAATTTATATAAAGACTACGAATTTTGGAAAATTTCGTTGTAAATAGTAATTTTTCTTGTATTTTTAATTAGGAGTCCAGTGAAAGTGAAAAAGTCAAGTAAAAGTTTTAAATTTCCGTCAAGAGATTTCTTTAAGGTATTTAATAATTTTTCGAAAAGTTAAATAAATCATTAAAATTAAGAATCAGACGTATTTATAAATAAATACTCTTCTAGCCCGAGAAGAAAAGGGATAAGGATAAAGATAAGGATAAAGAGAAGGAAAAAGATGATCTTAGTAGTAAAGAAAAAAAGAAATTAAAAAGGCGGAAACGTCATGCGCATAATTCAGGTAAAAAATTAATTGATAAGTTTTTCACTCTTTTTTATAATTTCCTTTTCATTTAGACCGAAAGAAGGAAAAAGAATCACAAACTCCTATGTTTGGTATATCTTTAATAACTGCAATTGAAAGGAGTAATAACTACGATGGCATACATTTGCCGTTAATTGTTAGAAATTGTATAGATTATATAGAAGAATTCGGTAAGGCTTAACTAAAAATCTTGTATTATTTAATCTCATCAAAACTTTCTAAGAATTTATATATAATATAAATATTGGCATATTATTTTTTTCTTAATAGGCCTAACCTGCGAAGGAATTTATCGTATATCGGGCGTTAAATCTAAAGTACAGGCTCTTAGAGAAATGTATAATCGGGGGGAGACTGTATGCTTAAAAGAGTACGACCCTCATACGGTTGCGTCATTATTTAAGCTGTTTCTTCGAGAATTACCAGAACCCTTACTTACGAAACAATTAAATTCCCAATTCGAGGAAGCTTGTAAGTAAAAAGAATTGATTTAATTTTTAATCGACAAAATTAAATAGGAAAATAATTTATTTTTTTAGCAAAAATTAAAAATATAACAGCAAAATTAGAAGAATTTGAAAAATTAATGAAATTATTACCTTCACCTAATTATCTTCTCATGTCTTGGGTTATAGTGCATTTATCGCATGTTATCGAATACGTATGTATATTCATTTATAATTGAATGATAAAATAATAATTATAATTTTCTTTTTAAAGAGAAAAGAAAATAAAATGTCTCTACAGAACGTAGCAATAGTACTTAGTCCTACAGTACGTGCAACCCATAGTGTATTAAACACTCTATTTCAAAATTCCAAGCATTTTTTTCATCATGTTTCTCTTAAAAGGTAATAAAAGAAATAAATAAAAATTGTTAAATTTTTCAAACATACTATTTGTTTTTTTTTTTCTATTGTATTTTTTTTATTTTGTTTTGTTTTTTATTTTTTTAAGATACGCCGCTCCTTTGAAACCAGTTGGCTCTAAATGGTCTCTTGAATTACCAGATAATTCTGAAGCTTTACAAGAGGAATTATCTAAACAGGAATCTCGATTGTCGTTTTTACACCAAAGATTAATTATTTGTCGAGAAATTGAATTGGAAGAGGAATTATGGGAAGTTCAACGAGTAATTACTCAACTAAAAAGGAAGTTGAAGCAAATTCTCAAACTCAAAGAAATTACGCCTGCAGAAGTCACTAATTTAACTCCTGTTGAAAGACATTCAACCAAAACTACACCTGAAGTAAATCTCAAATCGACCCCAAACTTAAATATGAAACATGATAGGTCGTTAAAAGAATTAACCGAACAGCCAAAAAAAGCCACTCCCGATGCACATAGAAAACGACTGTCCGCTGAAGAAAAAGAAAATGCTCCACCAGATCAAGTTGAGAATGATCAGCAAGTAAATTCGATTGAAAAAGGCGAAGCTGTCGTTGTGATGGAGGAAATAGCAAATGCGAATGAAGTTGAACGTTTCGTAGAAGTACCCAATGATTCTATATCGCTGGAGGACGAAGAAGGTAGTGATTCGCTAGAGGCTCGCGAAATTAAGATGATTAATGAACGTAATCAAGAATTTTATGAGAGCGAAGAGGAGAAAGTGGAGGAAAATGATGTCGACGACGACGATGATGATGATGATGATGATGACCTTGTCATATCAACTGAATGTAGTTCTGAAACAGTTGTAACTAGTTCAGACGATGAGATTGTAGAAGGAGATGATATGAGTGCATCTAAATATGAAGAATTGCTAGTCATACACCAAAAAGCTGTTCTGGAGGAGGAAGAATTGATAGCAATACGTAAGTAGATATTTATTATGATTTTAATTAAATTCGTTTTGGCTTTTAGGTGACGAACTGAGACAAAAAATCGATACAGAACAGTTGGAAATTGAAAAGTTACACCAAGTAAATATTTTTTTAAAAGTCATATTTCTTGAATTAACATATCTCTTTTGTAGTTTTTCTACTAAAATTACATTTTTTTTTTCAATAGGAAATAAGCGATATGAAAGCTATTAATGAAGAATTATATTGTACTGAATCGTCAGATTCCGATAGTGACGATGAAGATCTTAATGATTTAATTCTCCACTTGCAAAATATAACAAAAAGCAATGAAAACGAAGAGGTAACAAATTCTTTTTTTTTTTCATTTTTCTTACGATATTGAAAAAAAGCTAACTTTTTTTTGTTTTCTTATTCTATTTCAGTTTAAGAGTAAAGACTTATGTGACAAAATTCATCAAGAAAGGCAAGCATGCCTAAATGTTAAAGTTGAAATTCGTCTCATTCAACAAGCCAATCAGGATAATTCATTTTCAAGTGATAGTCCAAAATTTACTTGAAAGTCCTTAATAATCATATATATTTATATATATATATATGATGTAGTTTAAAAGAAATAATATTTATTTCATTAAATCATCAAATAAGTTTGAAAAAAATCTCTGTTTGGGCAACAATATTTTATTGTTTAATTATAAAAAATTCCTCTAGTCTAGAAATCACAGTTTCTGGATATTGTGATTGGGTACAACGACAAGGTTAATTGTTTCATTTTAAATTATTAAAAAGAAAACAATAAGAAAAACTTTTTCTTTCTCTCTCTCTCTCTCTCTCTCTCTCTCTCTACTTTTTCTCCCATTAGGATCTTTTCTGGAAAACTTCGAAAATAAGTTTATTCTTTCTCGTATGTTCTCAACCAAAAAAAATTTGTTTATATTTCAATTACTATTATGTCAATAAATGTTTATGAATTTAAAGAGTTTCCTATATAATTATTATTTCCATTCATTTGGCGACTAGGTATTTATGTCAAGAAAATCTTTCCTAGGTTATCAATCACGGTCTTTGTTTTACAGCAGCAAAAGCTAACTTTCTTGCCATATATGGTGAATCCTTCTCCACTAAGTTGACTAGTCTTGATAATTTGGCTTTTTCGGTTCTTTTACTTTTACGCATTTTAAATTTAACATCTTTTGATTTAGGTTCTATGATTGGCACATTTTCCATATGATCAAGTACAAGTTTCCAATTTTTAGTTCCAACTACCGCCTCTGTTCCCTTGAGAATATCATTTTTCACTTCCTGTTGACGTTGTTCCTCATTCAATTGACTTTGAGTTGATTGTTGTTTCATTAAAATTCTCCTATAAATGAAATATCCGTTTTCTTTTATACTAAAAGAAGTATTAAGTTGACGTTTGTTTACCTTTTTACTGTACCAACTCTCTGTCCAACGGGGGCGGTTTTAGGTCTTCTAGCATTTCTTATATCCTTTCCTATTGAACGTTGACTAAAACCAGGATAAAGATATTCCATATCTCCGACAAATCTTTTCTTGTACTTGTCAACCTATTGAAGAGATTGATTTGTTTGTTTGTTTGTTTGTGTGTTTATTTAAGAAGAATAACGTACGAGAGTAACATCGCTGAATTTTAGGTTAGAAACGTTTCTCTCCAATTCTTCAACATCTTCTTGGCGAATTACTGGCGGGGTACTATACGGTCTTGCAGGATAATTTGATTGTGATTTCGATGATTTTGTATTTTTAGCGTGACTAGTTTTTGGTCTTTTATAAAAGACTTTCATACGATCTTGCAGGCTATTCGGATGATTATCAGTTGATTGGCTTTGGGAATTATTATTGGACTGGAAATCGTTTATAACCCTGGGAGTTGTAATAGGTCTATCTCGAATATATCCGGCTTGAGCGCTTTGTACACGTCCCTCGGATTTATTCATTTCTTCTTTAAGTGGCATGTACTTTCGCATATGTTCATAAACCTATTGTAATTACGTAAATAATTCCCGTTTAACATTTACAATACACAAATTATGGAAATTGGATGAAATTAGAAGAATATCAATTTTTCGACCTTTTCAAAATGAAAAGGTGACGAAATGAGAAATATAGTATAACATAAAGAATAACAATTAGTAAAATCTAAAGCTTTTCGAAAAGATTAATAGAATTATTACGGAATATAAAGCAAACAACATTAACAAACCCTTTTCTATTTAAATCCAGTTTGTGTTTTGATAAGCATTTGTTATTTAAGCAATAGTCTGTTTGTTTGTTTGTCTATCTGTCTCTTTATACTTACCATTCGTCTTCTAACTTCAGGATCAATTGTACTTTCTTTAGGTAACCTTTTACTTCCGTGACGTTCTTTCGAAAACGCCCTTTCCTCTTGTAAATATTCTTCGTCTAATTTCCAGCCCATCTTCTCGTCATGATGATGTAAAAGTTCATTAAAATCTTCCAGCTAACAAATTAAGCAAAATAGATAAGTGATTTAATGTGGTATTTATGCCTACTTCGTAGAGTCCTGTTGAGAAATCTTTGGTTAAATTTAAATTTGAGCCTTTATTTTCCCATTCTTGATATTTTTTACACCAAAGTATTAATTGCATAAATTCATCTAATTGCATACGATTCGATTCGGTAAATGCTTGTTGCATATGCTTTAATCTATGTCTCTTCTTCATAGGAGATATTTGAAAATTACACATTTTCAGAGCTCTCCTAAGACGTTCCTCCTCTGTTAGAAGACCTCTTGTATCTAAAGTTTCGTAAACTCCATACGCAATTCTTATATCAAAAAGTTGCTTGAAACTAAAAGGGGATCGGATTAATTTATAGGATTAATCTATATCTTATTGACTTAACTCTTACCTTATTGCTCTGTGACTTAGCAGGTAGACGGATTTCTTTATGACTTTAAGATTCCATTGTGGAGAATGAATATTAAATGTATGATCAACAGCTCTATCAAAGCAGTGGTGTTTGTTTATCAGATAATAGAAATTCTAGATTGATTTTAAGAAAATGATTAGGCGATAATTCGCTATTAATTGGATGCAAAAAATAACTAAGATATGATAAACTTACTTCTATTGTTATACCGCTCTTTTCAGTGTATTCCTTTGGAATCTCTCTCAATAAATAATCACTAGGAAACTGTAAAGAGTTTCTTTTTGAGGTCTATAATTAAAAATATAAAGCTTTGTAACTTACTCCTAAAGCTCTGCTGAGGCATCTGAAAATTAATTAACGTTATTAGTCGTAAGAAAAATAGATATTGATACTAATTACTCTAATTCGTCCCATTGGAGGAAATTTTCACTCCGGGGATAGTCTAAATGCACCATAGTCGACATTTTTAAAAGTGTTTAAAGAATAGAAGAAGAGAACTTTTCAAGTTGAATTAGCCACCATGTTTGTTTACGTTATTTACCGAAGACTGGTGCGTGCTACAATTTGAAAATTCGACTCGAATTTAGTGAGTAGATTGCCAACAATGTCATCAAATTATTTCGCACCACATATTTAAACTTATCCGAATCGATCATCTTTTATTTGCTTTTCTTTTTAGCATATTCACTTTGAAATATTAAAAAAAAAGACTTATATATAATGTCAAGATTCCTCATAGAACACCATTATTTACTTGCATTCCCCCACCCCACCTTCTAATGTTTATTCACTATAGTTACAAAGCTAATAATTAACATTGATTGGCTATTGTTAATGGCTTCATTAGTAGTCGCTCTTATTGTTATAAAGCTGGCAAGTACTATAATGGCATAGGAAAATGATCAATAAAAGATCACAAAGAAAAAAGGATAGATAAAAATAGAAATTTGTTTATAGTCCAGAAGTGACAAAGTAAAGATTATTCTCCAATTAAGGGAAAGAGATCATAAAACTTCAGTTAATAATAGGTCCTTGAAATTCTTAAAAAATTGAATCTAGATATTAATTATCTTATGAATATCATTATTTTCGTGCCAAAATTTACAAGCAGACGTCAAGTTCCGGTTCCGAATAGTCAATGAAGAAATAAACGTAAGAGAAGATGATTTTTTTTAAATATTGTGCATTAATTCTGTTCAATTTATTTACTCTAATAAACTCGCATACATATGAAATCTATGATATACCCAAAATATTTGAAATTCTTCACCATTCCTGCTTTGTTGGATTTAATGTAGCTGAATTAAAAACATATGGAAGTATTAAAGATCTCTCTAATATCTATCAAGATGACAATGTTACCGTGGGGCTATTCAATGTATCAGGATTTGAACTATGGCCAAATGGTCAAAAAGTAGATCAGAATATGTTTATGAGCAGTTTTGTAGCTATTGAAAAGATTAACTTAGATAGATCTTGCTTATTGATGCCATCTCATGTTTTCGCCTCACCCAAACCGGTACCATACAAAGGGATAATGTCGCTGAACTACCTTGTTGAATTTATAAATAGTCTTTGCTCAACTTTCAGACAGGTGGACGGTACTTTAGATGCAAAGGGTAAGAGGAAAGAGTCAATATTACGGGATGTTTATAAGGTAACTGGAAGAACTATTGAAGAATTATATAAGAAATATCCTAATAGTCTTAATGCTCATTTCGTACGTGCTGATCAAATGAATAATGAAATGTCTCAATGTGAAATTTACAATAAACCACCGTCTGCTAAAGAATTTTTTGATAAATTTCTAACTAAATCAAAACCAGTTATTTTTAAAGGTTTAGCAAACAATTGGAAAGCTCTGGAAGACTGGAAAAATAACTATATCAGGGAGAAACTGTCCAATCAGGTAGTTCATATTAAATTAACGCCAAAAGGCGATTTTGAAGGTGTTGAATCAGCAAAACTATGGGAAGATTACGAAAGTTTAGAAATACCCGAAAAGGTTCGAAAGCAATTAGAATTTCCCGATCTGGTCGTTGTCAGGCCAGCCCCGGCAAATATGAAAATGAAGGAATTTTTAGATATAATAGAATATACAGGCTCCTTAAAGAATTATACTATGAGAAATATATCAGCCTATATGGAATATAGTTCTATTTCAGAATATATGCCAGATATGTTAAATTATATAGAAGAGCCAGAATTTATTAAAGAGTACTTAGACAAAGAGCACACAAATTCCTGGTTAAGTGACGGTCATACAATTGGAAGGCTTCACTTTGATCCTTACGATAATCTATTATGCCAAGTAAATTTGAATTATCTTATCGTATATTTCCGTAATTTCATACAAAACTATTATGCAGGTATCCGGAACTAAGCAAGTTATTTTATTCGAACCTTGGGATAATGAGAATCTTTACGAATCTCATATTATTCAAGGTTCGTTGAGCTTCGATAGAAAGGTTAAAAAATTCCGAAGAAAATCTCGAGACGACAGTACTTCAATGGTTATGTCACCAGTCGATGTAAAAAAACCAGATTTTACAAAATTTCCTAATTTCGCTAAAACTCGTCCTCTAAATTGTACTATATCTCGTGGAGATGTACTCTATATGCCCTCGTTTTGGTGGCACGAAGTGAATTCTATGCCAAATATAACTGAAAAAAGGAATTTGGCTGTGAACTTTTGGTAAGATGTTGGGGCTTTTCTTTCTTCAAGCATTCTCTCTTTCTCTGTCTTCTCTATTTTCTTCCATTCATTACGTTCAAATGATATAGCTTGTTTTTTTATTTTTTTCTTTTTTAGGTATACACCATTTTTAACAAAAGAATATCCTTGTCGAACATGTAAAATGGATGTAAACAAGAAATACTTTGATCTACTATGATGCAATAATACATAGGAAGAGACAATTATTTTAATATGCTTAATATTGCTATTAAAATTATTGGTAAACTAAGTCCATAAAGAGCAATTATTCTTCTATTACTTCCACTCCATTGTTCAAACTCCTTCTTAGCTTCTTTCTCTTGCATCTTTCGATGATAACTCTCTCTTATATTTCTTCCGTAATGTTCTTTGTAAAACTCATCGAAATTATAATAGCTCGTTCTACCACTCATCGGAGCCTTAGACCTAGCTTTAAACGTTCCTCTTTGTCTATAAAATTGTCTATATGATGGGTCAACGTTCTTCATTGCCTCTTTTACTTCGTAAATTTCGAAACGTTCATCGTACATTTTACGCTGATCAGAATTCCCTAGAATTTCGTAGGCTTCCGTTATTTTTATATATTTTTCTTTAGCTTCCTTTGATTTATTTACATCGGGATGATATGTTTTTGATAGTTTATAAAAAGCTTTTTTGACTTGACTTTGGCTGGCTTTTGGGGAAATTTGTAAAATGTCATAAAAGTTCACTTCTTTAACTGTTGAAGCAATTCTTCGTAACTGTACAAATGGGATATTTCTTTGCTGTAACAATAACATCATTACGGATTTTTATGGCCTTTTTTCTCTTTCTTTATTTTTTATTTTGTTTACAGAGAGGTTGGAATTAAAAAAAATTGTCCTTGACCCTGAAAATTATTCCGTAGTAAGATTATAACCTGGTAGAAATTTAAAAATAGTGATTTTCGCGCGTCAATTTCAAACATGTCAAAGTTGGCCGTTTTAGAGGGCTATGTTGTTAGTAAAGCTGTACAATCTGACTATCTGGATATTAATGCGATACAGCACTAATGCATATACGTACATATATATATATATATATATATATGTATGGGGAATAAGTGGTAAAATGCGGGAATAGGGGAGAAAATCATTAGAATTCTATTATTTAATTTAAGGACTTTATAACAAAATTATTTAAATAAAATACGCGTTTAGTGTCTTTTATTAACGAATAAATAAGAATCCAAATCCATAAAATTTATTAACAAGTGAGATAAGATTTTAAAGAAGACTTTTTCTGCGTGTCTGTTTCTTTTTTATCACTAGGGATTTTGAATGGTATTGGTTAACCATTCCATCGACTCTTCCAGGCCTTCCCCTTTAATGGCCGAAGTTTTAAATATCTGGTATCTCCTATTTCTTAAGGACGTCAAGCCTAATACCTGTGATACTTCCGATACGCTATAGAGGAAAACTTGAGCTATTTCCTTTCAATAGGAAAGTATTTTATTATTCTACTTACGACATAGCTCCCTCTAGATCTTGCTTATTAGCCAGTACAACCAAAATAGACTTCTTCAATTCGTCTTCCTAGAAAGTACATAGAAGTAGGTAAAAAATTTTAATAAAGTAGATGATAAAATATGAGAAAGGAAATCTGAAAGAGATAGCCTACCTCGAGCATTGAAAAAAGTTCTTGCTTAGAGATTCCAATACGGTCCCTATCCATACTATCGACTACGTATATAATTGCATCAGTATTTGAGTAATAGCATCTCCAGTACGGTCTAAACAAGATTGTTTCAAATTTCCCATTAAAAATGAAATTAATAGAGAGATACCGTATTTCGTATTTAACAAACCTTATACTTGTTTGTCCACCTAAATCCCAAACTTGAAATTTTAGGTTTTTAAAGGTGACTGTTTCGACATTGAAACCAATGGCTGTTATGGGTGATGACAATTACCATTTTTAAAGGTTAATTACTACGAAACTAACTTGGTATAGTTGTCACAACTTCACCAACTTGTAAACGATACAATATCGTTGTTTTACCAGCTCCATCAAGGCCTAGAATCAAAATTCGACGTTCTCTTCCACCGAATAGACCAGAGAAAACGCGGGAGAAAAATCCACCTATTCATTGTTAATTAGAGAACGTAAATATAGATATAACAATACAATAGATACGTGTATTTATGAATTATTATATGTTACATTAAAAATTTCCCTCCTAATCATTATATTCGTTTCTGTTTGTAGATATATAAACTCTTTTGTTCAGGAAGAGTTTTAAAAACTTGTCAACTTTCTTGTTAAGATGTAAAAAATAGATTGTTTGTCACATGTGCTAGTTTTCTCTTTTTAAATTTATATATACATGTTATATATTTGAAATACAACCAGTCTTACACCTTTTCAGTATGCATTCTAAACAATTTTTAATTAAAATAGTTCGTTTTTCGTTTAATTCTTAGAAATTAAGAATAAAATTCGGGAATTATTTAGTTTTCCATTACTAAAAATACAAACATATGCTAGTATTCCTACAATCGGCAAATTGACACTGCTTTTCATATCCTATCAAATAGTTTATAGATTTTGCAACACTTTTGCGATTTTCTTTAAGGTTTTACGATTACTTTTTAAAGCTTTCTATTTTTACTTTATAAAATCATAAAATTTTCTTTTTCACTAATTGCATCAATTTTTTCAACGCGAAATAAAGAACTCGTTGAAAAATTCTAGATTATAGACAAAAGCAACATTTGCAGGATAGTTAAAAGCATTTTTAACACTAAAGTTGAAATAAAAATATTTTTTATTCTCACCCATTAGGCTTCACTAAAGATAGAATTAGTAATTCAGAATAAAAAATAGCTTTTGCGAGTTGTTAGAATACCGGAAGTCGAAGTCTTTTATCGATTGTGCCCGCTATATGCCAATAAATAAAGTATTAAATTCAATCGGTTAAGGATGGAACATCTGGCAGAGTTTAAAAAAAACATATTTTAAGGAAATATCAATAAAGTTTACTCTGTAGAGGAAGAGTTAAAGTAAAAAAAAAAGAACTAATCGAAAAAAGAACAACGTTCTGTATAAACTTTTACAAGGAATAAATACTCTTTTAAAAGACTTAGTTGATATGGAATTTGTATATCGAAAATCAGAAGTTTTGTCGATAATTAAAAAAAAAATAGTAAAGTATGTTCTGTACAAAAGATTGAGTGAAAGATGAAGAAAGAAAGAGAGAGAGAGAATACATAGCGGGGATTTATTCTACCAGTTTACACTATATGATTATACAAATGTATAAAGGCAATGGCTATATTGAGTAAATGAACTACATTATAGAGGATATTTATATATGTATATATTAATACTGTATATATTGTTTTAAGTAGAACATTATACTTCTATCTATATATTTCTTATAGTCTAAACCTTAATATCCTATCTGCGATGCTCTTCATTAAAAATCTAGGGTGTGAAAAGAAATCAACTCATGAATTTTTCCTATCTTTCATCTAGTTCTCTCAGGTACCCGAGGCAGTTATATTTAATAACCAAGACTCTAGACGATCTAGGCAAATGATATACTTTCTTTCAGTTGACAAATTGTAAAGAGCATAGAATATGTAGTATATATTTTTATAATTGCATAGCCTTATGTTTTTAGCAAGATAGATAGAAAAGATGATAATAAGTTTACCAAATATGGTAATAAGTTTAAAAGTCGTGTTGAAGGGAATGCATAGCTGGATTAGTCGTGGGAGTTACTTTTAGTCTATGCTTCTGTCCAGGTTAGGACACTAAGTTGAAAATCTAGTTGCTTCCCTTTTCAATATGTAATTAAAACATATGTTTAATGTAATTATTCGTGAAGAAATGTAGAGTAATGCCATGACTACAATAAACGTTACTATTATAACACTTTTTCACATCTAATGATAGCAACTAGCCGTTAAATTCTACGTAATGGATAACATTATTAGACGCTCTTCTTATCAAGGTCAGCTAAAAATTGTTTAACTAAGAAAGAGTTAATTACGTTTATCATATAATTTTAAAAAAATATTACATATATACCGTCTATGACAAACAACTGGATTTACAGATAAAAGATAGAAAAAGATAAGGATTCTTTTTTCAAAAAAGAAACAAAGAAAGAAAAGAAGGAAACTTTCTTGTTTTTTTTTTATAAATAAAGTAGGAAAAATGAAAGAGTTTGTTGAACTGTCTATAAATACACGGTAGTGTTATAAAATTGTATTACAGTTGTTACTGCAATATTACTGTATTTCCTTGCTGCGTACATGTGTTTATAACGCTTGTGGAGAGTAGATAGAATAATAAATATCATTAGAAATGATTGTATACTGATTGATATCAGTGAATATGAAAGAAAGCTTATCATTTTCAATTCATTGTCGGATTTTGACAGTTACATAACACTTTCAGTACATTATAGCATGGCTTTCTTTTCAAAAGAATTACAAACAAAACTTGTTGAATATGAAAGACTTAATAAAGTTATTATAATGAAACGTTTAACAATACACCATATCTATTCATAGGCCTATACAACTGTATACTTTCACCCTCCCCTCTCTCTCTCTCTCTCTCTCTCTTCCTCTCTGTCCTTACCAACAACAGCGAGGGAAAGAGTCGCAGTTGTCACAATGTATAAGCTATTGATAAAATTGTTAGCTAACATGTGTAAGAAATCTTTTTTTAGGCACAGAACACACTTTGAAACGTGATAAGTTAATTTTTAAATATAATAACTCTTTACGGATGAAAAGAAAAATGTTGTTTTTTTCCCAATTTCGTCGTCGTCATTAAAATAAAATAGGACAAAAATGATAACAAATATAATCAACCTAATATTCGTCATATTTAATTTCTATTATTGAGTTGTTTGTTACTTTTATAAGTTGATGTACAGCATTGTTTAATTTTGCTTTCTTTAAATTTTACCTTTTTATTCAAAATATATTCAAATATTTGCTGACACAAGCATATTATATATATATATGCATCTATATATATATAAGTCTGTGTGTGTGACAAACAACAGACATAAACAGATGGGTCAACAAAGACAATAACATGACGTATGCTATATACTCTTTATTAAATAAATGTACACTAATACATATGATAAAGAAGGAGCGAAAGAAAGAAAGAATAGATTAATAAATAAACAATTCCAAAGGAAAAAAGAACAAAATAAACGGAATACATTAAATAAGAAATTATAGACTTATTATCCAAATTTGTTCATCAAATATATCCAAAAAGAGAGAAAGAGAGAAATAAGAAAAGAAATAAATCTAAAAAGGGCGGGGGAGGGAGAGAAAGAAAACTCCATCACGGTTAATGGAAACCATGACGGTTTTTTTAGCGTTTATAAACGTTGACGTAAAGTAATCGACAATAATATCATTGTAGGAAGAACAAAAAAGTTATTATCAAAGGTATAATTTTCTTCCTTTCGCCTCTCTCCTTCTCTTTCTCTCTCTATCTCTTTCTCAAACTAATCTTGTATATATATATACATATATATGTATATATATGGGAGTTATAACCCTAACAGATAGTACAATTAATACAACTTTTTGATTTTTAATCAAGTATACCTTATACATATATATATGTATATCTATATATGCATTAAACATTTATATGTATTTCACCTAAATAACAACCTTGTTTTCTTCTTTCTTTTTTATTTTTTTTCGGCTTTTTTCTTTTTTTTTTCCTTTTCAAGTCAAAACCAATTCATCCTGGACGGGCCTGGGAATGACTCATTTCTTGGTGAGTCTTTTCGTAAATTTTTAAAGTATAACCTTCTACATTTTCGCTTCTTTATTCTTGGTGTAAATAATTCAAATTCTTCATCTTCGCCCATAAGTTCAAGACTGGGCAATTCTATTCTATCCAACTTTCTGGGGAATATCGTTGGAATAGAATCAACATTCATTACTCTATTCGTGAAGTGAGTAGAACAAACCTGAAAAAAGTGTGAAAAAAACAAAAAACTAAGTAAAAGTAATAAAAAAAAGAAACACCTAGATTATTATACCCTAATGTTATCAGTGATATGGCGAACGTCAGCGTTGACTAGACGCCTTTTCCATTCAGTTCTAATGCGGTCACGTTTTGGACCTGTTGGTAGAGGATGAAGGGATATTTCGTGTCCATCCGGTAAGACTTGACCAGAGAAGTTATTGCATCCAGGAATGCAACATACGACTTTATGGCCAAGTATTCCCCTTCCCTTTCTCGGGCCAAAGTTCCTGTAATTTACGCTCTGTCTGTTAAACGACAATGCTTTATGTAGGAAAAGATATCTCCGCAAGTATTATAATACTTACTGCATTGCCATAATACGACTTCTAAGTACAGCTTTACTACCTCTTGATGGAATATCTAAATCTTGACATATTCTCGATAATTGTCCAGTTTTCATCTTTCTTAGTTGGTCCATGGTAACGTGTTCCGAAACTGTATTAGACAATGAAAAGGACTAAAATTATATGTTGAGAAAAGAAGCAGGGAGAGGGAGATATATATATATATATATAAAGAAAGGAATGGAAATGAAAAGGGAATTAAGTAAAAAAGATAATATAGTTAACATATAACGAACAGCAAGGAAGAATAGGTTCTTCGTTCTTTTGGATAACCTCCTTCGATGGTCCGAGACTCGATTCCGACACTAAAAGTAAGTCAACTAATCACTTTTTTCAAAACAAATTCAACAACTATCCATTGCAATGGTAATAAAACATTTATTTACCTTCTTCTGAGTCTTTATTTTGCATATTTAAACCTTTTATAAAGGAATTTTTAACAGAGCGAAAAGCTGCGTTCAAACCGCAAAACATGCCGGAAGTTTAAATGCGCCCTCTTGATTAAAAGAAAAGTGTTACTTTTTTAAGCATTATATAAGTATATGTATACATAGATATATATACATATATCGTGTATATACACATATATATATATATATATATATATATATATATATATATATATATATGTATACTTATATATAGATATAAAAGTTTCGAAGTGCCTTGACGAGTTTGACGTATGACAACTTACTCCAAACCGCTGTAGATTGTACTCAAACTACCACTACTACTGTAGCAGACGGAATGGTGAAGCAATATAGTTTTATGTATAATTTATATGTATATATATATATATATATATAATCCTCATTAAAATTTCTTATTAAATAGTATTAAGTCAAGGCTATTTACCATAAAAAGATAAATAATCAAGAGATTTAATTAGAAGGAACTAATTATTCTCAATAGGTTTACAATTAATTAGTACCACGTCAAAATTAATTTATTATCATCAAAAGTACAATCTTGGGTTAACGCAAAATAATTATTATAACTCTATATATAAGATATATAATAAATTTTAGAATTTTCCATACATATTTTATTTATTTTGTATATTTTCATAAATTTAAGTAAAATGTTCCAAAAAAAGAATAATTACGCAACATTTATGTTAAATTAGTAATCTTTAGAACATTCTTTTTCGTTTATTGTTTAAATGTATGCGTTCAGCATCGATTCGTAGTGCTCCTGTTGACCAGTCTGTAAAGTTGGCTCTCCGTTCTTTTTAATATAGTCCTGTTAGTTAAAATAGAGGGGGAGAGGAAACAATTATTTATTTATTGTTGTTCTTTTCTTTTCTTTTATTATTATTATTTTTTAATAAGGACAGAAAATGATAATTAATCAATTTTACCTCCAATTCTTCCAAAGATGCAGTTCCGCCAGATATTTTTGCTCCAATTCCGGAGGAGAAGGACGAATATCGTTTCTAAGAGGATTATTGTTTTTATAAGATATTATTATGAAAGTTTAAAAAACTGAAAAACCTTTAAACAATCTTCGAAATAGCCATCTTGGATAATTTTAATAGCTCCCTTTAATCCTCTTGCCATCGTATCCATTGCTCCGATATGAGCGATAAACATATCTCGAACAGTAGTCGATTCTCTTCGAACTTTGGCGTCAAAATTTAAACCGCCCGGATTGAGTCCACCTTTCTTAATAACAGCCTACAAAATGTATGTTATATAATAGAAATATAATACACAAAGTAGCTTAAATTTTTACCAGCATAATCAAAGTACAGCTTTTAACGTCCATGGGGAATTGATCAGTATCCCAGCCAAGATCTGGAGAACCTGTGTTAGCGTCGATCGAGCCCAACATATCGAACCTATTGTTCATATTAATCATTAAATTTAAATAACTATGTATGTATATTGTATTTACTCTGATGCCAAAACAACGTCATGCTCGTAACCGTGTCCAGCTAAAGTTGTATGATTAGGTTCAATATTCAGCTTTAAATAGAGAACAATTTGTAATTATTATTTTTGTCTCTTTTCTGCTAAATTTAATAAAAAAAATACCTTGAAATGTTTGTCAAGTTCATAAGTTTTCAAAAATCCAATGACAGTCATGGCATCTATAATTAACTTAATTTAAAATTTGTTGTTTTCTCTTCTCTTTCGCTTTACATTAACAATAATAAAAATAATTAGAAGCAAAATTTACCATAATCGTATTGGTGTTTCGATGGTTCTTTAGGTTTTGGTTCGATAAGAAGCTGTCCCGTAAAGCCTATTTTCTCTTTATATGCTAATGAGTGAAACATATTTTTGTCACTAGTATTATAATAATTCTATACAATATGCATTATTAATTTTAAAAAAGAAGAGATAATGAAAAGAAAACGAGAGAGAAGAATACGTTGACGATGTAAAAGAAAGAGATAAAGAGTGCATGAGTTAGTGAGCTGGTGAATGAACCAACGAATGAATGAATAAATAAAGGAAACGCAGAAAGCGAAAAAGAGGTAATTTTCTTACCGACAACCATTTTAAAAAAGTTGGCCATATTCCTCAGTTCAGTCGATATTTGAGTGTTTAAGATACTATGATAACCCTCTCTTCCGCCCCAGAAAACTATAGGGGAATCGATTTATTATAAATAATTTAATATAAACACTCATTGTTGTGTGTGTGTGTTTTTTTTTTATTGTTAATATTTTACCAAAGTTCTCAGCGCCCAGCTTCTTGGCAATTTCCAATCCCTTTTTTACCTGTGCCCCAGCATATGCTACAACATGAGCATCTGGATTACTTGCAGCTCCATTCGCAAACCTTTTTTGTGTTAAATAAATTGATAATTATAATATTTCTATATACACTGTTATTCTATTCAAATTACTTTGCAGCTGAAAATAGATTGCAGGTGGCCCATAGAAGCTTTATACCATATTCTTTCTGCAAGTTTAGAGCCAAGTCGGTGAGTTCGTCTAAATTACGATTAGTCTCTTCCAAAGTTGCACCTTCCGGTGCGATATCACTTTAAAGAAAGGAAAAATGATATAAAGATATTTTTAAAGAGAAATATCTCATAATACACTCTTAATTAAAGGAGAGATAATTACTTACCGATCGTGAAATGTCCAGAATTTTATGCCTAAAAGGTTCATAAATCTAAAAGCAATCCTCAATCGTTGTTTAGCATTCTCAACCGAGTTTGTTCCGTCTTCCCAAGATCTATTTATGGTCGGTTGTCCAAATGGGTCGGCTCCAACGCCACGGAAAGTATGCCAGTAGCAGACGCTGAATCTAAGCCAATCCTCCATTCGCTTCCCGTGAACTAACTCGTCGGGATTGTAATGTTTAAAGACCATAGTCTCGTTTGGTTTAGCGTCTGGCTTATAGGGGATGGGTCCAATTTCTGAAACGAATGAAGGAACTCAACAAATATTCATACAATTAAATTGAATAACCTTCTAAAAATGCGTCTTCTCCCTTGACTTCATCTGCCATGGCTCTCTTGTTAATTGGAATATCTTTATTCGGAATAAGAGAGGGATGTTGTGGATTTATTGAAGGTGCGACAACGAATACAGACTATCGTATCTCAAACTTACGCCCATATAGCGCGAACTATTTAAACGCGCATGCGCATGAAATGTCAAGATTTCAAGACAAGCATCAAGTTAGCTGTAGATGTTTTGAAGCAAGTTTTTCTATTCAATTATACGTGCGTGTTTTCTTTAACTTTTGAAACATGTAACGTTGATGAGCTTTAGTTATTGTCTTTGACCTCCCTATGACTAATTCCAATATAAATAACAACAAAATCCCCTCTAATTGGACAGCCCCTTACATGATTCTAATAATTATCCCTGCTAAATAGAGAGACAGAGAGAGAAAGAGAACTTCCAAAAAAAGAGAGATAAAGATATGATGGGTAATAAAAAAGAATAATATTAGAATTAATTCTTAAAACAAACTGTTTCTTTAAAAGAGATCAGCTGAATATATAGATGGGACGATGGTCGACTTCACCATATGAGTTTACTGTAAAATCTGTTATATAATATATGCACATAATATTTATCATTTAGTAACGATAATTAAATGTCATACGCTTCATAAACAGTTTGTCAGTCGCTGCATCTTAATCCTAATTAAAAATATGTTATAATTAACAGCGTGATCATATATTGGTGGAATTATCAACACTGTCGTTTTTTTCTTCTAATACTGTATATTTATACTGTACCAACTGTATACCTTTTTTATTGAAAAACAGACAAACAAGGAAAGTAAACTATGCACCTTTAAGGCTGACTTTGTCGAGTTGGGTATATAAATCGCTTAGAAGAAATACATTGAAAATATATCGGATTTCCGACAAACTTGTCTTCCGCAAATACGGAATGCACGCACGTAAAAACTTTTCCATACGCTTTGTCATTCGAATCTACACAATTAAAAAAAGAGGAAGGTATTGTCTTTATTAAGAATATCCATTGCCTAATACTATAAAGAATGTAAGATAATCTTTGTTGAGATCTTTCAACAGGTTTATATTCTTTATCTAATTGCTATCCAATTCATTCTATTATGTCGATTAAGAAATTTTCCTTCTCTCCTTTACCCATATCCTATCAGAAGGGATTGTCTCTTTCAAGCCTGCTTGCTCGTCTGATTAAGCTTCTCTCTTATTCAAGATCATTTCGCCATCTTTCCTTCAACTATGAAGATTAGCGAATTAACGTTTGCATAAGGCTTAGTATTAACTTTTTGTCATAGATACACTATTACTTCCAATATTTTTCTCTCCACATCTGAAATTAGGCTTTTTTCCAAAAAAAAGTAGATGGCGTTATTGTCTAATTAACGATTGAATATTTATTAATTATCGTTTAGATCATATTTCTAGTGTTCAGAATTAAATTACAAAGTATTAAAAGAAACTTAGCGTTGTTTTATCTAAACTTAAATGTTCCTATATTATAGTTTTTGCATTAGACGGAAGCTTATTCACATTCCGAATTACTTTTATCATAAATTAATCGTTCCGCCATTGTATAGTTTTGATTTTTCTGCAAACGCAATTGGAAAATAGAAGAGACGGGTGAGACTTTTCCCTTTTCGTTTGAATAAAAGAGCAAAGTCCAAGGATCCTTTAAAGTTAGTATCAATACCAATACAAATAAATAAATACATTATAATATTAAACTTACAAGTTTAAATCAAGTCAATTGTCCTTTATTACTTATAATCTTTGTTTAAAAAATATTTGGCACTATACAATATACTAGGATTAAATGATTATATTGTAAACATTGTTTTCTTTTGTATTAATAATATATTAGCTGTGTTTTAAAACGACCTCTTTAATAAATAAAAAAATTAGTGTATTTTTTTTACAATAAAATTAATGGAAGATTATTTTTAGAACGTCTAAAATCTATGACAATTCTTTTTATTTCTAAGGAAAATAATGAGAATAATGAAACTTTTTCAAAGTAAGATATATAAAATAATTTAAAATTAATTTTTAAATAAAATTTATATAAAATATTCTAGGAATGATGTAATAAAATGTAAAATAAACAATGAACGATAATTGGCAATTAGCACAAAATGGTATTAGTACAAGTTTTTTTTTTTTCAAACAAAAAAACGTCAGTGCCAAGAATTAATAAAGTACGAAGATTTTGACAAGTTTTTAATTAATAATTTATAAATAATTGTTTTATATTCAAAAGTTTTGAAAAATTTAAATCTAAAAAATTACGAAAAGTATTGCTTATAGTTGAGTACTATTTCAAAAATCTGTTAGAGCACGTGTGGAAACGCTTGTAAAGTAGTTGACTTGACGCCTATTATCATGAAAAAACGCCGAAGAAAGGCCCCCCTTTATTCTACAGCCAAAGTGGCAAATTTTGCTTTTACGGACGATTCGTAAGTTTTTTTAATTATTTATCTATGACATGAAATATTTTGTTTGCAAGAAAATGAACTTATCGAGGCGACATTTTAGCGACTAAAAAACGCATGGCGGCAGTTGAAATGTGTTTTTTTCATTTTTAGATCACAAACCGACGACGAGGACAACATGAGGATACATCATAAAACTCATATGAGTTTGAAAGATCTATGCCTCAATGATGACCTAGCAACAAGTATGCTCATAGATCCTATTATTGGTTTTGAAACCCGAAAGATGAACGTCGTCGAGTAAGTTAACAATTTCTCATATAAAGCATTTTTAACAATAATTTAAAAACAAATTATTCTTTCCCAGCTTCGACAAGTCCAAACTACATGTTTACATTGGCATAGCTCGTTTTGCGAAGAAAACCAAGGCCATTGACGCTGTTTTCGACTTGATAGCCGAAACTGAAATATACTTCAGAAAGTTTTATACTGTTATTGATGAATGTGTTATATCATTTCATCGTCATGTAAGTATTATTTAAAACTATAAACTTTTAGGAATTAGTTTGCATTCGTATAATAAAAAAATGGAACATTTTAGAAAAGAACATTTCATGTTGGCGAATATTAAGCGTTATAGGTTTAGATATAGATATATTGTAGGTGTTGGATTCTACTAAGTGAAATTTTTTTTCATAATATTAACACACTAATCGCATTATCTTCAAGTAATAATTACATTTTCTTCTATAGCTTGCTACATACTTCTCTTTTTTCCTGACCTCCTCCGGCTTCCGCCTTGAAAGGTGCGATCGTTATAAATGGGAAAATTATAAAGGGGCTAAAGTTATTGCTACAAAAAAATGGTGTCGAGGAGACAGAATAAAACGATTAGTTGGAATGGCAGCCAAACTTAGTGAAAAGGACGAAGTGGACATTTTGATTCCAGGCAAAAACGATCACAGCGTTATGTACTCGACGTGTGACAAAAGATCTCAACTGTGGCTGGGTCCGATCTCTTTTATTAACCATGATTGTAATCCAAATTGTAAGTTTGTGACAAAGCACGACGGAACGATTGAAGTTGTTGCGATAAATAATATCGAACGTGAAGATGAAATTTTCTGTAATTATGGAAATGATTTTTTTGGCAAGAAGAATTGTTTTTGTGAATGTTTGACATGCGAAGTGTAAGTTTTGGACTATAGACTGCAAACTTTTCTTTTTGTAAAATATTAAAAGAGATTTTATTCAGGTTAGAAAAAGGGTTTTTTGCCAAGGAAAATGTATCAGACCGCAATGAAGATGAAGATATGGAGGCAAAATATCGAGAGCGCGTTGATTGGTATATTCAAAGACGAGAAGGTTGGAAGAGCAAGCGTAAACTATGTGAATCGGAAACTGAGGAAGACAAAGATTTACTCCAACCCATTTTACGTCGTTTGAAAAGATCATCTGTATCTCCGAAACGGACTAAATACGATTTGGACTTTATGAACGTCTATAAATAACATTCAATACCATTATTAATATTACAGAATTATTAATATGTATAAGTAGATTTCGAAAAATTGTAGGCGCAGGAATTACGGTTGTCTTTTTCAAGGGACACTTTTTTTCTGTCTTTGAAATTATTTTTATATATATATCAAAATATATATTGTACATTTTCTGGGAAAAGTCCCTTTATGAAAACTCCTATAATGAACTTTGAATCTTTGATAAAATAATAAATAACATTTCCTTTCTTTATTTTTACTTTTGCTTAAGTAAGTTCCCAATAAGAAATATTTAATTTCTAAAATAAGTAATTTTTATAGTTTCTGGAAGAAAGTTGAGCTTTTGTCTTTGTCTCAAATATTACCAACCAAAAATACATTTTAGGAATAGGCTCATTAAGACAATAGAGAAAAAAAAAGTTTACATCAAATTATAAGCTTATGTCTTTAACTCACAAAAAGAAGACATCTGTTTTCCAGCGTTTTGGAGATAGAAACCGATTGATCTGTGTTAGATAAGTATTTCTTAGAAACAGATATATAAAATTAACCGCCAATAAAGTTGTTGGGAGGCCGTCAAATATCGATAATAAGCTAAAGGTCCCAACGCCTATGAGGCCAGCAATTTTAGTTAAAGCGACAACAAGAAATGGACAACGTATTCATCTATTTGAAAAATATCAGCAAAATATGAATAGGTATAATATAGAGCTATTTCTGTAGGTTAAGGTCTAGGTGAATAGCGATCGCATAGAAATAAATAGTACAAAAGATTTAATACAAGCGGAATAGTAGAGGATTTTTTAATCCTAACTAAAACAGGAAAAAAATCAGTCAGTCACTTTAGATTTCAGTGTTTTTACCTACCTACAATTTTACTGATAATTATTAATCAACGTTAGATCGACTTTTCGTAGATTGTTTATTATATGGTGGAAAAGAATACCATATAGATACTGCGTATTCGCCTGCTTCATTTTAACTTACTGTTTTAGATATGATAGAAGTGTGATTAAACTGATCTAAAGGTTTATATTCGAAGTTATTGATTAATTTAAAGGATTGATCACCGTCAAAAAGGAGAGGTGAGTCTTAGTTTCTGTTTTATGTTTTTAAACTTCCTGTATTCAGTTTTATTTCTATCAATTAAAACTATTATTAAAGAACAGTATAAATATTTCACTTTCGAATTATAACGATTAATAAAGAAATAGTAAGGTATCTTGTATAAGAATGATATTTTAAGATATATATATATATATATACTGTAGATGTAGGTATAACTATATGGCTATCAGGTAGTAAAATAAAAAAATTTTTACTGATTAGATATCCTGATAATATGTTACATTAATACTTATAATAAATATTGAAGATAACTTCAAGAGCAGACAGTTTCCTTCGTGTTTAAAAAAAAAACCGAAATCCTTTAACAATTGTCTACTTTTACTGTACGAAATAAGAGACTCTTTGTTGACGTCATATTGTATTATTCAAATATTTAAACAGGTAGACTAGGAATGAAAATTAATGTAAACATTCCTAGAATTATCTTGATATATTGAGTACTCGTCAGTAAATTGTAACAGTATGATTCATAAGGAATGTTGTATAGTTTAATCGATATTTTATATATAAAGTTATTAAAGAAACTTTGCTTTAAAAGTTAAATAATTAGATCGAAATTTGAAAAAGAATAGATTTATCGCTGCCCATAAGAAACAAATCGTAAAACAACAGAATGTTCCAAATCTTTCTTCAACTGTTCTTTTAAATATTATATGAACTGATCATCCCTATAAAAATTAAACTCGTCGGGGTTAACTGGTAAAAAGCCTATGTATCTTTCGCTTTTATCAGAGAAGAACTAATATAAAGTAATATACCTTAATCTCTCGATAATTGTTCCTGTAAATGGATTTATCTATTTTATAATATTATCTTCATCTGGGCTTTTAGATTTAAAAGGTTTGATTTGTATTCTAAAAAAGTAAAATTTTAAACTTCTGTAGTCCTCTCCCTATTGTTCTTGTTGTGTGCAGAGAAAAGTTTCTAAGATCGGTAAACAAGAAATATTGATTGAAATTTGATCATGCTATTGTAAATAATAATATAAATTAAAAAAAAAATACTTTTAGAACTATGTTGAAAATCTGTAAACCTATCAGATAAACTAAGGATAAAAGAACATTCTAAAATGGAAGAAAATGAAAACGCCAGGGCACTTTTGCAAACTGTACTCATACCCTATGGCTGGTTAACTTATACTGAAAGGGAAAGAGTGGATGCATTTGTAATGTCTAATTGGATACGTGTATGCGAAGCAATGAATATGAACTGTCTGGAAATAGAGGTAGATATTCGAAAATTTATTTCTTTATTTATCGCAGTAGAAGATTTTATGGTAAAAGAGGATACAAGAATTAAAATAGGTTAAAAATACATTAGAAATTTTTATTCTTTATTGACATAAACGCTAACTAAACATATATATATATATATATATATATATGACTCTGATTAATAATTCTTCTGAGGAAGTAAATAGAATGAGACAGTTTTCTTAATGCTCTTGTGTAAAAAGTTTTATGCTGTGTCACCACCATATTTGTCTTTCGTTTTTACCTGCCATAATATGATTCAGACCTATTTCTTCAGTGTGAATAAACCGTTCAATACATAGTATATCCATATCCTTATCTGTGTAATACTATTATTATTATTTATTATTATTTTGTTTGTTATTTTTAGAAATATCAAGAAATATGTTTATATTATATTATATTATTGTCTTTCAATAGGCGTTGGAAGGCACTACTCATGACAGAAATGGAAAAATTTTTTCTAATAAGGCTAGAAAGGCGATGGACTATTTTTTGAATCGATTTAAAGATACGAGTTTAAATAAACTTTACGAGATCTTCCATGAGGCTGGGATTCAAGTTGGTTGTAGTTATTTACTTGATTTAATGTCGAGTAAGATATTTAGACTATTATAAAAAGAAAACATTGCGTCTTATGTTGTTAATTTATATTTTAGAAAAATTTATCGAACACCAAGAAGAATTAAAAAAAGCAAAAGAACTGGAGGATCTAGCTTTGAAACATCATGGTACAACAAGTTCAAACGGCTTTGACAATCAGCAAAAGTTTCTTCCAAAAAAGCCAATACATAATTGTCAGACTTCTCCCTGTAGCATTGCTATGGAATGTGAAGACAATAATAAGTGTAGATATTCTCTAGGCATAAACTCTTCTTCAGCTATGCGCAATGATTCCTCTCAAACTTATACTGAAGAAACTAGTATGGAATATGATGACTCTCATAGTAGACAACTATCCCACATGAATTTTGACCATTACGAAGAGAGAAATATAAGAACGAATGGATTACGCATGAATAATCTTTCCAATGCCATGGATTGTCAAATGACAAACCAGACCATTGAATCACAATCTTGCAACTCTACAGTTGTTTCCAAGAACGTCATTTTGCCAGAAGATTTAAGTAAAATTTTTGCTAGACCTGGATACAATACAGGAACGTTTCCTAATGCTTCTAAGAAAAGTAAGAAGACAAATTTACCTAAACCAATAGGTTTAGCTACGAATACTGAATCCCTTCCTAGTGATTATTGTCTTTCTCAACGAACCACATTCAGTTAGCATTTATTACATAAAATTTATTATAGAAATCTTTAACGAAAGCAAAAAGACAATTGAAACTCCTAAAAAACAAATTCAAATTTTAAGTTTGCTTTTTTTTCAGGGGACTTGTCGAAATTTCGAAGTCGCGTCTTAATTGCCTATGACTCTTCTGATAAAAAGAATATTGATAAGATAACAAATATTGCATGTTGGCTTATAAAAAACAAGTTTAGGGTTGAATTTGATGATTTTAAACAAGACTTAGTAAAAGAAAATCGAGATTGTTGGATGTGGAATGTTTATAAACAGGTAAATTTCATTTTCAATAGTTTCGTACAACTGTTCTTTTCAATTCTTAATCTTCGATCACTTGTTCTTTTTAGGCTCCGTTTGTATTACTATGCATAACTCCATCATTTGAGAGGAATTTACTAGAAGGAAAAGATACCTCTGTACAGAAAATATGGAATGATATTGAAGAGAGATTAAAAAAAGATCCATCAAATAGAGAAGGAAATTCAATCGTTCCGTTGTTAATATCGCCAACAAAACGAGTTCCACCCATCTTAAAAACAATAGTCCATTATAAATGGAAAGAGGATTGGCAGAGCCTATCATTCTTTCTATCAGCCCCATATAAACTCCCAATAAATAAAGATAGTAAATCTTATTCGATTCCATAGAATCTACCGAGCTAAAACACAGAGAATATAGCAGATGTATATAGTAAAAGTGCGGATCGGATCATTTTTCAATTTTTATTATTTTTTATTTTTAATTGTTGCTCAAAATGAAATCTTATACGTAAAGATAAGCTAATTGTCTATATATTAATATACTAATACACGCAGGCATTACTGGTTTGTTTTTGCGTGCAATTTGTTTATTGTATTTGATGTGAGAATCTTCAAAGAATATCTTATTTTTAAACAATTATAAATCTGTACATAGATAAATTTATGGAGTAGTACGCTTAAAGGTACGTTCGTTGTTTTTTATGGTATATTCTATATAGAGTATATGTTTGCATTTAAAATATATATATATATATATATATATATATATATATATATATACTGTATTTATATACGTATATATATATACGTATATATACTGATTGTATTATTTCTTTATACCATGAAATGAATGACAGATTGAAAAGAAAAACGTGCACTTATTTCTTTTACAATGAAAACGAAATAAAAAAAGAAAAATAAATTTTTAACTTCAGCAAATTTTTTTATCAACTATATTGAAAAGAAGATAAAGGGAAGAGAAAAGAAAAGCATGAAAGTTTCTTTTCAGAGCTACTTTAACTATAGATATATAAGAAAAACAAACGATTAAACAAAAAAAGAAACATTTTAACATTTCCATTTGGATAATTTTTTTTCTAAATATTTAATATTTCTCTTTTTTTCCATCTTTTTTTTTCAGAGACAAAAGTTAACTACACCGTTTTATCTTTCGGTATCAGTTTACAAGTAGAGCAAAAGACGTATGCATTAATTTTTCAATTGTCTAGTGATTTCAACAAATCGTTTACATTAGAGAGAAATAGACTGAATAGAGAATAAGGAATTGTTTGTCTGCATAAGAATCAGAGTTTTCGAAGTTGATGAAATAAATTAAAGAACAAAAAATCACAGCAAAAGTTTGTTAGACAGTCTATAAATACGCTAAGTGAGATATATCAAAATTGAACATTTTATCGCGTAACAAATACGTTAAAGTTAGCACGAGCATGATAATAGCTTGTTGCTTATTCCTCTGAAATAAAATAACACGTAAAAACCGTTGTGCTCTATCATTTTTGCATCATATCACTAACAAATATTGCACAAACTATAAATAAAAAACAATCATAAAGAAATGCAATTATATCAAATAAAAAAAGATGACGATTAAATGAAGAAAAATAAATGATATGCTCAGCTGAAATCTATTCTTCCACAAGAAGTAGAAACTCTATGACCTCTGGTTACAGGTCGAGTAGGCTTGATCTCGAGCAGAGCCGGATTTGCCAACATCAGTTTGGCGCATAAATCATCCACTTTAACACGATATGTGTCTATTTCTTCATCCTTTGCCATAAGTAGACTTATTAGTTCCTGAAATAGGAGAAAGGCCTTTTTAAGGACACTTAGAACAAAGGAGGAAGGGAAATGTCTATTTTACGACTTAAATATATCAAATTAATTGCAACGTAGCCTCGCCTATTTTTAATTCTTTTCCTCTTTGTTGCTTAAGAAAAGGAAGATAGACTTGTTATAACTTACGTCTCGAGTTAGGTCAAGGTAGCTGGCTTTAACTTTCTTATCATTATCGGGTAGTTTGATTAATTTTGCAAAAGATCCCCTCGCGCCTTTGGTAAGATGAAATCATTTGTATTATGATAAGATACTAAATGCAAAAATACTATAGACAGTATATACAAGACAAAGTTATTATTAACAAGCGAAAATGAAGCATAAAAAAAGGAAGACAGATATTTCATAGTTAGAAAAAGAATATCACTTTCCAAAGTCTTTCTTTTTAAATACAAACTAATTTTAAAATCTGTTCTACTTTAAAGATTTGTTTTACAGGTTTAATCTTTTTTCAAGACCAAAGGGCCTATCAACCTTTTAGCTGTACCTATGAACTTTTTACAGCTTATTTTTAATTTCTTTGTCTCTTTTTGGGTATAACAATTTAAAATATACAAAAAAAACTTCAAAAAATAACTTAATAAGCTGGTGCCCAAAATAAAAAAAGGATAAAAAATAAATCATACATTCAATTAAAAATGACGATGAGATTAAATGGTTTTTTCGTTTGAATGGTTTTCTATCATTGTCTGATAAAAAAAAAAGAAAGAAAAAAAAGCGTGTAGAAAATTTTCGTTAGCGGAAAAAAAATAAAATAAAAAAAGCTACAAATATCGTTTTTTTAAAGCTAAAAGTAGCTTGAAAATTAATGAATTAAGAATAAGATGTATATAATTTTAATATAAAGATATTTATATAAAAGTAGGCTTTTGCAAGTTTTATAGCAAAATTTCACGCACTACTTACTACGTGATTGACTTGCATCAATGTCATTTTCTGCTAATTCAACACAATAAATACCAACACAATGTATGTACATGTATAAATAAAAAAATGTGAATGCGTACATGTAAAAAAATAAATAAATAAAACTCGAGACTGCAAATATCAAAAATAATAATCTTATTAATGATCTGCAGTTCGTTGCTAAAATCCTAAGAAAAACAAACAAAAAAAAAACACTTACCAGTATTACCTTTAGCTGGTGGCGAGTCTTTCTTCGATATGTCTAATCAAAACAAACAATTAAGACGGGAGAATAAAGTAGGGTTAATAAAGTAATTTATTCTACTGCTATTAGAAACAAGACGTTTTTTTTGTTTTTGTGATTTTAAGAGAAATTTTCTATGTAGAATATAGTTCTATCTTTTTTTCATTATCTATTTTAACTAGACTACACTTTCCGACTATTTATATTCTTATTACCTTCGTCAAGGTATCGACCCTAGAAAAAATATGTTATATATGGAGTCAACTTACCATCAATTGTTTGATTACAAGCAACCTTTGATTCAGCAACCGCCTGGATACCAACGTTTGAAGCCAGGCCTATATTAATTATATATCAATCGTATTGATAAAGAGTTATAAAAGAGATAGACAGCTATCATAGTAATCATAATGCTAATGGATAAATGGCGAAAAAAGGTACTATTTTTAAAACTAACCTTTATTAGAATTTTCACTTTTACCGACTGCAGTTCATATAACGAAAAAAAAGTGAAAAATAATAGATAAATAAAACAACTGACAAGTCGATTGGAAATGTACATAAACTATACATTAGTGTATATACTGTATATTACATATATAAATTATAATACTAAAACTAGGTTAATATTAGTAGACTTTTGACTATTGCCACTTGGGAATTAGATGATCTAAGTATGTCTTTCATTATTTAGTATAGCGTTTAAAAATGTACTTTTAAATTACATTTCAATTAGTTAAAATATAAACTTTTTACAAAAGTAATTGTAGCCTCAACTTGAAAAGAAAAAAAAGAAACCTTTTTACTTACCCGTTGGTGAAGTCGGAGATCCAAAACTTTCCTTTTCGGGACTTGATTTGGAATCGTTCAAGTTATCTGTGATAAAAAATAACAAAGGACACAATTTATATTAAAAATATAATTTTAATGTTTAATATTCTGAATAAAATTTCATACTCGATTGAGATTTTTTTCCATTTGTTGTCTTATTTTCATTGCTATGATCTTTAGTTCCATTCATTTCAACTGTACAAGAATGGGAATATATTTAATAATACAATAGCAATATCTTCGTAAAGATGATTTTAAAGTATATCTACAAATCAAAAATAAATAGTGAACTTACTTTCAAACGGATTTGTATCAGGATAATCATACTGATCGGAAGCTTAATAAGCAAATTGTTAAGTTCATTAAGGGGTAAAAAGCTATCTTCAATTGTAAAAATTACCTCTTCTTGATGAGTTATTTGATCCTTTTCCAGATTTTGTAGCGCTTAAACCACCTATATTTTTCGAAAAAAGTTTTTTTTATAGCTATGTGGAACAAACGAATACAATTTTATTCTTACCATTGTTCTTTTTCCCCCATATAGGAGAGCCTGTGTGGAATAAAAGGATTTCTCTTTTAAAAAATAACAACCAAAAAGAGGTTAACAGTATTGAGATTTAGAATTAAATCTAAAACATTTAATAGCAATTCATTAATTTATAACCAATAAAACTCTTTATCTTACATTGAGAGAAATAAGGAATAGGATAGAGATTATTTCTATTATAGTATAAACTAACATCATCAAGGCACAAAAGAAACACATTATTATCTTTACAATTGATTATAAAATTTACTGCTTTTTAAAAATATAACAAGGATTTTTCAATAAGATTAAAAAAAATAAACTAATTCATTCACATTGCCACAATTAGTCTAATTATATAAAATTTTACGTTCTTTTCCAAGTTAACTAAGTATAAAGACAATAAGTAGTAATAATGATAAAAAAAATAAGGATGACAAACTACAAGACGTTTTCAATCATTATACCCGAACCAACAGTGTTTGTTTGTCCATCTTCTTTATAATTTAACTTTTTTTTAACAATAATAAAAAATTAGTTTAACAAAAATAAAACATTATTATTATTTAAACTGAATAATGAGAGTAATACATACAGCATATATATATATATATAAATGCCAAAAAAAATTATGCACAATGACCTATAAAAATTGTACCAGACGACGACTAGTACGATAAAAGCGTGTCTTTTAAATTTAATTTATTTATAAATCGCTAAGAGGAATCTTACGTACTCTATGTAAATATTTAAGCAAATTAGTATCTTACGTATATTCAAATACAGAGTTATATTTCTTACATACACAGGTAGAATATTAGTCTAAAACTTAATCAATCTATTTGGAGCGACATTTAATTTTTTCAATCGCAATATATTAATTATGATTATCTTTTCCTTTCTCCCCCCCCCCTTTTCATTTGATTTAGTAATAAGTATAAAAGCTTCTAATTTTTATTAGTTTGTGACTTGGTTATTATATTTGTGTTTGCCTGTTTATCCATCTAACCTAGCCTGTCTATTCTTTTTTAAGCAAATAAAAAAAACTAAAGAATGTCATATACCTTTTTTTGGTGGTTCCTCCGCTTTTTCTATTAAAAAAAATAAAACAAAAAGTTTTTAAAATTTTTAAACGATAAACAAACAAGCTTTAAAATAGCTTTAAAAAGTAAAAGAAAAACACTTACCACCAAAGGACGTATCGTCTTCAAATGGATTAGTATTGATATCTCTCTCAAGCTGATGAATAAAAAAATTTTAATGTTAAAGAGAAATTTTTGAAATTTAGAGAAAAATTGTTAAAGTTCAACATAACCTTTATATAAAGTTTTATTTATATAAAGGTTATTTATTGTATCATTTTTTAAAGCTAATAAAGATAAATTTAGTTATATTAACATCACTGTCTCTTCCGTCAATCGACGACGTGACGCTTGCGCTATCAGCAGAAGCCTATTGATTAAAAAAATTAATGTTACTATGAAATTGAATAGTAAGCCGTCTACACAAATACCTTATTTTTATCCTTCTTTCTACCTAGTGTAAACACTTTACCTGTGAAATAATTGAATTTTTAACACCTATTCTATCATTCTATGAAATCTGCTCTTTATTAAGAAAAAATTAATTCTACCAACCAACGGAGGACGCCAGATTACGAACACTGCCTGAGGTGGCTTTCTTAGACAGCGATAATAAGCTACCGCTACGCTTCTTAATTTTCCCAATTGACGTTGAACTCAATGTACGTTTACCGAGAGGGCCTATAAAGAATTCAAAAATATATAATGTACAAATATATGTACGAAAATTTAATACAAACCTGCAGATAATTTTGAGCTATCTATCTGAGATTTAACAATAAAAGAGATTTTAACTTCTAATTCTCCTCTTTCCTTTACAGCAGCCTTTTTAGAGGGTTTACTTTCTAGCGTATACCACTTTGCACGTGGTTGAGCGTCCATATCAATGTCTTGAATGGGAATTAGTGCTTGTCCTAAGAAATCATCACTGGATAATGCTGACAGACTACGATGAAAAACTTTGAGTTTTAATGGCTTTCGATCTTGAGGAATGACTCTGATAAGAGAAAAATGGTAAAAATAAAATTATTCTTTTCATCATAGATCATATCACATTGAAATGATATGAAAAGAAAACAAATCGTACAGGTCACATTCTTCGTTCCAATAAGGGGACTTTGTTTGTTCTTGAACAGAGGTACGATATTTCTCCTTCCCCAGAGAGATGACAACGTATACATCGTTTCCCTTTGACTTTTTTTCTAGCAAGCTTCGAGCTTGAATAACTGCAAAAAAGATATTTATTTAATAATATATCAATTACTGTTAGGGTGGTAAATTTTCGAAAAAAAAAATCAAGCGAAATATCAATTCTCTATAGATCATTTCGAATCAATGATAGCATGTGTCAAAAGGTTACAATATTCGATTTCTATAAAATTATGGTATTTTTAAAAGTTTTTACAAAATATGTCAGAGATTTTTAACGGAAATCTTCTCAAATTTATTTATTTATGCTATAAAAAGTGTTGTTAAAGATTATCAAATGTCGTTCAACTTTTTACCTAAACGTTCCATGCCTTTTTTCGACATTCTCATTCATCGTGACACAAATAGCTATTTTTAACTTTTTGCTTTAATAAGATTATTATTTTTAAATTAATGTTTAACTGTTCATCATTAGATTAAGAATATCATAAATATCTTTACTTAAATGATAGAAATAACAAATCTATGTCGATTCAAAGGAATAGAACGTTCCTTTTTTTTTCAAAAGACAGAAAAGAATGTTCTCATTACAAACATTCCGATTAAATTATTAGCCGTATAAATTCATATCGTATATAAATATTTAAAATGACTAACCAGTTACTTTCACGTGTGTTGGATCCCACATCTTCTCTTCTTCCAAATATCAATAATCAAATCTTATTGATAAAACCAATTCGTTCTGGTCAACGCCTACTTGACAAACAAAGTTGTTAACAACCAGATGAACTTTTTTTAAATATAAGTCATAATTATTCAAACAATTAACGAAAAGTGATAAGGCTTATCAGAGGTACTTTTTCGTAAGAGGATGACCGATAAGTTTAAGAATGAGCAAATCAACTAACCAGTCGTGTTTACACCGGAACCAGAACTGAAGCGAAGTGAGTGTGGTCACCGTCCTTTTATTGACTGGTTCACGGCCTTTTTGAGCTGTATCTATTTAAAAAATATGAAAAAAAACGATAAATAACTCACAAATTAGATCAAAAAATTTGAAATAAATCTTTAAAAGTGTTTTTATATCAGTTAAACTAGTCTACTAACCTATTTTCAATATATAGAGGTATATATGCGTATAGTGTTCTTACTGTTTAGCAAAAACACTACGAACCTTTAAAGGAAGAGTATATATTGAATAGTATAAAAAGTACAACAAGAGTATAGGATTATTTATTTAAATATGTCACAAAGAGTGTAGTAATCTGAACTCAACATCTATAGTCATATATTGATTAGAAGAGCGAATTTATCCGTAAAGAAAAATGAAAACCCCGCAAAGTCCCGCAAAGTATTAATTAATTTCATTAATTAGGCGTCAAACAAATAAATATACAAATCTCTTTTGTAAGTATTATATTGATATTTGCTTTCAGAAATTTGTCGTCCACGTTTAAACTACCAACAAAGACTAAAATAATATTATTAAAGAAAGTAAAGGCGTCTTCAAAAGAGGTAGGAAGATAATTTAATTTATTGAATTCCCTAATTCTTAATCTTGAAAATCTTAGTAAGATAACGGTTAATCTCCTTTCTATTTGTTATTAAAAAATTATGAGGAAGAGAGATATAGAGAGAAAAATAATAATTTTATTAATAATTCACATTTTAACCTTTTAACTGAAAGAATTAAAAGTATCTTTTCTTCTTATAAGTACAAATTAAACAAAGTACAATATATAAGTATATTATGAAAAGTTAGTACAGAGGAGGGCACTCCGGAGCTATAAAATTCCTCGGCATAATCATTCCATCTTGTTTCTCTCTGTTTAAAACAAGTCATTTTTTAAATAGTTGTTCTATAAGTATTGATATATAAATAGTACTTACGACATATAGTACAGATGATTAAGTGCAGTATCTACTGTACTATCAGAAATTTCTCCGTCAATTTTAACCAAATACTTGTAGAGGTCGACGAACAATTGCATTGGAATCTTTGCAGCTCCGCCTTCCGGATCGGCCGTTAATTGTTCGCATAACAATTTCATAGAATCCGTAAGATTCTTTAATAGGAAAACGATATTGTTTTTAAATGTTATAAAAGAATGATAGATTAATATATATATATATATAGAATCGTTCTTACTTCGTTTATGTTACTAATTGCTATTGCGAAAAAGTTTAGCCAATTAACTTCACCAGTAAAATTACCAATCCTACTAATTTCGTCAAATGTTTCCTTGGGTAGATGTAAAACTTGCCAATAATCTAGAATTGTATCAATTTCAACCGTCTTTTTCGGTCCCAATTGCTTATTTAAAATTCTTAGATTTCCCGGAGTGAGACCGCTGTCGAATTTTTGAGTTACTGTTGGTAGTTCAATTCTCTGTTTAACCGGCGGTACTTCTTCATTTGCCAAAGCCCTGAAATATCTATTAAATAGACGAAATTAATAAATTAATAATTAGTGTTTAATCTCTCCTTTAAATAACTTACCCTGCCGCCCAAGCTAAAACATCTTTAGGTTGTGTTACTATGGCAGATTTTGTAAATTGTTTTAAAATCTCAGGAAACTCTGGAGGAATGTTTATTTGGGCAGAACAATAGTATGGCTCATCGCTCATTTTCGGTGTATCTATTAGAGGAACATATTTTTAGAAATAATTATGGGCGATAATCAGGCTATTATAACACAAACAATAATAAACTCGCGTTTCTAACCAAGTTCAAACAAATTCACCTTGGTTTTTTCAATCTACGATATTTTATAAACATTTTATCATAGCAAGCCGACTAAAGAATAATGAACTATTTCTAAAAGCTGAAACTTACCTTTCTATTTTGGTTGGAAACCTACTCACCAAAGAAATTTGTCGCTAAGGAAACACTAAACGAATCACGATCAAGTTTACATATATATTTCTATTAGCCAATCAGCATAGAGTTTACTTCATTTCTTTTTAGAATCTGTAAGATTAGCGAAACTTACAAATAAAGTTGTAGATAGTAATTAGCGTATTAGGAGATTATTTAAAAGTTTATTATATCAACTTTAGATGGAAATTAAAAATATTCAAATATCAAGGAAATATAATCATATAAAATTTCTTACTACTCATCTAAAAGTAAAGAGTGTGGCGCGTTAAGTGTTTCAAATATCCCTCTATATGGTGCTGGATTAAAATAAAAAGAAAAGTTTAATAAAAACCTATTTACTTTTGTTTTTTTCTTTAAAAGCCTGCACAGAGAATTACGATGGATACTAATAATGACGGAGGATGTACGACATATAGACCTAATCCTACTATAAATTGCTCTTCCCAAGATATAATTGTAAGGAAAAACGCAGTTGACCAAAATTTATCGGAGCAATTGTCAAATTTACCGGAAGGTGCATGCTTTGTGTCTATATCACCGTTGACGAGTTGTTTAAGTGATAAAGCTAAAAGTGATCCAGAAACCATTTCGGTTGAAAATGTCGTGCTACCGTGCGAAATGGAAAGAGAACCAACAAGATTTCACGAAGCGGAGAGAGTTTTATGTGCGGAATATGAAAATGGAATGAAGTATCTTGTTAAGTGGAAAGGTATAGAGGAACCAGATTATGTGGATGGGCGGGAAGCAAGATTACGATTTCCTCATCTTGTTATAGACTTCTATGAAGGTGTTGAATCTAGTAATTTTACAAGTATGATTGACAATATGACCGTTTAAAGTTTACTTTCAATCCAAATGAAAATAAACAATATGACTACGTCTGAACATATTAAAACAACATTTATGTTTTATTATTCAATTTTACAACATAAAAAGTAATTACATATTAGGAATGTCCAAGTAATTTCTCTCCGAGTAAACCCAAATCCTTAATATCTTCGCTCTGCAGTACTCCAGTTTTGTCGTTCGATGATCTAGGCGCCATTTTCCCCAATCCAAGTAAATAGGCTCTAATTCTGCCTTTTTCATTTGAAAGAACGATCTTTTCCTTGCTAACCTCCCTATGGGCAACATTCAGTGAGTGTAGGTATGTCAAGGCTTTACAGAGATCAAGCATAAAGTAAAATATGTTATCAGCTGTGAATGAATCACCCCTTCGTAAACATTGTTCTAAAGAACAGCCAAACGTCGAACCAGATATCATAATTTGTTTTTTGGAACAATCTGACAAGAACTTCAAAAATTTTTTAATATCAAAAGATTGGATCCTGTCCGAATTGGACAAGTTTGAATACAATGTTATTTTATCAGCTTTAGCTTGTGAATCTTGACTATCGTTGGATAAGATGGACGTGTAGATAATCTCTCTTTTAATATCAAGTAGGAATATAATGTAACATATAATTAAATGAAATGACTTACTTAAAATTGATGTTGGATATTGTGTAAAGTATCGGATTGATGGCGCTGTTTATTGGTAAAATGCAAACGGCTGTCCAAGCGTATAATTCTCCTGGTATAGTAACACCTCCCCACATAGCAAGAATACCCATAATAGCGACAGGCATCCAACACAACATGTCAGATACGACAATAAAAGCCATTTTCCTCGCTATCGATATATCACTGTCTTTACCAGCTGCCTTTCTCGTTTTTACAACCACGCTAAACATAACAGTATAAGCGATAGCAATAACCACGAACGATATACCATTCAAAAAGACAAATATGGCAAATGAATACTCCCAACCGAATCTTTTATCGCCTGTTAAATACAGTGGAAGGCAAACACTGGACCTGGAATAGAAGTTGTCTTGGAAATAATCCGAAGGGAACAGCGGGATGACGGCTAGTGTTATAGCGAGAATCCATTCAAAAATTATAACGACTCTGGACGATCGCTTGCCAAGTTTTTTACCAGAAAATGGATAAACTATACAAGAAAATCTGTCTAGAGTTATAGTTGTCAGAGCGAAAACTGATAATTGACTTGAAGTTGTTGATAAAACGCCGCAAAGTTTACACAGAGCTGAACTCTTCCATACATGTGCATTTTCAATGTAATCTCCTCTGTAATAAGCGTCAACTCCTGCTACGATGAGTAGATAGATCGACATAAGAAAGTCTGCTAATCCCAGATTCGTTATAAGGAAAGTATGTATTGCTGAACGGCTGTTTTCCTTCTTCAAGCATCTCCATATTATAACAAATGCATTACCCACCAAAGCCAGAACACCCAAAATCCATAGAAACGCCCTTAATATATCTCTCTCCATTAAATCAGCACATGAACTAAGGGCGTCTTTTTTTGGTAGACAACTCTTTGACGAATTCTTCTCTTGTCCAAAAATACAACAAAACGCATAATTGCTTGATTCTCTATAAACATTTAAAAGAAAAAAAATAAAGAGAAATTGCCAATAGATTTTTTGTAAATATTGTACACGAGCGTAATAGATGAAATGTCTAAGATATGTTTAACATTAGACATGTTGAAAAATTCAACAATACCTTTAATACAATCAATCAATTAAATATCATACAAAATTATGATAAATATATAATATTTTTCCTAACTCAGCTGAAGCAAATTTCTAACTAATGATTATATTTTTAGTATCCGGATGACAAAGAGCTTTTTCTTTCAAATATTCAATCTTCTTCTCCATGATTTGAGTTTAAATAAATTTTCTTTAAAATATCTCGTCCAAGTATATAAATTTACAATTATTCAGACAATAGTTTGTAATTGACACATTTTCAAAAGATTGTATTGCTCCCGGTTTTCTTTGATAGATCAGTAATTATGTCTTTAGCAACTTGATCATATCTTTTCCCTAGTTTATAAATTTCTCACCTTTCCTTCATTATACGTGTAAAAAGTATGAGTTTAAGTTTTCCACTTTCACAATTTTAAGAGAATTAAAGTAATTGCAAAAAAATTTCCCCTTTAATACAAACGTATTAATACAAATTATGAATAATTTTAGCTTGTACACTTTGATTTGATATATTTAATATGTCTAATGTTGCTATAGTAGCTTAATGCCCAGTTAGCATCATTTAAGACGTTGTTCTATATATGTACAATATACAGTATATTTGGAATATTTATATTTACACTCGTGTCAACTGATCTAGACCATCGAATAGAAAATGTTCAAAACTGGGAATTGGATTGTCCGTAATATTTCTATATTAAAAAAAAAAAAGAAAATTATCAGAAGAAATACAAAAGAGAATTTGAAATTTTTAATTACATAAGTCTCACTGATGATAATCCGTGAAAAGATTCTTGAAAAATTTTCCTTATACCCAATCCTCCGAGATTTCTGTGAAAGTAGAATTGAAGAAGAACAAGTAAATAGTAAGAGTATACTATATTGTGTATATAGAAATTATTACAATATTTTAAGGTTGACAAGACCACTAAAAATTTCATCAGGTAGAACATCTATCGTTCCGCATTTAACTAAAATCCTGTATTATTTTTTTTTTAAAAGAAAAATAAAAAACAAAGTTATTTTAATCTATTATAAATAAATAAATAAATACTTACAATTCTTCAATACTAATCAAATTTTTGAATAAGCCATTAAAGGTTCTTAGCGAATTATAGCTAAGATCTCTGAAATTTTTTAATAATATTGTTCATTTCGAAAATAAATAACCATAGGAAATAAAAGTACTTACAATCTTCTAATATTATATAAATAATCAAGACTTCCTGCTGGTATTTCTGTAATATTATTATTCGAAAGAATACTAGAATATGAATTATTAATTAGATAGTTCTTTAATTCTATTTTAATATTCTTTACAGTGATATGACGTATGGAAAAGATTCAAAGGTATTTTCTTTCAAAAGTAGGCTGTTGTTTCTCAAGTTTCTGTCAAAATATTACATAATATTACAATATATTTTACAGTATATAGTGTATATACAGTCTACTTACAACATTCTAGCTTTTTTTGACAAGCCTTCGGGTATACTTGTTAGACCCTGATTAGTGCATTCGACAATATAACCATTACACACACAATTCTGGGGACATGTTGTTAAATCTTTGAAAAAAAAATTAAAATTGATTAAAAGACTATTTAAAGAGAAAAGAAAAACAGATTACCACAAAATTGTTCGTCATCGCCATTAGGACAATCTTTATATCCGTCACATCTTTTATTTGATTGTACGCATAGCTTACTTTCGGAACACTTTAGATGTCCTGGACAGGTTGGAGTATAACAATCCATTTCGTCTTCGCCTCGAGGACAGTCATATTTTCCGTTACATCTCATATTTAACGGAATACAGTAAGAATGAGGACATTTAATGTAATCTTTTGGACATATGAAATACTCTAAAGAAATAAAATTTATAAATACTTTTTTTTAAAAGGACATACCACTAAAGAGTATTTACCGCAATTTCTCAGATGACTTTGATCTCTACATCCAGTATAGTAACCCCAAGGATCTTTATCCATGATACATATATTTATAAAATTTATACAAGCTCCGTTTTTACATTTGAATTCTCCTATATTGCAACTTTTTTTATGGTGTTTGTCGATTTGACTTTCATCCTCTTTTTCAGGACTTTGACAATCCGTTTGACCATCATTAACTCTCGAGTTCGGGATAATAGTTCCTTCGTAGCAAGTAAACGTTTTTCTCGGATAATAATTTGCTTTTAACGACAAAAAAATAAGTACGCAAAATATTTTTAAAAGTTAAAGATAAAAAGATAATTTACAGCAGTCTTTCTCATCAGCATTTTGCGAACAGTGTTGGTAGCCATCGCATTGATACTTTTTATCGATACATTGTTTGTCGTAACATTCAAAAGAGTCAGAGGGACAATTCGGATAATCTGTTTAATATTTATATTCACAAATGTACTGTATATGTATATTTGCGTTAAACGATATCTTATACCGCAATTTTTTTCATCACTACCAGTTGGGCAATGTTGAGAGTGATCGCATAGTTCACTAATACTTCTGTTAGTGCCAGAACAATCGTAAGTTGTCCATAAGTACTCTACTTCTTCTGAAAAGGCTGAGGTAAGATAAAGTTCAGTTATCAGAGTCATTTTGAAACAAGATCTAAAGAAAACTAACTGCAATTTTGTTCATCCGATCCATCTGTGCAATGTTTTATTCTGTCGCATTTATAATTAATTAAAATACATGAGCCATCGGTACATTGAAATTCTATTTTCTCATTACAAGTATTATTCTCCAACAGGACATCTTTAATACAAACATCTGGTTTATTGACAGTAGATGTTTCATTTCCAGTGATACTATTTTCAATGTTAAAGTATATTTTTTGGCTGTATAATGTTTCAAGTATTAAAGTTAAATTATCTTGTACAACGCTATTTGCAATTAACGATTTGAGGCATAAAAAGTTTAGAGATATGCAACTTTTTAGTGTTGAATTATAAAACCATCCTAGTGAGCATGCTATAGACGAAAAAAGTATGTGTTTAGTTATAATTCCTAAGCTATAAAGTAATTTATTCGTTTTTACGATATTGTGATAATTTTGCTGGAGTTTTAAAGCTTTCAAAATCTGAAAAAGAGATAATTTATAATAGAATAATAAAAATATTAATTCTAATGCTAGTCACTCACTAGTGGCTGGACGTTTGCATATAATTTTATCAGTTGCTTTATGTGCGCATGGTCTATTAAACCAATGTTCGGAGGATTTATATCCTTCTACTGAAAATAATGTACAATGTTCAATTTTAGGGTCCGAAGGCTCTCTACAGCTCCTGAAATAAACTGGTTGGAAAATTTTTGAAAAAAAAACACTCTCTAATCAATTACCAATCTGTATACGACATGGGGGAATAGTCCGTCCATCTTTCCTTGTTCGGTGCTACATTCAAACCTGAACACGTAAAGGGAATAAATAGAATTAGAGACATCTTTTATTTATAAATAATAAATGAACCTAAATAGACTGAAGGCTTTTCAGTACTATTCTTCATCCATACGTACAATAACCAATTCATTACAACATCCATTTCTTTGGAATCTAGAATACTAACAAGGTTGCTACTTTGTGCCATGCAAAAAGTATTGGCTTCCAACCACGTTAGACTAGATTCTTTAAAGTATTTATAACAATTTCCCTTGTAATAAAACCAGTTAGATTGGCACAGGGAGCTTTCAGTAGAGTTTGCTGTTTCCTTTGCAGGAAATTTTTTCATTCTATATTTTAAATTAAATCCATTTCCTTGTGAATAGAAGTCACTTTGAAATACTATAGTAGCTATTTCCCCATCAGACTCGAATAATTTCGATGATTTCTTATCGCAGTACTTTTCTGAAATAATTAATAATAGTTTATTAGAAACAAATTACTTGTAAATTAATAATAGAGATTAACCAAATTTCGAAGGTACATTGCCATATCCCCCGTTGTCATGTATTAGGGTTAAGGAATTTTCTTTGCAGTTCGAATCACTGGATGGAACGTCGAAATCCATAATTTCTATTTCGATATAATGGCGAGGTTCAGAAAAAATTGTCCAGTGACATATCAAGCCAGGTGGGAAGTTAAGAGGATATCCAGGTGACATTATTTGACCGCATTCACTTCTGCATTCAGCCTGAAAAGCACATGAATCAGAGCTCATTACGCATCCGGGGCATTCTGTGAAGAAAAGAAAAGTTTTACTTGAGAAGAGTAGCTTTTTTAAATGATGTATTACCTTCTTCCTCTAATTGAAGAACTAAATGTTCTCCAGCATGTACTCGGCTTTCCAAAGGCTATAAGATTAAAAAAATTTTTTCAAGATTGAACAGTTTTTCAAGTACAATTATATTTTAAAAGATGGTGTTATTACTTTCAGTATCATGACTATTGTTATGGTATTGGATGATGAAACAAATCGAGGCATTTTATCTTCGCACACTCTCATCTTTCTCTTGACGGTTTTAATATAGGGCCCATCATATATATCAGTATATTGCGTACATTTTGAAAGACTAGATTTCATATCTATCTCAATAGGTAAAATTTTGATATAGCGTCCTTGTTTTACTTTGAATCTCCATAAACAGTATTTATATTGTTTCCAAGCAGATGCTTCCCTGGTATAGTTAATCGTATATGAATCAAAGTTTGTTATCTCACCAATTGAACCACAATTAGAAGATTCAGGACAGTCTTTTCCCAATCCGCATTCAACCTCTTCATAAGTAACAAAACCTCTAGCTAGAACTGCTTTTTCGATTATAGTACTACGTTCAGTAAAATATATTCTTATCGTTACGAAATTAGACATTGTTAAAATCGTTGTATTTTCTGAATCTACTGAAATCACATGAGCAATCAGTTCTTCTGGATTTTCTTCCACAATTTTTAGGGCCACACTCTGATCATGTTTAAACTCTGTATTGAATTTTATAACTCGGATTCTGATATATTTCCCTTTGCTAACGGTGACCTTTGATATCGAAGATCTTATAAATGATTTTTCAAGTTTCTTGACAATAAAACCTCGAATGTTTTCATCATCAACATTGCCTTTACTACAAATCGGTTGTATTAAATTAGAGCAGTTGAAACAAGGAGTATTTTCGTTTTTAAGATTATCCAATTTACATCGTTGCACTGCTTCATAGTAACTCATTAAAGAGCTATATTGTATTACACATTTTCCTTTATACAAACTCCAATTTGATCCCAAATTAAATTTGCACAAATTTTTACAATCTTCTTCCTTATTTATCGTAAAATATCCCTTTTTACAATTGCAATTATAACCACCAATCGTATTAAAACAAGATGACTCCGCTCCACATGGTTGTTTTCTACATTCATCTATATCTAATAAAGATAAAAAACTGTAAATCATAAATATTTTAATTTTATCAAAAAGATATTTAAAGAAATAAATAAAATATTATTATTCATTGCTAATAAACAGCAAAAAAAGTGAATATTTTTTATTCATCTTTAGAATAAATGTATATATATATATAATTAATTAAAATACAGTATATTAGAGGTGAATGAGAGAGATAAAACTATTATTCCAATATTTATTTCTATTTTATAGTTCAATTGTTTGCCTAAAAGTAGCTGTTTTATTGTAAAAAGGTGTCAAGAAATATTTAACTATAGTACAATAACCGATTGTTTTGTTTGTCTTCTTTTGTTAGAATCTTATGCATCTCACGCATCTTGTTCACACGAAATCTTTAATAAATATTGGTAGATCATATATATTTATTTTATGACTTATTCACAACGTGGAATATCATCTATAATATGATCTTTTGTCTGATAGTTTCACTATATTTTTTTAATTTAACCTTAAATTGAACTAGATTTGTAATAATAACAATCTAACCTTTTTCGCATAAAGGGGAATATTTATATTTTGAGACAGTCTTCGAACAATCTATTAGTTCTAAATCGCTATTTTTCTTCCAAACTACGCATAGCTGGTTAGCTATGGTGACTTTTTCGAATAATCTGCAGAATAATATATTCAAATTATTTTACTATTTATAAAAATTTGCTTGCTTCTTTTAGAAAAGATTTACTTGTAATTTTTCGATCCGATATCCGATTGTTTTACGATTTCATTATTTTTCAACCAAATGAAAGATGTAACACCTTGATTTTTTACTGCGCCTATTATATAACTATGATATCCCGACAATAATAAATACTTTCCAAACTCCCGAAGAGTTTTGTCATTCTTCAGAGAAGCTGGTTGCATGCCATTTTTCTTACAGTAAGATAATAAGTCTAATATTGTTGTATTAGATTCTACATATGACGAAAATCCTTCGGCAGCTACGACTGGTCCATAACTATATCCATATTCTTCGATTGGGAAAAAGTCTTCTCTATCTTCAGTTAATCTCTCTATTGAAATTATGAATTATGCATTATAGTGCACACTTAGTTATTACATACTTTTAGTAGAAGAATAAAATATTAAATAGCGAACATTTCCATTCGACGATATTAGCTTCAATTTTGAACGTTGAGTAGCTATGCTAATATTGCTTATTTTAACACATCCATCCCTGGATAAAGTTAAACTTTTTGTCCAGAGTATTTCTGTACCATTCGAAATTTCAATATTTATTTCTCTGTTTCTATCGTCTTCGAGACAAGTACGAAATTCACTGATGTATATACGCAAGTCGTTCTTAGCAGAAATTAAAATTTGAAGTGGTCTTCGATCAAATCCTATATTAGATAAAATAAGGAGTAAAAGATAATTAAAATTTTTTCTAATTACTATCAAAATTTGATTTTTTTAAACATTCCTGGATAAGAGTTTGATGAAATAATTCCTTCGTCCTGATTAAGTTCGAGTAGAATATCATAGTTAAATGTTGATTCGTCGATTAAAGATGTTACAATAAAGTTTCCATCATTTAAACTATCTGTATATAATTGGATAAAAACTACTTCGCTTCTAAAATCAATTAATTTTTTCCAGTTTTCTTGGCATATCATTCCTAAAATTATCTCGGAGTGTCCTATTTTCTTGAAGATTTTCAGATAGTCGTAGCAAATATTATCTAAAACATAGTTAATAAGTTAATCAAATTTTAACTATCTGATAGTCCTATTTAAGGACATGGATAGGATTTTAAAAGAATAAATTAATTATAATATAAAAGAAACTAAAGCGCAAACCTCTTGCTTCCAGGTTAGCAGTGATTTCTAGCTTTATTGGTTTGGTTCCTATAAATTTCCATATTCGTCTGCTATATGCTTGTGTAGTAAACATCATAGAAGTGTTTCCTCTTAAACTGATGGATTCTTCCCCTGTTTAAGGACGATTAAAAGTGTAAGATGTTTGTATCCTAGTAAGACATCATTTACTTGTGTCATAATTCGGTATCTTTGAATAGAAACTAGCCAAAAAAGTGGGTTCTTCAGTCATCGCGTTTTCCTTAACAATTTTAACACATAACTTTGAACCAGATGTTGAAACAATGAAAAAATCAGAATTTTTGATTTTGTTGCAGAGTTTATATAATAATTTTGCAGGTTGATAGGTGCAATCATCAAGTTGCATATAATTTGAGCAATGCTTATTTGTGGGAAATTTTAAATTTTTTATGTAAAAATAAATAATTTCGTTTGAAGTCGACGATATAATTTCCCACGAACACGAACGTGTTGGGAATTTTATAGTATTCAAATCTCCACTTACAGCCTTTATTTTGCTTCCACAACCTTTAAATATATTTTAATCAGAACGTCATATTGTTATTTTGTACGTTTGACACAATAACTAACCGTAGTTAGAATAGGCTATCATTACCCTTGTTGCAGCCACACCAGTAGGTAAAGTATATTCCAGGGTTTTATTGATATTCACTATGGTCTGCCCAATTTCCTTGTACACATTCAAGTCCCAATACGGATTTCTGTTTGAAAAGGGTAATACTTTATAAATGTATATCATTTAATTAGGACGAACTTTATTGATATTATAGGGGTTATTCCAGTCCATCCTTGTCTGTTATTCAAGATTATATGACATTCTTGGTTGTCGTTCTCAGGAAAATATTTGTTATAGAAGACACCTTGTAAATTGTTTTTCTCCATCGTACAATGCTTAATACTTTTCTCATTCTCACTGATGTCAGAAAAGTATACAGCTACTGAACTTCTTCCCATGTATCGATTTTCATCTTTAATAGGAATATATCCTTCATTTATTTGATTCTTTTCAATACCTATAACCCTGATATTTCCATTAGGGCAAGAGTGAGGTCTGGCTGTTGCCATGGGAACTGAAGAATGTTTGGACACCCATCCTATATAGTCATCTTTCTTCACAGCAATCAGAGTGCCATTTTTAAACAAAAAATCGTTAAAATACCCATTGTAGAGTTTTGTTAAATCGAGTGATGTCAAACCAATAATTTTATATGTGTTGCCAACTTTTCTGAATATTCCCAATTTAAACTCTGACAAAGCTTCAACATCACTAGGTAATTTAACAAACAGAATCCATTTTAAAATATTCGCATCATAGGGAATCCTGAATGATAAAATTGCTTATTGGTAATCAAAAACGATGTAATGAAAAACTAAAAACAATTATAAACCGTAGATTGTCATCAATCGTCAAATCAAGTCTTCTCGATGAAGACCAATCATTGATATTTTCAGAAATTTTATTACCGAAAATTTTAGGAAGTTTATCTGATGGCCAAATATTTTATTTCATAAGGTAATTCAAAGAGACATTTTTTTAAAATACCTATCTCACTATAAACTAAAGTGATTTTTATTGTATCCCAGGCATCCAGCATTACTTCGACGGTATTTTTATTTATAATTAGAGGCTAAGTAACATTTGCGTGTATAAATAATTTGTTAATAATAGATAGCAGGAAAATTAGTTGTTTGATATTTAAAACATTCAATACCTGAATCACTGCTGGAAACTTTCCGCAGAAGATTCTATTATCGATAGTTAAAGAGCTACTCCGACTACAGGAACACACGGCTAAGCCAGGTTTTAGATAAAACTTCTCAAACCAAATAGCTATGTGTTTACCTAGAGTAATGGGAAAAATATATGAATGATCAATTTATAATGAATTATGTGTGTAAATAATTATCAGGTTTCAATCATCTGGAGAAAGGTTTATTCAGCGACTTTTTCATATAGAACAAATTTAATCATCTACTTAGTACTTTAACTATTATAAAGTTGTACTAAATACCTTGGGGAACAACTATTCTCCATTTTTGAAAAACAGGGCTCTCTGAATCAATTTCAATGGACCCGTACCAATTATCAAGCACAATAGTTTCTGAATAATTTTTTCATAATTTAATGAATGATATCTATATCATAACGATTTAATTAGAAATCTAAGAATGTGCTAACCATTTATTGACTTTGATTTGCAATTATCCAGACTGAATCCACTTTCACAGTAACACTCATTCTTTTCGCAGAGAGCCACAGCGGGACAAACGTTTTTGCATTCTGAATATTAAGTAACTTATTTACTCATTTGGTAATGCTGTATATCTTACTTGGCAAGCCAAAGTTTCCTTCAATTTCTGTACTCAAAGTTGAAAGAACTGAAAGTAATATTTTTGAGATAAAGACAAAGTTTATAAAATATCATTCTATGAATTTTATTTTACGAGTATAACTGACTTTTCAAAACAAACAGAAAGTAAAGGATAACAAAAAACTTCTTTCGAACCATTGCAAACAGTTGTACATGACAATTTAACTGGACACTGCATATATATAGAAAGACGATTAATTTGTAATGGATCTTATTCCATTTAGAGAACAAACAAAGAAAATGGATGTTTCTGTACTAATGTGAATAATTAGTCAATGTATAAATTACGTATGATTAGCAATCCGAAAAAAAGTATTCTATGTAAGTAAAGAGAAAAACTATTGATGATAAATATTCTTGCATTATCTTGTACATCGCAAGCGGCGATGCAGAAATTTGAAGGAAACCGCTAACAAAATAAAAACATTTGAACTGTTTCTTTCTAACAAAAACAACAAAAAATAAACGATTAATAAAAATAGATATACTGTATAATTTGAAGTTATAAATATATTTGTAAAGAGAAAAAGTAATTGTATAAAATATATATTTATGAGCCAAGATTGCACAAAAATGATTGATAAATATTTGATACTCAGAAATATGTATGCTGCAACTAATAAATTGACAAAATACGAAATACGTCATATTTGATAATGTAGACCTAATAATCTATTATTTAGTGAAAAGTGTCATAAATCATTGATTCTCCAGGGAAAATACTCAGATAGTGAATGCTTGATGTAAAAATTTTTCATTAAAAAAAATGAAACTTTGAAAATAGATTTGAGGCGTATTTAAAACTTTATAAATTTAAAAGTAGTATAAAAAAAAGAAAGAGGGCATTTCAAGTATGTACGCTGAAAGTTTTTCATTTTTTAACTTGATATCAGGAGTTTTAAAAAAGAAGGTGGTTTTGTCCGGATTTTACTCGAACAATTACAGAACGAGATTATACTTAAAATTATAGTCTAGTTAGTTACGAATGGTAGTTATACAACTTTTTATACAATTGGCTTGGATTATATACTATTATTTATTGCCGATTGTATTAAAAGTTAAGGGGTATAAAGGGAGTATTTGGGAAGGAGAGTTAAATTAAAAACTATAAGAGATTTTAAAATATAGCTAGTAACTTACTGCTCATAAACGATATAAAATATGTATTGGTTACTGCCAATAGTTGATGAATCTCTAAAAAAAAATATATAAATGATATGTATTAATAATTAATGATAAATTAATTTAATTGAATATCAAGTGTTTAGATTCGATTCAGTTAGATAGAATGTAAAACACGACATGTAACATAGAGGCTAGACCTAGCTAAATATAGAAATGAATAATTCTGTCTATAAAAAAATAAAAATAAATAAAACTTCTCTGTCGATCACGATGACTACAAAAAACAAAACGTAAAATCATTCAATAAAATAAAACTCACTCCAAGAGCATTTTATCATTCAATTGTGAAAGTTCGTGAATTTTAGCACGAATTTGTTCTTGAATTGTCGTAACTTTGGTTTTCTGTTGACTCTGACTGTTTCTCGACTCATTTATTTGTCGCTTTAAATCAATAATTTGCTGTTTAGCAATATCTAATTGATGTTCAGTATTGCGTAAGGCTTCGGCAAGTTTATTACTTTCGGAGACGCTCTTTTGGGCACCTTGCAACTTAATTACAAGTTCGTCTATCTCCTGCTGTTTTCGTTTATTCGATCTTTCCAAATCAACGATTTTATCAACATTATCAGTTAATTCTCGTTTTAATTCCATAACTTGGACACCGCCGCCGTTCTGTTGTTGGGCTCGTTTCATTTTAGCATTTTCATCCTTATAAGCTTCTAATTGTTTTTTCCATTCTTCTACATTCGCTGTAGATTCTTGAAGGGCAGTTGTTAGTCTAACGTTATTATTTTTCAAAGTTTGAAGTTCAACCTCCCACTTTTTAGCATTGTTTGAACTGGTCGCAAGAGCTAATTTCAAGCGATCATTTTCATATTTGAGTGAGTCCATATTCTGAAGGGAGTTTCGCTTGTCTTCCGGTAAAGGCTTAGAATTGTTTTGAATATCATTTGAGGTCGAAAAGATATTTTCTTCATTCTTAAGTAAGTCAACTATTTCCTTGAAATGCTCCTGAAATTTTTCCAATAGAATATCTTGTGGAAATCCTAATCCGTAAATAGTGCTGGCTCGACTATCGGACCACTGCCCAAATTTTGGAGAGGTGCGATTAAACACCATATTTGGTGTTAGTGTACTATTAATAAGTGCTTTTGTTCCTTCTACACTAATTATTCTATAGGCCTTATTAGCAACATCCTTATAAAAGTTTACGTCAACTTCGCCAGAGCTAACTTTAACCCAACTTTTTTTAGACTCTGGGTCTATTTGGAATACAAAAGCTCTCACTTTAAAAATCGGCTGTTCTCCCATGTTACGGAGGCCTGAAAAAAATTGGTTCCAAAATAATTATACCATTCCAAAAAATATTTCAATATAGGAGTAAACTTTTGTTAAACCTTTGTAAACAATATCATTCAAAAGCTCAAAACAGGTCTATTTAGATAATTTAGAATTGCCTGCTTTTATACGTCTTACAAGAATTCTTTATGTGAGAGAATCAATCGTCGTTATTGCATACCATAAAAACTGACTAATACTGAAATTTAAACTTACCAAGAAATTCCGAAAACGATTTAATGTGAAAAGGAAAAAATGCGTATTCTTTTAGAGTAAAAAAACGTTGCAATATGATAGTAATTCACAATATTTCGGCTATCTATTGTTGGATCGTTCGTCTGCTGTTTTGGACGCCTTATTAAAAATAGCCTGGATACCTGTTCACTTGCAAAATTTTTTCGGCTATTTTTTGTAAATTAAGCACACGAAACTTTAAAAATAAACTTTTTTTTATTATTCAATAATATTTAAGATAAGTAATTAAAATTTTGTTTTAGCGATTTTAGCACCATCTAGCGCTAGATTTTTATTATATGATTGTAACTTTTTAAATTACTCTTCACAATCGGCACAAACGTAAGAAGAATTTAAAACTTAAATATTTTAATTCTTTCTCTAAGAAGGATTTCTATAAAGAATTCAAGAATATAACATTTTAAGCGAATTTTTAAAAGAGGAGGGAACTGTTTATATCGTCACTTCCGGAATACCAAAATAAGTTTACGGAAATACCCTATCTGTAGAGTTAGTTGGCGAGGTGTAGTTTGCTTCAAGTGATAAATCGGATTAATTAAAAGAGGATCTTACTTGATTAATTATACTTTCAATGAAATAATGCCTACTTTCCACACAAAGACAATTGAAACAATTCTAGAGCCGGTGGCTCAGCAGGTTTGTTCTTTGTTTTGATAACATTCCAGCTTTTTAGAAGTATTTTTTTAAGGGTATCTTATCTAATCTAAAAATTGTATAATATCGCTTTGATTTCGGTATATTTTAAAACATGGTTTTGTGTAGAGCAATTGCTAGTTATAAAGGTTTTTCCTGTTTGTTAAAATAGACTGATAGTTTACATATTGCACAAGATAATTTTGTTATTCGAGATTAGTTGTTTGTAATATTAATTACTGTTGTTGAAAATGTCAATTAATTATTATATAACATAATTGACTTGCTATCACTAGTTTTAAAAAGTTTCGTTTGTTTTTATAGTATGTTGTTTATATGATAGAATAGTTGTATTATAAAGAACACTCTATTTTCTATGAAAAGTAGCTGAAAGCTATAATTTTGCCTATACAATGTTTCTTTATCTGTTTTTTGTTTCAACAGGTGTCAAAGTTGGTGATTTTACACGAAGAGGGCGAAGATGGGAACGCTATGCCTGATTTAACAAGACCTGTAAATGTTGTAAAGAAGGCCGTTGATAATCTTGTGAAAGTATATATATTCTTTCCACTTTTTTGGACGTAACAGAGAACAGAGAAAAACATATATAGAACACACACACATAACGTGTACTTATACTTTAAAGGCCTAGATAATTGAAATTTTTCACTAAAAATAGAGAATTGTATCAATAGCTAGCAGGATAATACTGTATTTAGTATTTAAAGAGAGGAGAAGGAAGTTGGGGTAGGGGGGGGGGGGCTGATGAGAAAAGAAGAGAAAAACAAACAAACAAAGATTCATCACGTAGTTGTAATTGGAATTAAAACTTTTTAAATTATTACTTTGATATAGAGTATTGTTAGGAAAAGAACGAAGGGAAAGGGCAAATGACGACAATATCGGAAAATCGCTATAAACCTTAAAAACATTGATTTTGTAATGGAGAACATATTATCTATCGATTCAATTATTCCTAAAAGGTCGGCTACGAGACGGTTAGCTGTAGTGAGGATAATCTATTGAAGCACGATATGCCTCCTGCCTTGTCAAGAGTTGAGGAAGCGTCTATGTTACTTGTGAATGCTGCATCTATGTTGTTAGATGATTCTCGATCGGCACCTGCACGTAAGAAATTGATTGATGGTTCTAGAGGTTCGTACAGTTGCTGTTAACAGTATTTAACTAATAAATCATAATAAGTTACTTTTGTTAAAGAGCTAGTTTTTTTTGAAGTCATATAATAGATCCAGCTTAAGAATACTTTTTATACAATAATTCGTATTTATTTTACAGGAAGCTGTATAAGTGACTAATAATCCAGTCATAAGAAGAATAAGCTATACCGAGTGTATAGTGAGCGCGTTCTAGATTTTTTTTTTAGAATAAGATAAGGATGAGTTAGGGATATTAGTCACAATTAATATATAAGCATCCTTACAGAATATTGTACGTTTATATTATAGGTCTATACATGCCCTATTTAAATAAAAAAAAAACACACACTGTCTATAAGTTATTGAGCGTTGAAAAGATAAAAAAAAAATGTTTTTATGAAAATTCCTATGGGTCTACCATTTGAAAGGCTAACTATTTATTAGCTTGTACAAGAATTACTGTAATCAATTATTTATAACGATCGTTTTTAAATATAATATTATTAATAGGGCTAATTTAAGAAGTGGTGATAATTATACGTTGGTCTACAGGTATTTTACATGGAACATCAGCCCTTTTATTGGCGTTTGATGAATCGGAAGTAAGGAAAATTATAAGGAAGTGTAAAACGGTTTTAGAATATTTAGAGATAACTGAAGTTATTAGCACTCTGGAAGATCTAGTCAAATATATAGAGGTAGACCATCTTTCGATTTGCACCTTGTGCAGTCTATATTGTTTTGTTTTATTTCTATTTTAGACTCTATCTCCTAATCTAACATCAATGATAAAATCAGTTGAAAGTCGAGAAAGAGAATTAATGCATCAAGCTCACAGAGAAATGCTTTTGCGTTCTGTTGACGACATTCGAAACTATACGAATCTATTTGTAAATACTTTAAAAATATTCGTTACTGCAAAAGTTGAAGGTCAATTTGGTATTGAAAATGCCCAACACAATAGAGATTATGTTGTAAAAAAGATGACAAGTGAAATTAACGAAATTATAAGAGTATTAAGATTAACTTCACACGACGATGATGACTGGGACTTGGCTGACATCAATTCATTAAAGAAAGCTCATGTTTGTAGCTCTGTGTTTAGACTAATTCAATTTTTAAGTGCAATTTTATTTCTCCTAGAATTTTATTAAGTCAAAATTACCAGCTGCAATTGACTGGGTCCAGGATGTTACCTCTCTTCCAGGAGGCTCAGGTTAGACTAAATACACCTAATACAAGATATGCTTAATTCATTTGTTTCTCTTTCGTAGGTGAACATAATCTAAGACAAGTCTTAGAAACCGCAAAAAAATTTGCAGAAGCTTGCTCTGATCCAGAAGAAAAAGAGGATATATTAAGAATGGCAGGAGAAATACAAAGCTTAGTTGATAGCATGTGTGAGTTAAGAGAGCAGAGGAAGGTATATATTTATATACTGTATATATACATAATGATTTAATTTTTTATACATTACACATTGTATATATCTATTATATTATAAGTTTAACTCAGTTTGAATATTGAAGTTTGTACATGTAGAAAGAGAGAGAGAGAGAGAGAGAGAGAGAGAACAAAAAAGAATGATAGATAAGGATAAAAATTTACGCCTTACTCGTTTTATTACTTTGATAAGGATAGTAAAATAATACTAAAAGAAAAAAACAAAAATCCTTGGAGGATGTATATTTTGTAATAGGCTTTATACACACTGTTTATGTTGTAGCTAAATCATTGACTATTTATATTCTAAACTTATATAGATCGATAAGATCGTTTAAAGAAATCGTATAAATTATGTTTATATTTTATTTGAAATGTCTCGATAAATTGCTGTTTGCTTTTTTAGGGTGATACACCTCAAGCATTAACCATTATTAGGACTATTAAAGATAAATTTGGAGAATTGAATGATATGATACAAAAATCCATTAGCAATGCTGAAAGAGCTGGAATGCAAAGACCCGATCCTAGTTTCTTGGGGAAACTTGATCAAGCGAAGAGATGGCTAGCTAACCCTATGTTTGATGATAGAAGATTAGGTTAGTAGACAACTACTATTAAAGATATTAGTATATTATATACATATGCTGTATATACCTTATATATATTGTATATCGTTAATTTTACATTATTAATGTTCACAGGTGAACAAGCCGCAAGAATGGCAGTTGAAGAAGGCCGCCGAATTGCTGATACCCTACAAGGAGCTGAGAAGGCAGATCTCTTACGTACGTGTGACGAAGTTGAATCTTTAACTAATCAATTAGCGAATCTCGTCTATAGAGGAGAGGTAATCGTTATCTATATCTCTTGTTTCTTAATTTACTCTTTTCAATATTCTTGCAGGGTAATTCTCCTTTGGCAAGACAAATAGTAGCAGATTTGTCAAGAGGTTTAGAAAAGTTATCTTTGCATACCCAAGACGCTATTGCCCAAAAAGTAATGAACTATTATTATACTTTTTATAAAAAGAGAGTTATCTAAAATTTTCAGTTATTAACTTAGCAAATTGAAATGAATCTAGAGGTAATATAAAGAAAACATTTATAGTTAAAAGATTATTGTTTTGTTGTTTGTCTTTAAAGAAAAAAAAAACAAAAAAAAACAAACAACGAAACATATATAAAATATGAATCAAACAAAATTTCAACATTTCTTCTGTGATTTTCTTTTTTTACTAATCAAATGAAAAGAAAGATTTTACTTCAAACATCAACAATTTTTCTCATTTTAATTTATTATTAAAATTTATTTAAATTTATATCTTAATTATAATTCTCTTTGCATGTCAAAGCAAAAATTGCATTAAAAAAATAAATATTCATCTTAATGAATATTAATTAGGGTTGAAATTAAAAATAAAAGATTAGATTGAAAATTAGGTATTGAAAGAAATTTATCTATACTGTAGCTATCAGTTTATAGTTGTTTTATATGAATTGTATGAAAAGTTTAATCGTTTTTAACGTTTGTATATCTTGATTTATTTTAATAATAGGTTGCTGATGATTTTATGGATACGACTAGCGCTGTAAAACATTTAACAGAGGCTGCTAAAAATCCTTTAAGTACTTGAAAATTTCTTTTATATATTTGTAAATGTTTATTTATAATTCTTTTCTTTTTTCTCTCTCTGTCTACCCTCTTCCTCTATCATCCTATACAGATACACCAGGTCGTAATGAAGTGATGAAAAATGCAGAAATAAATTTTGAAGAACATGCGAGAAGAATAACACAAGCGGCTACAGTTGCCGCCTTTGGAGCGTCACAGCACAATAAGGCTTTAATTCAAGAACTAAATAACAAAGCTATAGGCGTATGATACTAAATTTTTATTTATTTTTCAAACGTTTCTAAATCGATCATCTTTATCCTTGAATTTCTAGATAAAAAATCTAGCACCCGAAGTAATACACGCAGCCCGAATGGTTCACGCAAATCCAAATAATGAATCTGCAAATGAGCATTTCAATATGATAAAAAGTCATTGGGAAGACGATGTAAATAGGTTAAAAAATCTTGTAGATGGAGTTGTTGATACTGGAGCGTTTATTAAAGCAAACAGTAAGAGAAACATTCCTTAGGTCGTATTATAATTATTGTTAAACGATTGTTTCTTATTAAATAGAACGAGCTATTCAAAAAGAAACGGTATTAACTGAGAAAGCGATTGAAAAATCAGATCCTGGAAGTGTTGTTGCAAACACATTCTGTATTGGTAAAAGATCTAAAAGAGTTATGGAGGTAAAACACATACTTTTCTTTTTTTTTATCTCTCTTCTTTCTCCCCTTTTTGTTAATTTTTCTATTGAAGCATCAATTATCATTGAGAAAACAACTAAAAATTGCTGTTTTGTTTAGGTTGCCGAGCAAGAAGTGGAGAATTCCGAGGATCCCCAATTGGTTAACGATGTTGGGCAATGCGTCAGAAAATTGGAGGAATGTACGTTAATTTATTAAATATATATATATATATATATTGTATATTTCATACTTGTACAATGTACTTTATTATCAGCTTTACCACCGATGGTTCATAGTGCGAAAAAAGTTGTTAATAACACCAAAGATCAAAGGGCTGTTCAGGACTGGAGGAACAACAACAACAAGGTATTAATTTTGTTACTTTTATGTTGTTATTGTCTTTATACCTTTTGTAACAATTGCTAATATCCTGTTGATATTTTCCTCTATTTATTCATTGATAGCTCATCAACGCGATAGACAACGTTGGCTTAGCAGTTCAAAGAGGAATGCCTAAACCTACTTGGGAACCTGAAATTGATTTGGACAGAATGCATATTGATGACGAATCGGCTCCCCCAAGACCTCCCCTACCCTCGGATTCGGCTCCACCGAGACCACCCCCACCATCCGATACTGAAGATGATGAGCCGAGTTTCCCGGAGGAGATGCCAAACGAAAATCAACCAATTATGGTGAGTTGAATATCTGAGATAATTTTCCTAAGTATATCTATATAATTTCGTTTCTTTAGCAAGCGGCACATGCCCTACATATGGATGTTAAGCAATGGTCCAGCAGGGATAACGATATTATCGCAGCTGCAAAAGAAATGGCTATTTTAATGGCTAATCTTAGCCAGCTGGTTAGGTTAGTTGATTATTTAATCCATATTTTAACCTTTCACCTTCACATTATTCAATTTTGATATGACAATTTTCATTCAAATTATAGAGGAGAAAGTAGCTCTAAAAAAGAGCTTATTGCAACTGCAAAAGCAATTGCCGAAGCGTCCGAGAGAGTAACAAAATTAGCCAAGAAATTGGCCATGGATTGCACTGATAAACGCATGAGAATGGTTTGTTTTTTAAGATAATAGTTGATGCTTATTTTTGTGTTTACAAGGAAAAGTATATACAGAGAGGGTAATAAGACTAAATCGTATTTTTTTTTCGTATAGAATCTTTTACAAGTTTGTGAGAGAATTCCAACAATTGGAACCCAATTAAAAATCCTTTCCACGGTCAAGGCGACAATGCTGGGCGCACAAGGTAGAATTTTATACTTTTCTATTTATCTTATAAAAGTATGAAGAAGATGTTGAAAAAAAGATAAAAATCCCACCGTTACCCAATTATAAAAACGAAAGGAATAAGATTTTTACGATAATCTATTCTCTTTCCATTTGTGTTTGTTTCTTCCCGATAACAATTCTATTTGTTTTATCGCAAATATTTAAATGTACAACAGAAACTGTACCAATACCGGATGATAACGAATTAGCTAGCGGTAAATATACATGTATCAATAGAAGTAACATAAAATTAATTTGTAATAATAACAAATCAATAATAAAAGGTTTTTACGTAGTTGAAATTAACTAAAAACTTTTATAATCAAATATTATACTAGATTACAAAAAAAAGCACTTAGAGAATTATAGTTATTTAGTTTTTTACGAAACAATTCAGCATGATAATTTTAACGACGACGATGATGATCAGTGTGAAAATCTGAATGGTTTTTTTTCTATTTTTTTTTTTAAAAAAACAAACTAAGATTTTTTTTCTTTCTTTACTAATTCATTGATTTGTTTTTTTTTCTTTTTTTTATCTTCTCCCTTAATCAATACACAAAATATATAAAAACAGAATCAAGTAAGTAAAAGCTAAAGAAATGTAATGAAAATAACATAAATTCTAATAATGTATTAGGTAGCTTATTAGAAAAAGCTAGAAAATATTAATTTATTAAAATGTTTATATCTTTATTCGTTTTCTTTATGTTATTCTTTCAATAACCTAGCCCTATATATTGTAAATTTTTTAATGGCTTTTCATGTTGTCTTAGTGTTATTACTTTGTGTTTTATAAGTAGTAATTTATAATTCCTTTTCTTTCTAAAAGGCTCCGAAGAGGATCAAGAAGCGACTGAGATGCTTGTTGGAAACGCTCAGAATTTAATGCAATCCGTAAGAGATACAGTAAGAGCTGCTGAAGCTGCTTCAATAAAAATTCGAATTGATTCTGGATATACGATTCGATGGCATAGAAGAAAACCTTGGTACACTTAAATGAATGAAACAAATCTTTTGGATCGTAGCTATTGATTTCGTAGTATTAGGGTAGTTGTCTCTTTTTTCTCTCTCAATCCCTCTTCCTCTACCCTATAGTGCCCCTTTTTTTCTATATTGTGTTTTAAAATGAAAAAAGGACTTTAGAAGAAGAGATATTGAAATAGCTTCCCTATAAGGAAAAGAAAAGAATAGAAAGAAAACTTCATTTAGCAGGGAAAATCTTTCTCTTTTTTTTGTTTTTCTGTATTATCCACACAAACAACTAGTAAACTAACAAAATGATATTATTGCAAACCTTCTTAGTGTTACCATTATCTACTGTAATAATTCATATTTTTAAAAAAAAGGTGCTTAATGATTTTTAATGAAAAAACAAAAATAAACTTTTACTATTTTAGAAATTTAACTTTTTATCCTTCGCTCATTCGCCAAATCTTATCAATTTCTTTCATTTGTGCATTTTGCAGTGAAGTACCATTGTGTTTTTGTTTGTTTTAAAAAACAAAAGAGAATAAGTCTTTCGACACCTTCTTCTTTCCTTGTCTTTCGTATATTAAATGGAATATATATAGAAATCTGCTTGCTCTTTGAATAAATTGTGTACTCTATATAAATTCTATATATATATATATATTCCACTGGTGCTGGGCCTTGTTACAAAAAATTACAAATGCGTGCAGAGAAGTGAACATTTTCTTCATTCTTTTATAGTGACACATCTTCTTTACTATAAAAATGTATTAATAATGATAAGATTCGATAAATTATTTGACCTACTAATCGAAATCTGGTAAAGGTTTGTCGTAGCCTTGTTTTCCATAAAGCCAATAAGTAGTTAAGAAACCCTTGCCCTTTGTAATATAAGACAGTCAGAATAAAAAATGATTTCTGTTTCCATCCTATCCTACCTTAATGTTTATATTACCCCTTTTAATCATGGAATAAAGACCAAATTCCGTTAGACATTTGAAGATATCTTCGCTTAAATGAATTCTTAGAGGTTTTCCGCAAGATTCCATCTTGCTGGCTAAATTTACGGTATCTCCAAATAGGCAATATCTATACATTTACCCGAATTTCTTTATGGAAACTATTGGCGATAATTATATTATACATACCTCGGCATTACATTACCAATTACACCGGCGACAACTGGACCAGTGTGGAGGCCTATTGATATTAAAGATGATAATATATATAAACTGATTGGATTGAGAGAAATCTGTACTAACCAATACGTAATCTTAGCTGCTCTTTAGGTCGATGACGAATACAAAAATTCGTAACTGAAGAAAGCAAATCCAAAGAGATGTCGGCTATTTCAGTTAGATGTTTCCTTCCGTTCCTATTCGGTACACCGGAAACTACCTAAAAATTGTAGAAGAGGATTCAATTGAAAGTGTGATAAAACACTTAGTGTCGTTAAATTTCAACCATATAAGCATCTCCGATTGTTTCCACTTTGTAAACGTCATGATCGGAAACAACGCCATCGAAGCAAGTGTACAAATCATTTAAAAAGTCGACAATCTATTAAATATTAATAAAACTAATAACGAAAATGGTTAATTATCGAAATGGACCTGCATAGGAGTGCTATCAGACGATAATGTGGTAAATCCAACAATATCAGAGAAATAGATACTACTCTCTCTATAGCTCTCTGGTTCTATTTTCGTTCCGGCTTTAAGATGTTCAACAATAGTACTTTACATTTGGTTTTTTTTTTAAAGAAAAACATAAACTATGTTAGAAATTAATCATAAAAAAAGAAAAGATTAATGATACAGTGGTAGGATTCTGGATAGAAGACGGTCACTCTTAGCCTTCTCCTCGCTTATTTGTTCGGTTCTCTCTTGTACAGTTGTTTCCAGATTTTTAGCGTATCTATTCATCATTTCCAATATTGTATCAACAACATTAACTTTGGAAAATTGAAAGAGTTTTACATCATGAATAATTAATATATTTAAATTAGAAATTTATTAAATAAAGTAATTAAATAGTTAATTATCTCTTACTCTCCTCTATTTAATCTAAGTAAAGATCCTCTAATTGACGAAAAAGTTGGTCTCTCCTCCGGAATATCGTGCCACATGTTATGAATTAATTCAATCATTTTATAACCAAATTCACAGTTTTCCGGTAATTTGGGTCTAAAGGGAATACTTTCGGAGTTGCGTATTCTGTGTACCACGTCTGTAATCGTCCAAAAAAAAAATAAAAGGAATATAATTGGTACTTAGAAGGTATTTAAAGTTAATTTATTGAAATAAGCTGTCGATATGGACATTTAATAAAATGCCTATTTTTTATTATTCTCCTTTGTTTAATATGTAATTCTATACTAATACAATTGTGCATTTTTTGCTTTTTTTTTATCTTGTTAATCTTTTTTTAATTAAGAAGAAGAGATTAAGATATTAAGATAGAGAAGGAGATGGGAGAGCAAAAGAATTCAAGTTTAACCTCTAGGTGTCATTTCATTAAATGAATAAGGTTCACTTCTATTTAGGATTTCGCTACAGATAATAGCAAAACTGTATACGTCTCCCTTCTGACTTCCCTTTAGCGGCGGATAATTTTCTCGAAGAATTTCAGGAGCGGTCCATAATTTTCCTTTAAAAAAAAAATAAAAAGTCAATAACCTTGAATGACAATTTCAATATTTTTCAAAGACAAAAAATTCTAAGCCTACAGCATTTGTACGTACGTGTATAAATATAAATTTATTTATATATAGTATATGTATAGTATCTAAAAGATTATATATCATCTAAGGCGTGGTTAAATACTACTTTTTTATTCAGCTTTAAGACATTTAGAATTCTAAATTATCACAAGTCCAAAGTCTAAAAATCGAATATATTAATTAAATCGAAAAAGTAACAGTGACAGAGGAGAGAGAGAGAGAGAGAGAGAGAGAGAGAGAGAACGAGAGACCTAGCGAGATTTGAAAGCGTATCTGTTAGTTATGAAACAGTCGCCGTTGGAAGCAGTTCATTCTAGAAATTTCGAGTGGTTGTAGTCGGAAATTGCCGAGATATTTATAATTTCGATAACAATCACTTGATAATCTTCTAGTCTTGAAAGAGAAAGCAATTCTAACAAAGAAAAGGAATATGGATAAGAGGAAAATTTATCTTTTTCTTCTCTGCTGGACAAAGAGCTTTGAGTCAGCCGAGAACCAAGTAAATCAACGTTTTGTTTGGTTTTCGACAACTCAAAATTCGTTGTTAAGCCTTCGCTAAATGTTTAATAAAAGAAGATGATAAAGGAAAAGTTAAAAATAAACTATAGACAAAAGAGAGAATATATCGAAGAAGAGAAAAAAAAAACTGGAATAGGATTCTTACGATACGTAATTGTGTCTATAACACAAAAGGATATTGCTGAGTAGCTATTTCTAGATGTTCTCTTTATTTTAATATATTCCTAGCTTACGGAATAATATAGAGGAAACTGTAAAACGAATAGTTCTTGTAAGTTGCATACAATAGATTCTAATCGATTATTTAAGTCTTACATATTGTTGCAGAGGAAAAAGTATACAAAAATACAAACGTTTGTAGAGTTCATATTGTTGAGAATCCTCATAAATTTGTCCATCTAAGAAATTATTTAATCCGTAATCCGTTATCTAAAATATGACAAACAAACAAACAAAGTATAGCTTTGCTATTCTATTGTAAAAAAAAATTGTTCTTATAGCAGACTTTAACTGTCCAACGTTCGTTAACGAGGCAATTAGAGCTTTTAAGATTTCCATTAGAATGCAATATAGATTTGTGCAAATAAAGCATTCCTTTAACTATATCAATCATAAACGACATTTTGAAGTTTGATTCCAATTTTAAATCGTCGTTCATAACGACATCCTTTATACGTTATTGTTTATTAGTTATTAAATAACTGGCTATTACTTATGTATAGTTTATACATCACCTGTATACTGCCACGTTTGCAATATTGCCAGAGTACGTATATATTTTGAGGAGAGACGCAAGCCCCGAGAAACGTGTTAAGATTCTCGTGAGAAATATCTCTTATCTATAAAAAGTAGTTTATGAAGACTAATTAACATTTGGATAATTGAAATAATTGTACTTCGCCAAATTCTATTAAAACTTTTCTCGATAGTTCTACGTGGTCTTTTTTCACCGGCTTAAGAGATGCTAGAGTACCTTTGTAGAGACTTATTTCGGTAAATACTTGAGACACTTGGCCAAAAGAGTTTATTGATTTTGAAACAGTTTCGGTTTTAACAGGAGGAGCAGGTTCCTCATTTGAATTTGAGGTTGTTGATTTACTACTTAAACTAATCTATTTAAATCAATTTGATACGAGTATGAATATTAATTAGATGGATTTAAGATAAAGAAAAATTTAATATTTTCAATTCACATTGCTTGATGTTCCTTGAGTTTTAAGTAATTCTAATTCTTCCAAAGAAATCTTCCAAGAAGCAGCCAACAACCTATTCTCAAACTGGGATTTTCTATAGAAATAGAAACCCACACCCAATAGTCCACCAATAGAGATTAGAGCAATTAACGAGGCGACAATTGATATCCAAGAGTTATCTAATATAATTAATATAAAGCTATATAGAAAATGATGGAGTAGGAGGAGAACAATTAATTTACCCGCTTCAACGCATAATTCATTGAGAAAACCACATTTAGGTATATCTTCAGGAGCGTTTTCGTGACCAGTCAAGCCATTTGGCCAATAAGGTGGCTGAATATCCCTCCTAAACTCCATATGTCCGTCATCGGTATTAAGAACTTCTGCCATCTTTTCAAAAATTCCAGTTGCAGGATTCATATCCATTATCCAAAAATCTGGTTCCCTATCAGCATTTCCGTCTAAAACAATATTACCTGACATCCCTTAAAAAAGAATTAAACGGATTATTCATACAGAGTGTTATCCAAAAAAAGGACAATAGCAATTAAAACCTTGAAAGAATTTTTCTTTCAAATTACTAATTACTGCTTCTCCATTTCTGGGATTCTTTAGATGGAAATTGAGAAATAAACGTTAATGAGGAACTTTCATTTTTCAATTGTCATATATACTATACAGTATATATACTGTATATATATATATATGTATGTAATATGTCCCAACCTGTCCTAGTTTTAAGGTTACATTTAGCCCGATACTATAAATCAGAACAGCGTCATGCAGGAAAGCGGCGAATGGATCACCCTAAGACAAAAAATTCCTAATTACTTTATGATGAAATAGATGTTGAAGGATCATCACACCAGTGTGCCTGGAGGTAAGTTGACGTTCCAAGGTGGGAATCTCATCCTTCTGGCAACTTCGCCTCGAAACTGACTCTGAGCCACACTGCTCGGAGCGGCTAACACGATCTGTTAATTTTGACATGCATTTAAGCCAATGTTAAAAAGTAAATATTTCAATTAATTGTTATATGTATTATACGTGAAAAACTGATTCAAAAGCCTGTTTGGCAGTTGAGTCTCTGCCGTCGTTCCCTTGCCAAGTTTGCATTGAATTGAGAATGTCTTCCTGGGGAAGTATGTCCATAGTATAAAAGACGTAATCGCCATTCGTCATACCCTTTTCGTGGGCTCTAAGAAGAAACTTCCTCCTATGTTCTCGCGGATTAATTAGAGCAACAACTTGATACGACGACAGCAATAAAAGATAAAAGTAAATAAGAGAGTTTAAATGTATTTTTTTGTTTATTTTATATAGGAAAAGACTTACTTCTTGCCCTAACTCTGATTTTTTCTAATACGCTATTAATGAAAGTTTTCGATGGATCGTTTTTATATTTTTCAAGAACTACTAGTTCAATATTTCGATCTTTGAGTACTTTAGTAATTGATTCGCCGGCGTCTTCCCAGACAAGACCTTCGAACATGACAGCGGCGATTCTATTCCATTTGTACGAGTCGAAAATAATTTTAAGGAAGGCTCCGAGTTTACCGAATGGACGTTCTTGCCAACGTTGTATATCTTGTTCTATCTCTTAGGCCGTAATCCGTCGCTACCCAACTTATTATAGGAACATTATAGAATGACGCCAATTCGGCGGCCGGTTTACAAGCTAAACGGAAAGAGATTGATGGTTTTACTCGCTATACAAATATATCAACAGCTATCTACCTCTGGAACAAGGGGGGCCGATGAGTGCGTCTATTGTTTCATTAACAAGGAGATCACAAGTATGACCGACCGTTAAAAGACTATCGCAATCCGAATCTCTATAGACCATGCTTTAGAGGCGAAAAGTGAAATATAAAAGCATAAACAAAGGAAAGGAGAGTTTAAATAATAAACTTTGTTTGTTAGGTTATTTGCTTACCTCAATTCGATCTCACCGTCGGCGTTCCATTTGGGGTTAGAGTTGATAGTTTGAATGGCGATGTCTACGGCAGCCGCGCTTGTCATTCCGGAAAAACCACTATAGGATTTGGTCATTGGTGCTAATAAGCCAATTTTAAACTTTTTAGATGATATAGATACGTTAAGAAGAGACCATATAAGTATTTTGATCATCATTATTAACGATAGCTTGGAGAGTGAATGAAAGAAATGATAGTCTTTAAGATCATTTAAGGGTATTCCATTAAGTATAGACATTATTAGAAAGTCATTCTTTTACCTTTAATCTTTTCTTTTACAAGTTTTTTTTTACGCTTCGTCATACTTTATGTCCTATATATTCAGCTGGACACATGAACAAATTTACAGTACATATATGTAGATTTATCGTTAGACTAGCCAAAATTATAATCAGGTCATTGAACTAGGCCAACCTTTCCGTTATACTCTTTCAAATTTATGATCTCTATTGCTAATTATATAATAACTTATTTTAAAAAGTTCTTATTGAAACTTTCTCTTATAATTCTTTTCATTTTAATATAAAATTTATTTAAAAACTTTTTTTTTAAAGAAAAAACTTTTAACTTTTTTTCTTTTTGTTTGAACGAAGAAAGTATACTTTTCCTTATTAAAAAAAAAAGAACAAACTATAGACATTATATATTTATATTAATTGGGTTAAACGTTGGCCACGTTATCGAGTAGAGAGACTTTTAAGAAAGTTTAGGCCTTTTCCTAAAGAGATGGAGGTGAACTATTCCTATTTAGGTTAATATAAATTTTGTCTGGCTTTTTCGAGACGTTCTACATAAGACTTTAAAATTTCTGCTAAAGAAATAATTAGCGAAAGATATTTTTTTTTAAAAAAAAAAAGGAGAGATTATTAAATATTAATAGAATTTGGGTAGTTTTTTTTGAATATTTTCTTGTTAAGTTTTCCATCATTTCTATAGAAATTTACATCATAGGTCGTGTTGATCATTTAACTGTGTTCCGTAGACATTTTTTACAGCTGACATCTACTCAGCGTTATTTCTTGTCAGTTGTAAGCAGATTAATTAATACTCAACGATAGTATATTTTAAGGGGAAAATTTCTGGTTTGGACATTCAGTCTCTGAACGGCGATCGACTAAAGACAACCAAAGAAAGACTACTTTTATTTGACTTATTGACGAAATTAAGGAAAAAGAAGGAAAGATTTATAATGGAATGCTCATTTAACGAATATCTTGAAAAGATGAAAAAGGAAATCAACAACGAGGACAGCTTTTCATTACGTTCTATGGAAGAAGGACTGAACGCTTCGCTGACACTTCAAGAAGATGATAAAAATTTGAAAGATGTTGGTAATATAGTTAGTAAAAAAGATAAGAAATTATATGAACCGAATTTTGAATCGGTTGGAGAAGATATAACCAGCGTTCTACCAACAACCGACGCCTCTAACTCGACCTTAAAATTTATCTCCCCGGAAACTCTTATTGACGTTGTGCAAGGAAAATATAGGCATTTATTCAAATTACACAAGGTCATTGATTGCCGCTATCCGTATGAATTCACTGGAGGTAATTAATCACCTTTTTTTTTTAATTACTTAATTAACCAATTGTACACTTTTTTATATATATATACTCTATAATATCTTTTTTATTCTTTCAAAAATAGGTCACGTGATAGGGGCAAGAAATTTCTCCAGTGAATCAGGGTTAGCGGCAAAACTTTTTGAATCTTCAGAAAATAGCTATAAGGGTGTCTTGATATTCTACTGCGAATTCTCTTCTCAAAGGGCTCCCGGTATGGCTAGAGCAATTAGACGTTTTGATAGAAATTTGAACGCTGATTGTTATCCACGATTGTGCTATCCTCAAATATTCGTTATGGAGGGTGGCTATAAAAGATTTTATGAGAAATTTCCAGATAATTGCAATCCGGAAGGTTACGTTTCGATGATGGCGCCCGAATATCGTTTTAGCTTGAAAGCCTATCGTAGATCGACGACGTATAAGGAGAATTCGTCGAAGAAGACTAGATCTACTAGAAGATTAAATACGGCTGTTCTGCCGCAAATTCTCAACTTTCCTAAAGTGTGAGACAACCTGTAAAGAGACGACTATCGTATCACTAAGAAACTAGAGACAATACGACAATATATCCTAATTTAAACGGACGAAACGAACGAAAAACCTAAAAAAAAAACCGACAAAAAAATGTCATGAAAATGAAAAAAAGCACCAAAAAAATTATAAAAAAGTGTTTTTTTTTTTAAAAAAAAAAGCAAACAAATGAATATATAAAATATTTCTCTAATTGTTATTTATTTAAATAGTTATTATTAGTAATATCTAGTTTGTTTTTCTGTTTGATTTGTTTATATTTCTCTCTTTCTCTCTCTCTCTCTCTCTCTCTCTCTTTCTGTCTGTCTTTATCTTGTTTGAATATAGAAAAGAAAAGAAAAATTTGAAACTATTTAATAGATTTATCTTGTAAAAATATGATGAGATTATCCCTAATTTAGGGATAACCTTTTAAAACTATGAAGAAAGAAGGTCTGATTCGTTTAAAGCTCTTTGTTCTTTATTAAAATTTAACTGGAAGGTAAAATTATTTTCCGTTTTAAAAGTGAAAATTTTAATTTTCATGTCTAATTAAATACGAATTTAATGTAGGTTTTATCTCATTTATAGTCTAAATTCGGTTAAATGATGACTTATTTAACGGTTTTTATAACTATCACATTTCTATGTTTTTCCAAAGTAACAAGTCAAACTGGTTAGTTAAAATATTTTTTTACATTTTTTTGTCTAATTTTTTAAAAAGTATTTCCTAAACGTTGTTTGTTTTGTTTGTTTTTAATTCGCTCTCATTTCTGCTTGTTTGTTTGCCTTCTACTAGGGGATTCTACAAATCATAGCGAAAGTAAGATATATACTGTATATAGACATTGTATTAAAAACTATTGTTTTTTTGTATTGTCTAAAGCTGTGAGACGATTTCGAATTGGTCTTATCATTCCTTGGAATGATACGTTTAACGATTTTAGCGGTTTTACTAGCGCAAGCGCCGTTTCTATAGCTATTGAAAAGGTTCACAGCGATAAAAGATTGAATAGAACAATGAAATTTGAGTAAGTTTCCTATTTCTATTGAATGTTTATCATGTTGATAGTTTGGTACCTTTAGCGTTGTAACGGTCGATTCGGGATGCGATAGTAAAATTGCTGCGGGGAATACACTGAAATTATATAGTGAAGAGAGAGTTGACGTATTCATAGGGCCAGCTTGTTCTAGTGGTAAGCAATTCGTTTGTTTTATTTCGTCTAATTTCCTTATTATTAAAATACAATAAAGCTTGTAGAAGAGTTGCCGAAATGGCTTCCTATTGGAATAAGCCAATTGTTTCTTGGGTAGCGGCAAGCTCGGATTTTAACGAAAAAAAAGTATACAAGACTCTATCGAGAACTTTGGGACCTTTTAGCAAAATGGGAAGATTCATAATAGAATTATTTCGATATTATAACTGGAATACAGTTGGTGTTATATATTCTGATAACTATATATGGCAGGACGCAGCCTTATCCGTCATAAGAGTAATTTTTTCCCATCTAAATATATCTTTATATTCTATTCTTATCTTATGAAAAAACAATAAACAATAGGCGTTTAGAGAAAGCAATATCTCAATTTCGGTGGAAGATAAATATCCTTTTGAAATAGCTCCTCTTGCCTATATACAAAAAGTTCTAACTTTCATTAAGAAAGAAGCGAGAAGTAAACTTGATTTTTTTGTCTCTTTTTTTTATTATTTTAATTATTTTTTAACTTTTAAAGAGAAATAACGTGAATACGTTGTTGATCATTTTTTTTTGAAAGATTCTTTCTTCTCTCTATCTATTCTATCTTTCCTATCTTCTTTTCTAGTTGTAATACTCATCGGTCCGAGAGATGAGAGAAGAAGATTTATTTTGAACGCCTATGACCTAGATATGACTAAGGGCGACTTCGTCTTCCTTACGATAGACGTACTACCTCAGGAAGATATAATAGGGGTTATTTACTACAGTATATTATATAAAGAAATGAGGCGATTATAATCTTTATTAAATTTTTTTGTAGCAAACTGAAGTTTGGCAAGGAAATGATGGTCGTGACAAAGATGCGAAACACGCTTTCGAGTCGGTCTTTCACGTAAGCTAGAATTAATAATATATTTATATAGTTTAGTCGTTCTTTTCCTCTCCTCTTCATAGGTGACACTGGCTACCGAAACTACTGACGAAGTTGTCAATTTTCGAAGAGAGGTCATGAGGAGAATGAAGGAACCTCCTTGGTCTTAATACGTTCCTAAACACATAAATGTTAAGATAAGGAAAAAGAATATTATTGCTGTATATTCAAATATCTTCTTCTTCTTCCCCTATTAGCTTGACAATATAGAAATGGGCGATAGATATTCCACCTTTTTACACGACGCAGTATTCATTTACGCAACGGCTATAAGTGGTACTTTAGCCAAAGGTCTAGATCCATATAATGGCCAAAATATCGCTAGATTTACAAGAGGAAAGATATTTAAAGGTATTTTACGAACAAAACAGTAGAAAAATCACAATCAATCAAGCAATTAACCAAAATTGTTTCTGTTCTGTCTTTTTTTCTTCTACATAGGCGTCAGCGGTAACGTTATTCTTGATGAAAACGGTGACAGAGAACCCGATTTTTGGGTTATGGACATGAACCCAATCACTGGTAAATTTGAAAAGATGGCAGAACTCATTAATACTGAAGAAAGATTAAGAGTATTAAATTGTATTGAAAAAAGTTGCGCTCTTTAAGTATAGTTCTTTATTAATTAGATCTTTAAGATACTTTTAAAACCGAGATGGCCAGGTGGTTATGTCGGAGACAACTACGCTCCGAGTGATATTCCATCTTGCGGATTTAATGGGCTTTTATGTTCAAAGAAGACAGGTTAGCTGAAATAGCTTTCTTCTATGGCTTTAAAGGTGATTCTTTCTTGTCCGTTAAAAGTTAGCCTCTGGGTAATTCTCGTCTCATCTATCGTTCCGGTTGTCTGCATAATTGTCATAGGAATTGTCATATTTTTTGCCTATTAAAGAATAAAATACGAAGCAAATTTGCTAAGTCAAAGTTGGAGGGTGAGGTGGCATGAAGTTGAAGAAATACGAAATAAATTCAAAAGTAGCTCCAGTAATAAACTTGGGGTGAATATTAATATTATATCATTAATCCAATTGGATTCTAATAATCCTCTCCCTTTTTCATTCATCCAATAGAAAAGCGTTTCGAATTCAATGAACGACAGTAGAAGCGATACTTCCAGTCGTTCAGGGACGAAATCTGCCGGAAGTTATCGACAAGAGCAAATTTTCACCGAAATTTGCTACTATAAAGGAACGAGATGCGCTATAAATAGAATTTCAGAGGATCATATACAAGTAACTAGAACCATGCTGATCCAACTTAAAGACGTTTGTACACTTTCGTCTAAAGTTCAATATGTCCATCCATTTTCAATTCTCTCTAATTTTTATTGAAATAGTTAAAGGAAATGGTCCACGATAACGTTAACGTTTTCATAGGAGCTTGCTTCGATTATCCTAATAACTGTTTCCTTTGGAGTTATTGTTCCAAAGGAAGTTTACAAGATGTTCTCTTAAGCGAAGAGACTCAATTCGATAAAACATTTAAATTATCATTTCTTCTCGATATCTCAAAGGGTATAGAATTTATTCATAAATCGCATCTACACTCTCACGGAAATCTTAGAAGTTCTAATTGTCTTGTAGATGGTCGTTGGTCTGTTAAAGTAAGCTATAAAAAAAAACACCTTGTTGACTTTATTTATCGTTTTTCCATCTTTTCCAAAGGTATCTGACTATTCAATGAGCTCAATTATAAAAATTCGACACAAAGAGATAATTGATGATCACTATTATAAAAGTATATATAAATTTATATATATATGTATATATATATATATATATATATGGTGTGTATAGCCTGCAGTCTTCATCAAAAAAAAGTTGACAAACAATACGATCTTTTAGCTGAAAGAGTTTATAGAAAATAAACTTTTGACAAACATAAAGAAAACAATTAAAAAACTGAAATTTGATTAAATAATTCATTAATTTATTAATATTTACTAATCAATAGCTTTTGTTAGGATTATCATATTTCGATGGCTAATGTATTTTTAATACACAAATGCTTTAGAATACTTTCAATTATTTCAATTATTTCACCCTAAATATTCTATTCAGAGAGCGCCTGGACTGCACCTGAACTTTTAAGAAATCCAAATGCTCCTCTAGCTGGCACTACTAGGGCTGATGCTTATAGTTTTGGGATTATTTGCTACGAAGTAATTACCAGAAAGGAACCGTACGATTTCTCTATTGTTTCACCAAAAGGTTACAGAGTATTATTGTTTTTGCTTTCTATAAAATGAAATAAATAAAAACATAGATGCTATAAGTCGTGTTAGGAATGGTGAAAGTATACCGTTTAGACCAGCCTTGCCGGTTGTTCATGAATTGGGTCAGGAGTTACTATCGTTAACTCTTCAGAGTTGGGATGAAGACGAAATGAAAAGGCCTGCATTTACAAAGATTAAGAATACGCTATTAAAGATCGCTGGAGGAGAGTAAGAGTTTTACTATATAGAAATATTTTCTATTGACTAATAACGCAATAATACTAATTTACATTGCAGAATAAATATCATTGATAGTGTTATTAAAATGGCCGAGAATTATGCATTCAATTTGGAAGAGCTTATTGAAGAGAGAACAAATACATTTATAGAAGAACAAAAGAAAACCGATACGCTATTGTACAAGATGCTCCCAGCGTAAATCGAATATTATATATATTTATACAAATATATCATATCTTTATCTATAAAACATAATACTATTAATAGGTCCGTTGCTGATCAATTAAAAGCTGGAAAGTTTGTTTCTCCAGAAAGTTACGAACAGGCCACCGTTTTCTTTTCGACGTTAGTTGGCTTCAATATACTCTTGGCTGAGAGTACTCCTATACAGGCAAGTTCACTTACCTTTTTAAGTAGTTTAATTATATAAATGTTTTACAAAATAGATAATAGCCTGTTTGAATGACCTTTACATAATATTCGACGAGGTTATACAGAAACACGACGTATTTAAAGTAGAAACTATTGGAGATGCCTATATGGTATCTAGTGGTGTTCCAACAAGAATTGGTGCCCGTCACGTAATTGAAGGAGCCAACGTAGCTCTCGATTTGCTATCGGCATCTACTATCTTTCAAGTTGCTCACAAACCAAAATTAAAGCTTCAACTAAGAATAGGTTTTTATAATTTATTCATAATTTATTCGTCTCTTATTCATAGAGTGGTTATCGGTTAGAATATTGATTTTAACCAAATTGATACGGTACAATATATAAATTTCTATATTCCCTATGAATAAAAAGAGAATTTTAAATGGAAGAAGCAAAAATAGGAGGAAGAAGTCAGGAAGATAAACAAAATATACCATTTTTGTTGGTTTGTTTGTTAATTTTCTTCTTTTTTAAAGTATAGTAAGTGGAGTACCAGCTCTAAACGATTCGGCATTGTCCTCCAATGTTATCTCTACTTTTAGCAAGTCATTTTCTACGGAATGGCTTATCGACGATATCTTTAGGTCGTTTTGTAACTTAAAGTCTTTACTTATAGATTTTTTGAATGTATGCGTACTACGCTCACCAACCATCTCTTGATAATTACCTCTAACTCTTACAATGCTTTTATCATTCTCATCTATAAAAACTTTCAAGTTTTCTTCGCACAAGTCGCTACTTAACTTTGTCTGTAGACTTATTACTCTGCGGCCATCCGGCGATGTAAGAATGGGAATAGAACCGGGAGGACAAGGGGCGTTTCTAGGCGGTAGGTGAAGAGGCATCTCTACTCGAATTATTTTGCCATCAACTTGCCGAAACATCTGCTTGCTGTTCACTTGTTCAGGAATATCAACTTTACGAATAATCTTTTTTCGAAAAGTTCTATCCTACAGGGTTATGATTGAGATTTTTATTATTTTTGAAAAACTCTCTTTTAATGGATAAATCATTCTTTCTAGACTCTTACATAAAAATTCATCAAGCCTATATAACGATTAGTACAACCTACAGATGGCGTCAAAAAAAATTAATAAAATATTTCATCTAAATCATATCCCTGTTCGATAATGGTGTGAACGACTTCAAGTACTAATTTATTCTCTTCAATTGTTAAATTCATACTATCCTCGTCGAATTCCTCTATTTCAAATTGATAAGTCATAACCGGTAATCCATTTCTATTGCTGACAAAGGCTGTTGTATCATCGCGATACGTTTCATTGTCTAAGAATGGGGAGAAGTCGTCTAAACGATTATGCCAACTTTTTTTCGCATCCGCCATTCTGTCCTCCTCAATACTACTGTCAAAATTAGACCTATCCCTTGGTTTATCTGTAGCATTCAGAACAGTCCGAAATAGGGCCTATTGAAAGAGATATACTACACGTATAAATGGTCTACCTGACATTTAAAAATTGAATAAGTTCTTACCATATTGAAAAAAGATTAATCTGCCTTATGAAAATCTTACAATAAGCTATTTAAATTCTTTTCGTTCACCAATTAAAGCTGTTGGCAGACTGAGAGAGAACCGAAATCGAATATTTTAGTAAAAAGAAGCTTTTTTATTATTATTATTGAGGCGCCACACACACAGTTGGCGGATTTTTACCAACTGGTGTTAAACTAGGCCTAATTTTTCCTAAAGAAATTTATTACGTTTCATTGTATAGCCATTTGATGATGATTTATTAAATGAAATAATAAATTACTTTACATTTCTATGCAGTATACTGTATACATTTGCGGGTGTAATGTAATATGTACTGCAAAAATACTTGGACAAAAAGTAACAATGATAGTTTATTGAACAGATAGACCATTTAATAACTAGTATATAGTTAAATTAAATCCTATATCTATAATGATTTTATATTAGAAAGGGAAAAAACTCCTCTTTTTCTCTTTATCCCTTCCGATTTCTCTCAACTGTTTTAGAAAGTTCTTTATCAAATCGTAATGATCTGTTTTCCCCTCTAAATTGCTAATGTTTTGGTAATTTGGTAGGAAGAGAGAATCTTTTTTTGTTGCAGTAGAAAGCCTTGGAAAAGGTCCTGTTTTTATTAGAACATTACCTTTAGATTAGACGGGAGGGCTGAGTGAAAAGTAAAAGGTAGAAAGTGTAAAATTTACTTAGTTTGTTTTACTATCTTTCCGCAGGCCTACATAAAGGACCGGTTGTCGCTGGAGTTATAGGGCTGATTATGCCCAGATATTGCTTATTCGGAGATACAATAAACACCGCTGCTCGAATGGAATCGAATGGAGTTGGTTAATATATTTTCATACATTTTAATCTTTACGAAATGAAGACGAGAGATAATCGTATAAGATTATTATTAGCATCTTTAAATAAATAGAGATATTAGACTACTTAATATAGGGTTAATTAGCATTTATATTACTAATTTGAATTGTTAATATTTCTCTCTACAAGAGATATTGGATGTAGAACAACTGTAAGATCCTCTTTGCTTATTTTAACTTGCTATATAAACATATACTTACACTAAGTAGAAAGTAAAAAATTTGCAGCTGTCAAAGTTCAACTCTATTTTTATTTATTTCTTTATTTATTTTAAATAATCAAAAGCTTCATTTTGCTTTTTTCTTTATCCTCTCTCCTACTCCTTTCTTCATACGTCGGATAATTCTAGGAAATAGAATTCACGTGTCAAAACAATTTCAAATCGCTTTATTGGAACTCAGCGGAGATTATCTTCTAGCTCCGAGAGGTGAGATGAACGTTAAAGGTAAAGGAATTCAGATGACTTTTTGGTTGTACGGTAAAAAAGGATACGAAAAACCTCTTCCAGAATTCGAGAGGTAGTGTGCATTTGCTAATTTAATAATCATTTAAAATTTATCCACCTCAATTACGGCATTACCTTCAGCTATATTTTAAAGAAAGAAAGAAAGGTTGAAAGGAGGAAAGAACGATAGAGAGAGAGAGAGAGAGAGAGAGAGAAAAGTCATTCTTTCGTTATTTCTAATGTTATATTGAAATTAGAGTCTTCCTTTACAAGTACATGAATATTTTTTATTCATGAAAAATTTTACCATGCTCTTCTATCAGATAGGAGGAAAATGATATACTTCCTCTATTTGACACTATATGTATTTCAATACCGTTAGATAACAAAGTTGTTTTTTTTTCCTTACTTCTCATATTTCTTTCTCTTTTTAGTTGTTTTGCTTTCTCTCTCTCTCTCTCTCTCTCTCTTTTTCATTCATTCCTTCTTTCCTTCCCTCTCTTTCTCAAAAATCTTTAAGACATTAATAACAACAACAGCTCTTATATTTCTTTGCTTTTCTTTTTATCAAAAATTTGCAGATTTTACATTTTTTTCTCCAGTAAGGTCATACAGCAAGATGCAGACAATTAAAATTGTTGAGAATATAGCCATAGCCAATCGTCTTGCAAACAAATCTTAAATGCAACGAAGGCTTCGCATCATATAATTAATTAACTGTAAATATTTAAAGAAATATGATAAATTTTGTGTTACAATTCCTTATGTCTTAATGTTTTTTGGCACAATGTGTAGTGATGAAGTTCAAAACATATCTATTAGGGACAGACAAATAAACAAACAAACAAACAAACACGATCTAAAACACTAATTGTTATGTAAAGCGTATTTTCGTCTTTAAGAGACAATTAATACACTCTAACAATCGATGTGTCACAATCTAAAGATTAACTGATAAACGTAAATATTATAAATGAGAGACAAGCATACATAAACGTGACTGGAAAGAAGCCGATGGAGCTGCAAATGGCTCATCAACTCTATGGTAATGATATTGTATATTTCTCTCTTCAAATGTCTCGCCCCACGTAAATTGTATTCTGATAGAATTTTGCAATCAAAACCAACTCTCTCAAACCCCGATTAATCATAAAGATGATGAAAGGTGAAATCTGGTGTGATTTCTGTAAAAGTACAGCTCTATCTCGTCAAAAATCCTTTCCACAACCAGAGTTCAGAGAAATTTCCCTTTCCCAATCGTTATTTCTTTTCTCATTAATTTTGAAGAGCGTTTCCAAACATTTAAACGCCTATTCATGAAAAATGGAAAAAAATCTTTCAACTGATATTTTTATCTAATGAAAATAAGCAAGAGTTTAATCTCGGGAGTCATTTGACAGGATCGATGAGTAAAAAAACACTCAATAGTTAATAGATTTGTGTCTGCTAGAAATATCCATTCTGTTTTCCTTTATCAGGAAAAGAATTGAACAGGTTAAATGATTATTAATAAATTAATAGCTTTAATTCGTGTACAACCCTTTCCACCAATCTACTTTATCAGCAACTCTTAGAACATCGTTCTCTCTCTCTCTCTCTCCTTCAATATCGGTTGTTTTCAATAAGGGAACTTTCTAGGCTATAATCAATGATTGAATCAATATAAAAAGACTTTATCTTCGTTGTAGTAAAGTTTATTTATTTGTGTAGCTTGTTAGGAGAATCGTTTGCCAGCTGTTTGTTTAAAAAAATGAATTAAACTAAAGCATTGCCTGGTTGATAGATAACTGATAAGGGAAGCTCATTAGAACACAATAGTTTAAGAACTATATCAAGTATAATAAATATAGAGGTTTATAAGGGTATTTATTGAAGTATTTGTATAAAAAATACGTTAACATTTTTATACGATAAGCAACTTGAAAAGAAAATGGTAAACTTGGTAAATAATCAACCATTATCGTCTTACTTATGATGATTTTTCATACAAAAACTTAACAGTATATCTATCGATAGCAAGTACTATAATCTAGAACTTTCGTTGTTAGATTACAATTTATATACGATATGCCTTCAATCTCTTTCCTCAGCTTTCTCAAATGAGGCCTTTGAAAAGATACCATCGGAGCTATAAAAGGTTCGTCGGCGCTGAACGATAGAGTGTATATTTCTTTTCTGTGTATGTTCCTCATAATCGATGTAGCCGCAAAAGTTCGACCAGGTAGACTAACTAACAGATTACATTCTCCTAAAATCTCCCAATCGAGTATTACCTTCGCAAAGCCTATGGAAAAACAATTATGCATATTCATTAAAATTTATAATCTTTAAAAGTAGTTCTATTAAACATAGACATTTATCAATTTTCCAACACTCTCCCCTTACCGTCGCAAGCTGTATTTTTATCAACAGATTTATCTTTCCACCTCTCTACGTGAACGATAGATCCTCGAACAATTAGAGCCTTCTTACCGAATCTTCTTTTATAATCAGTTTCAATTTCTTTCGAATCGGAGGCGATAAACACTTTAGCGTGTTCGAATTCCCTCCTCTCCAATTGCCTTTCGAGAAATTTATATATCATTTCCTTTGCTCTAACAACTTTTACCATATAACTATTTGGATTTTCCAATGCTCCAGTTCTAAGATGAGCGCATATTAATTTTCGTTTACAAACTGCAGACAGAATTTCATCCTTTTTTGCTTGTAATTCTGGTTGTAGCTTAAAGAGTATATCATAAACGTTATACTGGAAAAAAAATTAAAGAAACAAAGCATTACAAATAAAGAAAGCTAAAGAAATATATAATTAAATAATTCGTTGATTTGTTTGTTTGTTTTTTTGTTTGTTTCTTTCTTTTTTTTCCATTACAAACTTTTGTTGGTATTTGAAAATAGTTTAACTCTGAAAGCTCTTCTTCAGTAAATCCTTTCTTTAATAGTAATTCTCTTATACTCTTTTGTTTGGCAAACATCATCACGTAGGCTGGTACGGCAACTGTATAAGAGACAATCTTTTGTTTCCTATTCATTAAGGCATCGATTAATTTTTTAAGAACGCCAACTGATAACCTCCTCGGAATTGGAAGAGTAAATGATTTCTTAGTATCTAATTCAAAATCGTCTTCTTCTACGTACCAATCGACCATTCTCGGCTTTAGAAATTTCGTTATACTACACGGTTTCGTTATTCGAATAATGAGCGATCTTCCAAATTAAGTGTATTTTTCATTGATTTTAAGATGAATTAATAATTAATAATTAATAATTATTCACCTATTTCGAATAAAAATATTTTTGATAAATGAGAAGAAGATGAGAAGAAAACACGTCAAGGATGAAGAAGACAGAAAGAAAGAGGATTGAGTAGTGTAAATGATTAATAATAAATTAATATTCGTACAATGCTTAGAAGGCAGAAATTGTGGTAAGATTAAGAGAAGGGATGTTTTTTTTTTCGTTTATCATCTTCACTATGGTTAGTATTAAATATTAAATCATCTTAAATACCTATCCGTCATAATTGCTAGAAAATATGCACTTAGTATACCCATTAGTCTATTACCCCATCCACCACAACCTTGTTTATGGCAATCGTACAATATATACCTTCCTCCAGACTCTACAGGGGATAACGGCAGCGGCCATTTTTTGTTGAAATTTATTAATTTTACAGTTTGTTCGCCGTCATCTTCCTCCGTTAGGTTAACATTTGAAAAGAAGCGTTCCGGTGGCCAATTATTAGCGTCTAATTTACTCCACAAATTTCTTTCGTGTTCAATTTGTCTTCTTAACGGCATAAAAGTCAGTGGTGATATTTGCCGTTTTAGCGGACAGTCTTTAATTTTTCTCCTATTTACAATATTTTTAATCCTTTCACAATTGTCTAATGACAGCAAAATTAGAAGAGTTAGAACAATACTGGTTAGCAGTAAGAATTTCAAGTTTCTTTTGTTGAATTTTACTGTCATGATTCCTCCTGGCTGCTTCACCAATATGAATGATCACATCACTCAAAAAAATTTGAGTTTATTATACTCTTGAGTGAGTAATATTATATTTGCTGCTTATTTACGTAAACGACGTATTGAAAAGCAAAATGAATTTAATGTATCTATCTCTTCAAAATGTTAGGAATTGTGTCCAGAAGAGTCAATTTCATATTCAACAACCGGAAATATTGTATTTTACTTACATTCTCCAAAAACCTGTTTATCACTTTAGGTTTATCGCCTTAGGCGATAATGTTTCAAAATAAGATAAAATCAATTAATCAAGGGTTAATCAATTAATTTATCAATAAGTTTAATTATTTCTCCTAACGACAACAATTATTTACAAGTGTTTTTCAAAGAGTAAAATCTTGGGAGAGAACTCTCTCTCAAGGAAAATATATTAATTACAACAATAGAACTGTAGTTCTATCGTATCAATTCTTTTTCTTCAATTGCTAAGTAAAAACTCAACGACTAGCATCGTCCGATTATCTGTAGTAGAATTTGAACAGACTATCGATTACAAACAATGTAAAGACGTCATTACTAATTCATGACTTTGTTCAAGCCTGCAAGACTTTTTTCTTTAAATCGCTGGACGTCGTTGAAGAAAATGCTCATATTGTCCTCTCACCAAACGTTTTTTATCTTTTTCATTTGTTTAGCAACTGATTCAAAAGGTAAGATACAACTGTTTTCTTTCTCTTAAAAACTCTTCTATGAGTAGATATTGGAAGAGTGGATTGAATTCTCCTGTATCCATTTCCCTCTCGCCTTGTACAATATAATAATTGTATGCGTTTTATATTAGCTATCTTACTACTCCTGTTTTAAAAATAGCGATGTACTATACACTCTAAAAGCGGGAGAGGTAATTTGCTCTTCAATGATAGAATAGAAGTTTGTCAATCAATATATTTCAAAAAAACTGGAAAAAAAGAGAGGAGGTGAATAACTTATCCTTTTCCAATATTTTCTCTATAAAACAATATGTACAAGAACTGAAGAAAAATAGTCAATCAATTCTTTTTCTTCTTCTTCTATGATATATACAGAGTTTATAAAAAGACTCATTTCCTGTGGTAGATCAAACTTGAATTCTGGTTATAGTATTAATAATAATAAATATCCTAAAAGAATTCATAGAAGAATCAATTAGTGTTATCTAAGACTAAGATAATCATAAAAGAAATTACTTTGACGAATTTAATAAAGAATTATCAAATATTTGTTCTTCTCCTTTATTCATCCTACTCTTGTTGGTGAATTTAAAAATTAATAAATTTACTAAATCATCTTATCTTTTCATATTTATTTAATAAATCTATTCTATTGATGTGTATGCTTTTTTTTTATTAACATATTAATTATTTTCTTTTCTTTTCAACAAAACTCTTTAGTTCAAGGATGCGATTCTGAAGGTCCGGTTTCTTTAGTAACTAGCGATGGTAATACTATTGATGGATACTGTAATACATCTTCTACACAATCAGTCGTACACATTAATATCACTTCTTCCGAGACCGATTGTCCAGAGGAGAATCACTGCAGAATATACTCCTTCACTTATGGAAATAATATTAATATAAAATACATTAAGTAAGACTTTTATCTATTGGAATGTTCAATAATAATAATAATATTAATGTTTCTTTTTTTCCAATTTAAAACAATAGAGAGCTTGTTGTAAATTCATCATTCTGTTCTGTTGATGTACACATTGGCTGTGACAAAACTAATTATATAACTAATCAAATAAGATGGTCATATATCCAAGAGGATGGAAGCATTAAAAAAGATACCAGTTGGGCTTTGGACACTGATAAAATGTGTAAGAATCCGCATCCTTTATATCCTTGTAACTGTGATAATCGTACAAGAGAATATACAAAGGATTTTGGTAGGATTATCAATAAAGATAAACTTCCTATTGTTGATATAGTTGCTAAGAATTATATTAGATATAATTTTCAAATGGGTCAACTGAAGTGTATTTTACCCTCAAATAATATCAGTGTTAAAAACTGTAATAATAACATTTATGATCCAGTTTCTAATAGTTGCATATGTAAACCTGGTTACGGTGGATCTACTTGTCAGCGTAAGTGAATTATTTCATCATTTATACTATAAGCCAATCTATTAAAACAAAAAACATTATTTTAATTAGCAATTGAATGTCCACTTTACGTGGAAGGTCCACTTGTTGGCTCTTCGATTGAAGCAGTTGATGGAATGGCAATCTATGGGGCAGTTCTTCAATTGAATTGTACAGTCGAAGGATACCTTTTAAATGAGAAATATTTAAGGCATGATAGATATTGTATGATGAATGGTAATTGGTCTACAGATGAAATAATGACCTGTTCTTGTAAGTAACAGTTTATAATAAGCTTATATATATTTCCCCAAAAGCTTAGAGATAAGTCTATAATTCAATAATAATAACGTTTAGCTGATGTATGCGAAAAGTTAGCAATAACTTTTTCAACTTGTAACGATGACACAGGGAAAAATGAAGTTTAACAATGAATATGTAGAGTCGTTAATAATTGATCAATGACCCAGATCTTTCTATCTTTCAATCCTTCCGATATATCGAATTTAATGATGTTCACACCAACGTAAGGGATTAAATATCATAACAAACTAACGGAATGACGCAAGACTATCTGTAATAGAATTTTATCGATTAAAGAATAAAATATAGTCAATCATTAGACGATTCTTCTTCCTCATCATCGTCTTCCATTTTATCTTTATTTTTCTATATTTTATTAAATTTTAAAACAGTTTGGTGTCCGGAGGACTTTTTTGCCTACAATGAAAGTTGCTATTGGTCTTCTCAATCGTCGAATATCGTTGGAACCGAAGAAGAAGCCGAATTCATATGCAAAAAGCTCGATTCTTACCTAAGTGACTTACAATCAATCGATTTGGCTTTGCACCTGAGAAATAAGTATGATTTTGGTCCAACCTCTACACTAATTGGATTGAAAAATTCAAGCGGAAGTCTTGAATGGTCTAATAGAGTTCCCTTTAGAAACGAATCAAATATCTATTGGGTTGACTCGTTTAACAATAATCTTCCATCGGATAAATGTGTCCATGCATCTTTATGCAATGATTCCAATCCTTTAGAATGGTATGTAGCGGACTGTAATAGTTTAGCCCCCTTCCTATGTCAAGCTCAAAGATGCCCTAGTTTAGGGAATTTGCAGAATGTTAACTTGTCTGACTTTAAACCTGAACATATGTTTGTTAACGGAAAGAAAACAGTTCAGTGTGACATTAAGCACTCCATCAAAAGAGAGACGATAGAGCAAACTTTTGAGTGTTTGGAAGAAGGTGTTTGGAAGGCAGAACCTGAAAATTGTACTCTTCACGAATGTACAAATTTTCCCTATATTCCCCATGGCAATAGAACCATTACCTCCGGTAGTGTCTATCTTGGTGATACAGCTGAATACGTTTGTAAGCCAGGTTATCATGGGTCGTACGAAGCAGAAAAAGTCTTCAATGAAAAGTGCGATCTACAGGGTTGGAAATGGGACGGATCTGCGGCAGATTGCGATGGTCAGTATAGTAAAAATAAACTCGTATCTGTCTCTCTCTCTCTCTCTTTCTCTAATAAACGTTAATTTGCTTCTTTTGTCTTCTAGCAAACTTTTATAACAGAACATGCCAAGAATACGCCGACAACGGATTAAATATCAGCGGCTATATGAAAATTGATTTGGATGGTCCAGACGGACCGTTACACCCCTTCCAAGTATTCTGCAATTTTACAAATCAAATTGCCATAACAATTGTACAGATACTTCATAACTCCAAGAATGACACAAATATAACTTATAAGTAAAATACACATACGTTAATTGCGTTTTTGTTTACAATTCATGTGTTACAGCATTGGCTTTCCAGAACTTAATAACCTAAAATCGTTAAGCTCCTATTGTGAACAAGAATTGAACGTTAAGCTTGAATTTGGTTGGTTAGATTTTTCATCTGTATATTTGGAGGGTTTAAATGCGAGCGAGGGCTATTTCTTAGACGATTTCGTTACCGAAAATATTTGTGACGTACCAGGTTTGATAAATTTTTTTTTAGACGGATACGAAAAGTTTACACTTTGTTTTACTCTATTCAGGGCCGCATAAGTTTGATTGTTCATCGCAGAACTACAAAGATAATGTTGGACTTCTCTTAGGAATTGATCGAGTTCCAGTAACAGTTAGAAAACAAAACCAATCGGTTGAAATAGAATTTAGAGAGTTGAGATGTTTTAAAGGTAATCATAAAATTCTAATTGATTGTTACTCTCATCCTCCACCTCTCTTTAATGTTTCTTTGTTGGTAATATGAACAGATATAGAAGCGGAACCCATTTGTGGACAAAATTCGTGCGTGAACGGAGGAACTTGCGTACCTTTGAATAGAAATAATGGTACAGACGAATTCAGATGCTACTGTGCTCCCTCGTATACTGGCCCAACTTGTAGCGAAACTATTTCTTGTCAGAAAGATTTAGAAGAAGTTGTAAACGGAACTTGGATCTATTCAGTACCGGCTGAAGCATCTCAACCTTACAAGAGTTGGGCACGGTTAAATTGTACGGGTAGAACTTTTGTAGGTCCTACCTTCACTGGAGGTCTTTTTCTAAAAAAATCAACCGCTCATATCCGATGTACCAAAACCGGAAATTGGAGCAATAATTATAGAAATTGCAACGGTACAACTAAATTTTTGTGTTCTATATTGAAAATTATTACAAATTGCGATTGATTTTTACAGCAACTTGCCCGGAAAAATTTCAAATGACCGAAAATCCACAAAGATGCCTTTATATATCACAATTTGATAATTTGCTCTTTGATAATTATACTACTGCCGAAGAGTATTGTAACAAACTCAACGCCGAAATTATCTCTAAGAATATAAGCGATTTTTTAGGCTTGAAAATGATTGATTACTTGAACAATAAAGGAAAGAATAATAATTCACAAATGTAATCATTATACTATGATATCATTATAGATAGACAATAACTAAAAACGTATGTGTATGTTATTATAGTTTAACGAGTGCCTTCAAAAAATCATCCGAAGACTCTGAATATATTTTCCATCCGAAGGAAGATTCTATTATCCTATCAAATGGTAATCAATCGGACTGTGTAGTTATCGAAGAAATGAACAGTCTTCTCTCTTACTTACCTCACAAATGCTCAAAACCAGCTTTTGTTGCTTGCGAATGTTTGTTTTTTTTTCTTTTTATACCTTTATAGAACGATTTATTGTCAATGGTTTATTTCTTTTTCCTTTAGACTTCGAATGCCCAACTCCACCAGCCCAAAAGATGAATTCAACACTAGTTTTTAGTAATGGCGTTGGATATTTGAGCGTCATTCAGTATAAATGTAACGACGAGTACGAAGGATTCAATAGGGAAGAAAATATCACTTTTACATGTTCCTATCATAAGGGACAGAGAGACTGGTCTCCGCAGACCGTTACCGATTGTCAACTTATTGATTGTTTTACTCCTCCATATGTTGCCGGTTCTCAATACGTTGAAACGACCATTACCACAACTATAAACTCAACAGTAACTTATCAATGCGATCCCGAATTTTCTATGCAGGGTAGTCCAAATGTTACTTGTCAAAAAAATGGAAATTGGACAACTCCGCCATTTTGCAAAAGTAAAAACAAAAGAATTATTAATTTCTTTTTAAGAGTTTTAACTCTATTTATATTCATTGTTTTTAGGGGTAAAATGCACAAAACCTCCACCAGTTGTAAATTCAACCATTATTGTCAGCAATAATTTTACAATTGATTCGAACGTTTCTTATACGTGTAATCCTGGTCATATACACCTGAACGGAAGTTTAGAGAGGTTCTGCCTACAGAATGGCTCTTGGTCTGAAGAAGCGCCGTTTTGTAAATGTAAAAACGATTATTACTTTCTTTGTTTTTCCTCTATTTAATCATTTATTGATCCATTAATGATCTCTAAATAATATTGTAGATATCGATTGTGGATCTCCTCCGACCATTCAAAATTCTCAACTATTAACAAATATGCAAACTTACTATCAGTCCGTCCTTAACTATAGTTGCAACGATCACTTCCGATTTGTCAATAACAGCCATACAACTTGTTTAATTAATGCAAGCTGGTCGACTTTACCATTTTGTAAAAGAGTTTCCTGTCCAGAACCGCCAGCGGTTCTGGAATCAACTAGATCCGTTAATAGTGGTCCTTTCTTGATTGGTATGCAAGTAAAATATACATGTAACGTTGGTAGAGTTATAAGAAACGGAGATGATAATCGAACTTGCCAAGAGAACGGTTCGTGGAGTGGAAATACACCTATTTGTCACCTTGTAGATTGTGGTCAACCCCCCTCAACATCACAAGCAACCATCCAACACCCGAGTCATAGCTTAGGTGCCAAGGCTATTTACACTTGCGTAGAATATTATTCTCCTGATTCAAATACGTCTACATGCCTACCAAATGACACCTGGAGTCATCATCCAACATGTTATAGGAGTCATTGTGAACCTCTTCAATCTGTCGCATTGACGACATCAATAGTGGAAGGTAATAAGATTGGACAGCGAGTTTCTTACGAATGTATACGAGGCTACAATTTAACTCAAGGTTCAGCTGTAAGATTTTGTACAAATTCTGGTTCCTGGAATGGTACCGAACCTATTTGCGTTGACAACAAATGTGGAGCCCCCGGAAGTGGAGAAAAATCCGTAGTTCACTGGGATAACTTTAATCTATCAAAGATAGTTAATTGGGAATGTTCAACTGGATATGTGCCAAAAAGTGGAAATGAGACTATGGAGTGTACCATTGATGGAAAATGGTTGGGAACGCCTTTGAAATGTACCAAGAGAAGTTGCGGTCCTCCCCCACAGAGTTTTATTAACGGAACACGTTTTAGTGGAACTTATTTATATCAAGATATCCTATCGCATACGTGCGATCCTGGATTTATAAACGTCACAGGTTGGGTCAATATGATGTGCTTAAGCAATGGAAAATGGAGTTTTGTTGACCAATTATGCCTTCCCGACTCCTGTAATGAACCAGAGACAGTTGAAAATTCAATAAGAAAGGGAAGTTTCGTTATAAATGAAACTATCGAATATACTTGCGACCTTGGATTTTCATTGAAAGATAATTACGGTAAACGACAATGCCAATTAGTAAATGATAAGCTGGTATGGAGTGGAAGTGTACCAATGTGCAAAAGATCGTTTTGTGGTCCACCTGCAACGGTCCATATGGCATCCTTCAACGAAACGTCGTTTTATTATAAAGATAAGGTTGTTTACATTTGCGACGAAGGGTATAAGCTAAAATCTGGCTCTGCTGTTATTTGGTGTGATCATCAAGGACAATGGAAAGGTGAACTACCTACTTGTACCAAAAAGACTTGTAGAGATCCTGGAAATGTTACAAACGCGATAAAAGATGGCGGATATCTAATTGAGGAAACAGTTACATATACGTGTGGCGAAGGTTATTCGTTAATTGGAATGGCGTCGCTTTACTGCGAAAAAACTACTGCTTGGAGAGGTAAAAAGCCATTTTGCGAAAGAGTTAACTGCTCTGTTCCGGCCAGTATTAACAATGCTGATTTATTTTTCAATTCGACAAAATTTATGGACAAAATTAAATACGTTTGCCACGAAGGTTATACATCAATAGATGGGAAAGTTGTTTATTTAATCTGTCAGGCAAATCAGAAATGGACTAGACCACCTCCTGTGTGCGAAAAGGTCAAATGCGGAGAACCGAGTAGTTCTAAGAATGCCAAAAAGTACGGTTCGCAGTACGATTACGGTTCAAAGATTCAATACGAATGTTTGGAAGGTTACAATCAAACAGATGGTGAAAAGGAAATAACTTGCAAAGCTGATACGTCCTGGAGTGGCTTACCATTATATTGTGAAAAAATGAAATGTCCCGATCCGGAGGATGGGGAAAATGCCCAAAAATTCGGTGAATATTATTATGAAGATGTAGTAACCTATATTTGTGATTATGGCTATATTCTATCGGATGGAAGTGCAACTAGACAGTGTTTGTCAAGCCTTCGCTGGTCTGGATCGCCTGCAAAATGTTCACCCATTCCGAAAAAACCATCCGGAGGTACAGATGATAAAGCCACTGAAGAACTTAGTCAACGAGATCTCGAGAACAACATATGTACACCACTTGGAGATATACAGGGAGGGATAAGATACGGTCTAGACGGTTATGCTGAAGTGGGAATAAGCATAATATTTAGATGTTTAGAAAATTACCACTTTGAACACGATGAAAAAGCGATTACGTTAAAAATAACTTGCAAATCTGGAGGAATTTGGGACGCTAAACTTCCTAATTGCATACCGGCAGTTTGTCCTAAACCACCGCACGTTCCAAACGCTATAACTAATGGACCCAAAGTACATCTAATAGGAACTGTTTGGGAATATCGATGTCCAACTGGAATGATATTTAAAGAAGGCGATTTCAGTCGTATAATAGCCTGTATGGATAACAAGAAATGGTCGGTTGACGCTTCTGAATGGGGGTGTAAATTGATAACATGCATAGCAGATTTAAAGGGTAAGAAAAAAATTATAAAGTATATGGAAACAGTTTGGCTACCGTGCCCTCAAAATCAACTTCATACGGATGGTAGAAATGGAGTTACTAGCTATTGCAGACTCTCCGGTTGGATGCATCCTCGAGCGCCATCTTGCGCCTCAGGAAGGTGCGGACCCGTTCCTATGTCGAAAAATAGTAGTATGTTAGATATAGAACCAGCGAAATATGCTATCTTCGTTTGTTTTGACGGAATGAGATTCCCCGATGGACATCGGACAAAGACCGTAAATTGTACGGAAAACGGCTTTTGGGAACCGCTGTCAGTTGATCCCTGCTCTCCTTGGAATTGTCCACCTCCTCCGAAAGTGGCCAACTCAACAGACAACAAACCCAACCGTTATCCTATGGGTACGAAAATTAACTACGAATGTATTCGTCACCACTCTTTCCCCAATAAAAAATTATCACTTGAAATACTATGTACAAAGGATTCGAAGTGGTCCACGCCGAATCCGGACGACTGCGAAGAGACTTTCTGCTCGACATCCGATTTTAGCGAAACGCTTAAGATGAATTCAACTAAACAATTACATTCCGTGGATACTGTACTTATGTTGTGGTGTTTGAACGCTTATTTACCAGATGGCACCACCGAGAAAACAATTCAATGTTTACCTTCGAGCGACTGGTCTTCCTCCAGTGGCGACTGTTCGAACGCAAGGTGTGAAAGACCTCCCGATGTGCCAAGAAGTATTATTTCAACGGGTAACGTGACGGATATCGGTAGCGTTTGGATTTATGAATGTATAAAGGGGCATAAATTTAAAAATTCCGACGCAATATCAATTTCAATTGAATGCCAATTAAATAAATCTTGGAATGATACTGTTCCCGAATGTATCGAAGTGTTTTGCCCCAATCCCGTAACGATAGCGAATTCCAATACTATCTACACAAAAAAAATTATGGGATCTGTAGCAACCCATCGTTGTAATAGGGGATTTCACTTGAAGGGGAAGATCGTAAAGGAAGGGGTACCCCTCCAAAAGGAAATAAACTCGACTTGTTTACGAAATGAAGTATGGAGTTTAGACGATTATTGGATAAAAAAAGGCTGTGAAGGTTTCTATTTTCAACATATTTATAATTACTTATCTCTATAACTACGGTACATTATATTGATTTGGTTTCTTTTTTACTATTACAGAAATTCAATGTCCTCATGTGCCAATTGTTGAGTTTGGAATTCCATCCAATCTCAGCGTCAAATACGACAATACGGTTGTCTACGTTTGTCGAACTGGTTATAGAATCTCCCTTCCAGGGGCCGATGATGAAAAGTCGCTGGTTGGATCATTCGTCAATGGGACAAATAACGCAACGGAAAAGATTATCACTGAAGCGTCTATTCGATGCGATGAGAACGGAATTTGGTCGGGAGCAGTTCCGCAATGCGTAATTGTTCACTGTAAAGATATTTTATCGGAAAGTGATCTTATGGGTAATACTACGAATACAACTGCTTGGACGTTTGTCAATTTTACTTGTCCGTTGGAAAGTCACTTTAAAGTGAATACAAGCTTGGGATACGTATCGCAAACTTGGTTCGTTTCCCAATGTTTTCCAACAGGTCCAACTGCAGAATGGAAACCTACGGCAAAAGATTGTACGGGTAAGATATCTTTGCACTTTAGACGCTATTATATAGGTAATTTTATTGATCCATTCAAATTGAATAAAGTTTATGCTGTATGGATTTTTGTATGTTATTGTATGTATTTCTAGGTTACTTAATAATTCAAATATAATTAATATTTACAGTGAATTATAGCTTATTCAAAAATGTATCATTGTATTATGATACAAACTAAAGTGAATGTCTGACTAATCAATGTCTTTTATGTTTTAAGATACCAATAACAATTCCGAACCAAAAGAGGCCCCCAACGCAAACGCCTACGGAAATATTGCAATAGCTATGCTAACGGTTACCTTTGGCGGTTTGGTAGTTGTTGATATTTTAACTATAAAGAAAGATATTCTTACCTTGGCGCATAATCTACATAAAGCTTTTGGTCAAGGACCGTGGAGTAAATTTCTAGCGAAGAACGCAAATACGGTCAACGGCCCTAGAATATCGACGGCTAAATTAAGAAGTATCCTTTTTCCTGGACAAGCAGGACAGGGTCCACAATTAGGAGCTACCCAGAACTATTCCAATCTTTCGAATCAATTTCTCGATTTACGAGCGCAATAATTCATTATAATAAGAGGGAGAAAACATTTTTTCATTAAATATTAAATATCGATATTTATCGGAAGGTAATAAATGAAAAAAAGAGAAAGAGGGAGGAAGAGAAAGAAAAAGAGAGTCAATATGTGAATGGGGAGAAAATTACCTTTAACTGTTGCTCTCTTTTAGAATTTCTATATGTACTTGTAGTTAATTATAAATAAACAATGGTTTTCTAATAATAACGAATATTATTAACAAACAACATGAGACGAAATTCAGTAGTGAAAATGGTAATATCCGGTTCCTGATATCCAATATTTAGCTTAAGACAAGTAATTTATTTACAGTACATACTGTACGTATTAATATATAAATATATAAAAAAATAATATTTAAATACACAAAACTGACCATTACGAGATTAATAAATATTCATAGTCTTTGTAGAAATTTTTACTCTACTCTTTTCATATTGAACATTAAGATATATTCACTTCATTCATTCGGTAAAAATCTCTTTGGAAATATAACTTTAAATTTTCAATAATTTATCAAATCATATAGGTTGGCAATGATTTTTAATTTTTAATACAGAGGTAATAATGGCTAATGTATACCATTCTATAATGATAATTTTTAATCCTCTGCTTCTCTTTTGGAGATTAGAAATATGAACAAAGAGACTAACGAGAAAAAGGAATACATAATGTTTTTTTGTTTTTGTTATAAAACTAATACATATAAATAGCTATATACAATTCGCATAAGAAAAATACTTCCGATCGAATATTTAATGAGCACATTCTTTTTTGGAAAAAGGGTTTCCGTTCGAATATTCTATGCTTTCACTTTTTTTAAAATTGATTTACAAATAGCATTTAATTAAAACAAGCGGTAACAAAACCGGCTTTTGTACGCATAACGAATTATCGACTATGAACATGGTGACGAGTTTATCATTAATTCATTGTTCTTTCAAAGTCATTCGCTTGTCAGTTGACGCGAAGCTTGCAAACATGTTCAAGTTTACTCTAACGTTTTTTTTATTTACTTTTTTTCGACCTTCTTCTCAAGCAGGTAAGTTAATTTCGGCCTTATTCTTTTGTCTTTCTTATTAAATTTTCGCAAAATGTTCTTAAAAGAACAAAACAGCTCCGCGGTTAAATATTTAAAAAAAAAACAAAAAGAACATTTATTTTGGAATGTTCGAATAGACTTTGATCTCCATCTTTATTTGAATATTTAACGATTTGTACCTTTTTTTAGGTATTTGTTAAATGAATAAATGAGTAAATATATTTGTTCATTTATTGCGTTGGAAACATGACTGGCAATTATTTTTTATTTAATAAAAATGAAGGAAAAAGCTTTCATAAAAGAATATCAAATATAATTGAGAATAAAAATGATATAAAATACAGAATATGAATTTATCTATTTCTTTTCAGAAGTGAAAAAAATTAGGAAGAACTATAAATTATCAAGAATTAAGATTAAGATATTATTAAGGATAAAAAGAAGAAATTTTTCTCTTTTTAACAATCAATAAAATTTATAATTTTTTTTCTTCTAATAAATTACTGGTAATTATGTAAATTTAGACGTCTTCCACATTCTGAACGTCTAATTGCCTAGTCAATATGTCAATACGTCCGAAAAAAGATGCCATAAATTATTCCTGAGTAATTCCTTTTTATCGCATTGATTCAGTAAAGCTATGTGTTCAAAATAGACTTTTAATTCTCGTCAAATATTTGTACCGGTGGTATTTAAATATTTATAAAAAAGTATATGCATTTTATATACATCTATACTACGTATTCATATTTGTTAATCAACAATAATTGACCACTATTGAAGTATTTCTTAACTGGCAAATGCTTAAGTTGTTGATTTCATCTTTTCTACTTTTATCCCTTCTTTTTTCTTATAACTTTTTTTACCTTTTCCTTTTTTCCCTTCAGTGTCCAACCCCTGCTCGACTAATCCAGCCGCCGATAATGTAACTATCGATAATAGCGAAACTTTTAAGGTAAACTGCACCGAATCAAACAATCTTTCATGGCTGCAACTTGATATCTCAACAAAAGAAGAATGTACAGGCTCTGATTGCAAGCAATCGTTTACCTATGGGGATAATGTTAATTTTGAACTTATCGAGTAAGCTTTGATTCTAAGTCTATCGCCTTGAAAATCAAATAATCTACAAGTTTGTACAAAAGCATTAATCGATAAATTAGCGCCATAAAATTGATAAAAAAAACAATATATTTCAACAAAATTTCATTATTTTTCTATAAGTTTTTTTTCAAATAGATTAATAATATTTCTTTTGTTTTCTTTAAAATGGCCTATTATGATATATACGTAGTTTTATTTTAAACACGTTCGATACTTCTATTATCACTCAGTCTATTCAAAATAATTTTATCAAATATTATTCAATAGTTCGTAAATAAACAACATTCCAAGAAGCAAAAGTTATTTTAATGTGCTATTCATATACATTGTCTTATTTCTGTCAGGAAACTCGTCAACCAATCCGTATTCTGTTCAATAAAGATAAAATTCACCTGTTCAAATGGAGCCGAAATCTATGATGATTTCAAATGGGCATATGAAAAATATGGTGTCATTACGTATTCCACGTCTAGGGATTTAGTTTACGGGACTGAGAATATATGCACTAACAATGATCCGTCCAACCCATGTAAATGCAATAGCGAAACAACTTCGGCCATAGTAGAAGATGGATATATTATTGACAAAGATAAACTAGCTATTTACGAACTGAGATACAAAAAAGTGCCGGGAAAACCTTTAACAATTCAAGTAGAATACCTATCCTGTCTGCCAGAATCGTTTCTTGGCGCTGATATATGCAGTGCAAATCCATGTCAAAATGGATTCTGTAAACCATATAACGAGAGTCACAGAGAATGTATTTGTAAACCTGGCTATGAAGGTGACAATTGCCAAACAGGTAGGTTGTACTTAAGAACTATAAATAAAGGAAATTCAATACGATGATTTGTAGAGAAAACTTGTCCGACTCTAAATGAAGACAACAACGGAGTCGTAGTTGCCGAAGAAATGGTAGACGGTAAGTTAATATATGGTGCAAAGGCTATTTATAACTGCAGTGATGAAGGATACATACTCAATAATACTTTTAATATGTACGTGAGACATTGCGGCTTAAATGGCGAATGGACTGGAAATGGTAGTTTGACCTGCAATTGTTAGTAGATCTTTATTTCTTTATTGTTTAAGTACAAATTTTTAATTGTTTTCTATTTTAAAGTATGGTGTCCATCCGATTTTTTGCCACATAAATTGGAGTGCTACTGGCCTTCTCAAATGGCCAATATTGTCGGAACCAAAGATGACGCTGCGTATATCTGTTCAAAATTGGCCGCTCGTATAAGTGATTTAGATACTAACGAAACGGCCAATTGGTTGCGTGACCAAATTCAATTAGGGCCTACAACAACTCTAATAGGCGTTAAAAATGATACCGGTATCCTTAAGTGGTCGAATGAAGATGCTGTCAAAAGTTCAAGTCAGGACGCTTATCTGATTGCTGATCACCTTCCTGAAGGAAAGTGTATTCATGCCTCTCTATGCAATGAATCAAAACCGTTACGATGGCATGTAGCCGATTGTGCTACTCTTGTTCCTTTTCTGTGCCAAGCTAAAAAGTGTTCTACTATACAATCTTTGAAAAACGTTGATCTTACAAGTATTCATCCGTCCAACTGGTTTCCAGGAGGTAGCGTTAGCTTGTTGTGTGACCGAAGACACTCGGTAAACAGAACGTCAGTCTACCAACATCTTGGATGCTCTTCGGAAGGAAACTGGAATGTTACTCCTTCAGATTGTACATTACACGACTGCTTAAATCCTCCGACTATTAAAAATAGCATACGTTCAGCTATTTCTGGGACAATATATTTAGGAGACGTAGCTGAATACGTTTGTAAGCCAGGTTACGACAAATCTGCAGATGGAAAAAGATATAAGCAAGTTTGTAACCTAAATGGATGGGAATGGGCTGATACAGCGCCCGATTGTGATGGTTTGTCAATTTTCTTTCCCTTACACTTTTTAATTCTTACATATAAAATTTTCTAGAAAATAGCTATGAGAAAACTTGTAATGGCTACAAAGTATCTGACCCTACGAGTGGGGAAAAAAAAATAGATGTAGACGGACCTGACGGTCCTTTACATCCTTTTAAAGTGCAGTGTGATATGGATTATGAAGATCCAAGAACGATTCTTTTGTTAAGTAAAAATGTTGCTTCTAATTCCTCTATTGATTATTCGTAAGTTGAGAATTGATGGAAGAAGAAAAGATTATAATTATCTAGGCTTTTTAACACGTTCATTTTCTAATTTTCAGAGTAAAAGATGATGAACTGCATTTATTGAGGTCACTACATTCGTACTGTGAACAAAAGTTAACAATTTCATCATGCTTGAATGAAAATCCTGTTTCTCAAATCATCTTTGAACCTTTGGTTGGAGCGACTTATTTATTAAACGATTCTGAAACTGATCATATTTGTGATTATAGGGGTAGAGTTTCGTTTTTGTGCAGAGATGAACTCTTCTAATTCATCCTTTTTACGTTACGTACAGGTCCCCTTCATCATCAATGTGGCTGCAGCTATACTGACGGTTCAGATGAGGGAGTAATTCTTGGATCAGATCGAGTTCCTGTTAAGACTATTTCATGGAGTGCGGACAAGTCTTTTCAATTGACACTTGGAGATCTAGTATGCCTGTCAGGTACTCCGATTGATCTTTCCCAATTAAATACTAATGGTATTCATTTCACTAATCAAAGATACGAGCAGCTCATGTAGTCCATCAACTTGTGAAAATGGCGGAACATGCATACCCTACAAAACACCTGGCTCTAAAAAATGCTATTGCGCTCCTTCTTATACAGGAGAAACTTGTAATGAAGGTAGAATGTTGTTTATTTTCAAAATTAAGATATTATGGGTTTTCTTTTTATCTATTGAACAATTTCAGAGATAACTTGCCCGAACTCAATTGATGCCGTTAATAATGGAAGTTGGGGTGATATATCTAATGCAAAGTTTGCCTCATTGGCAACATTACAGTGCGATGCAAATAGTTATATAACGAATACTGATCAACTTCACTTCGCTCCTACATCAATAGCCGATACTCGTTGTTTAATTTTTGGTAATTGGAGTCTTGTTCAACACGATTGCTCATGTAACTATATGAATAATCTAAAAATTCCGTCGATCTCTATCCCTTTTTTTTCTTCTAATTTCAGTTCATTGCCCAAGCAATTTTAAAATTGTTTCAAATTTTACGCAAAAGTACTGCGTCTATTTCTCTTTTGATCATTCAAACGTCAAAAAGAAATATGAAGAGGCTAGACTGGATTGCGAAGCGAAAAATTCCGAGCTGATGGCTGAAGATTTATCGAAATTTGCTGGGTCATATTTTATACAATATACGAAAGACAGCTCATCTTCGTTAGTATACTAAATAGATTGTTAGTTCTTAATTCAAAAATTGTAAATTTTCACCTTATTTCAGACTTATTGTAAATGGTTACAAAAAAAATGGTATGTCTTTTACGTTTCCAACTGGAAATGCGATTCCTGGCGTATTATCAAGTGACCCTGAAGAGTGCGTTATTTTTTCAAATAACATATACCAATCTGCTGATTGCAATAGTCCACATCTTTATGCTTGTCTATGTAATTATACAGTAAAGTACTTGTTACGAAGCATTTATTTAATTCAATAATTTTTCTTTATGAAGATTTCGAATGTTCAGAACCGCCACTGGCTAAAACAAACTCGGACCGTACAAGTATAGAGGGATATGCATATCTCATGAAGACAACGTATACGTGTAAAGTTGGATTTGAAGCTTCTAATCGCTCGAAACAATTAAATTTTACTTGTGGCGATCGCAAGGGATCAAGAAGGTGGGAACCTGACGATTTACCAGATTGTAATACTGTCGATTGTTTAACACCAACAAAGCCGCTTAACGGTGATGTCATAAGCTCGGATACTACATACAATGCGAATATCGCTTATACATGTAATAATCACTTCACACTGGTTGGCTCTCCAAGCGCCATTTGTCAAGACAACGGAACTTGGTCAAATCTTCCAACATGCAAAAGTACATTTTTTTTCCTTAAAATATATTTGTTGAAGAATTGATTATTTCTTTTTTTCAAAATTTTTAGGAGTAAGCTGTCCCAGTCCAAGCAATATTACAAATGCAACAATGACAGTTCTTGATAATTTTAAAGTTGGTACAAGTATTATGTATAACTGTTCCGAAGGTAATGCTAGGAAGAGTGGTGATTATCTTAGAACTTGCCAAAATAATGGAAGTTTTAGCGGAACAGCTCCAGTTTGCCAATGTAATTTGCGTTGTTGATTTATAATTTAATCATTTTTTCACTTTTTTCTTTTGTCCTTAGACGTCTCCTGTGGAGATTATCCAATAGTATTAGATGGAACAGTTAATGATACAATGTCTAGAAATTATTACAATGCTAAAGCCTATTATTATTGTAATAACCACTTCAAAATAGAAAGTTTTGATTATGTAGAGTGCCAAGACGATGGAAACTGGACAGCGTTACCTGTCTGCAAAAGGGAGACCTGTGAGGATCCTGGAACAATCTTTAACGCCACAAGGAGTCCCAATAATCCGCCTTTTAAAGTTGATCATCTTATCCAATACACATGCATTGCTGGTTTTGCAATTCTATTCGGAAATGCAGAAAGAAAATGTCTTGAAAATGGCACTTGGAGTGGTATCCAACCGAATTGTTCTCTCGTCGATTGTAATACTCCACCGAATATATTGAATGGCTCATTTACACCTGGGCCAACAAAATACAAGGATGTAATATTTTACAGCTGCGATCAATATTTTAAAATTCAAGCACACAATAAATCGACATGCTTAGTCAATGGAAGTTGGAGCACTCCTCCATTTTGTGAAGCAACTCATTGCCCTGTACTTGCTAGTGTAAACCAGACAAATATTATATTTAATAGCAGTAAAGTTGGCGAAAACGTAACTTATGAATGTACTCAAATGTATAATTTAACAACTGGATCCATGGTGAGAATGTGCCAATCTGATGGTACTTGGTCTGGAAAACCGCCGCTATGTCTCAAGATCAACTGCGTAGTAATGACTATAGAAAATGGAGAGAGCAATTGGGACAGGTACGACTTTAACCATTCTATTTCTTGGAAATGTAATACTGGATATAAAATGGTTAGTGGAAATAAATACATGACTTGCCTCGATAATGCAACTTGGCTTGGTGAACTTCCAAAATGCGAGAAAATAAACTGTGGTGAACCTACCCCGGTAAGTAATGGTGTTAGAAATCTCGCTACCACCCTTTATCAAGATATCGCAAATTATTCATGCTTTCCTGGTTATATAAGTTCAAATGGAAGTTTAAAAATCACTTGTCAATCTGATGGAAAATGGAGTGACAATGGACCTACTTGCGTAGCCGATAAGTGCAGCAAGCCACCTAGTGTGAACAACGCTACATATACGGGAAATTTTTACTATAATGATACGATAGTTTATACCTGCAATATAGGACACGAATATAATACTGGTAATATGGAAAGAACATGCATTGTTATTGGTAGTACCCTCCAATGGAACGGTACTTCACCAACCTGTCGAAGTTTGTTTTAATTTTGTTCAATAAAAAACTAGATCGTTTCATTTTTGTCGTCATTTTCCTTTGCAGGAGTATCTTGTGGAAATCCACCATCGGTTTCAAATTCAAATATAACTGCAAACTCCTTCCTCTACACAGATATTGTTAAATATAGCTGCCTTTCCGGCTATTACTTATCGGAAGGACCGGCGGATATCTATTGCGGTGCTGACGGAAAATGGAATGAAACTAAACCCTCCTGCAAAAAGATCTCTTGCGGTAATCCTGGAGACATTGACAATGCAGAACAAATTGGAGGATACTTGTTCGAGGATATAGTAAGCTACGAATGTAGAGGTGGCTACGTTGCTAGAGGCGGAACTAAATTAGTATGTCAACACGATAAAACTTGGAAGGGTATAAAGCCGTTCTGTGATAGAATTAATTGCACCACGCCAGAGGAAATACCTCACGGGAATCTTATAGCAAATTCAACGAAATTCACCGATACAATCAAATACGTTTGCGAAGCTGGCTATTCAACTGTAATTGGAGCTAGCGAGAGTAGAATTTGTCAAGCGAACGGTCAATGGTCTGGAACCCTTCCCGTATGCAGTCCACTATCGTGCGATTCTCCTGGCGAACCAACCAACGCCATTAAGATAGGAACCGAAATGAAATACAAATCAAAACTGATATTCAAGTGTCTAGAGGGATACGAAGAAGCCGACGGAAATAAAGAAATAACTTGCCAAGCTGACACAACATGGGACGGATTTCCTCTGGTTTGCGAAGCTGTAACTTGTACAGATCTTGGTGATGTTGATAACGCTCAAGTAATTGTCGAAGCAAGTACTTATAATGAGGAGATTGTCTACTCGTGTGTTAGTGGCTATATTCTAGATGTTGGTACTCTAAAACGAAAGTGCCAAGCTGATAAATCTTGGACAGGCTCCCGTCCCATCTGTATCAAGATTCCAACAACAATTACTCAAAAGCCACCAGGTGACGTAGATCCTATTGAATTAGAAAATGGAATTTGTCAGGGGTTGCCTAATGTTGAAAATGCTAATAGAGTTGGTTACGAAGGGTATACTCCAGTTAATGGATATGTTTCATTTTATTGCTGGAAGGATTACCATCTAAAGGACAATCCTGCAGAAAATAGTAGAACAATAAAATGTTTGGAAGGCGGTAAATGGGATAAGGAACTTCCGAAATGCGTTCCTACAACATGTCCAACCCCTTTTAAAGTACCCAAAGCGGATATAATTTCTCCAAAAGTGAACTTGATAGGTTCACTTTTAGAGTATCGTTGTCCGTTAGGTATGCATTTTGGGGAATTAGACTATAGCCGTATAATTACTTGTTCGCATAATCAAAAATGGATACCCGACCCTTCGGAGTGGAAATGTAGAGACGTATTGTGTACTACAGTAGTTAATGGAACAAAGAAATCTCTGAAATACATGCAAACGACATGGATCCCTTGTCCTCCTGGTACACTACACGTCGATGGAAGAGATGGCACAAGAGCCTACTGTAAACTTTCTGGTTGGTTACAGCCTCGCGGGCCGTCCTGTCTACCTGGAAGGTGTGGACCAACACCGCAAGTGTTCAATGCAAAGGTGGTTCAGTTGGATACTCAAAGCTTTGCCAAGATAACATGTAATGACGGAATGCGATTTCCTGACGGTCATAGAACGAAATATATAAATTGTACTAGCAAACAAACATGGGACCCTATCGGTCTCCCTGCGTGTTCGCCTTGGAATTGTCCTCCGCCACCTACAGTAGGCAATACAACGGATAATCGTCCCAAAGCTTTTCCTATGGGGACGAAAATTAAATATGACTGTCTACATCATTATTCCTTTCCAAACAAAACACTTTCACTTGAAATTGAATGTACAAAGGAATCAGTATGGTCGGTTCCTAATCCAGAGGGTTGCAGAGAGACATTCTGCTCCAGTCATGGCTTTGCACCAAAAGGCTTAAGCATGAATTCAAGCATTAGTGGTTTATATAAAGTTGATGTAGTGCTGAACGTATACTGCAAAGGTGGATATTTACCAGATGGTACAAAAGAAAGATTTTTAACTTGCCTTCCATCTGGAGATTGGTCGCAAAGTAGCGGAAATTGTTCAACTGAACGATGTAAGAGACCGTTGACAGTCCCAAAAAGCCAAGTTTCGGGAAAGGTAACAAACTTTGGTAGTGTTTGGGTTTATAATTGTAAGAGAGGGCATAAATTTAAAGACACAACAGCAAAATTCTGGCCAATTGAATGCCGTAGAGATGATTCTTGGAATGATACTGTTCCCGAATGTATTGAAGTTGTTTGTCCAATACCTATTCAGTTGGCAAACGCTAAACTTACTTATACCTCAACGAATATGGATACAGTAGCTACGTATCGTTGTAATAAAGGATTCTATTTTAGAAGAAAGGTTGAGAAGAAAGGAGAACCTCTACTAAAAGTGATTAATTCTACGTGTATGGAAAACGAAAAGTGGAGTTTGGATGAATATTGGATTAAAAGAGGTTGCGAAGGTATAATAATATACTGAAAATATATTTCTTCTCTCTTTATTTGCAATCTCTTCAATAATTCTCCTCTCCTTTTTCAGAAATTTATTGTCCATCCGTTCCAACTGTGGATCATGGAATTCCATCCAATCTCAGCGTCAACTACGACAATACGGTTGTCTACGTTTGTCGAACTGGTTATAGAATCTCCCTTCCAGGGGCCGATGATGAAAAGTCGCTGGTTGGATCATTCGTCAATGGGACAAATAACGCAACGGAAAAGATTATCACTGAAGCGTCTATTCGATGCGATGAGAACGGAATTTGGTCGGGAGCAGTTCCGCAATGCGTAATTGTTCACTGTAAAGATATTTTATCGGAAAGTGATCTTATGGGTAATACTACGAATACAACTGCTTGGACGTTTGTCAATTTTACTTGTCCGTTGGAAAGTCACTTTAAAGTGAATACAAGCTTGGGATACGTATCGCAAACTTGGTTCGTTTCCCAATGTTTTCCAACAGGTCCAACTGCAGAATGGAAACCTACAGCGAAAGATTGCACGGGTTGGTAGTTAAATTTTTTGTAACGTTGTCGACAAATCTTATTTTTTTCCATTCAATTTGTAGAGAATAATCCGAATCCCAAGCCAAAAGAAGCGCCTAATGCAAAAACATATGGAAATGTGGCAATAACAATGCTATCGGTAACTTTTGGCGGTTTGGTATTAATTGATATTTTAACCATAAAAAGGGATCTATTGATGTTGGCTCACAATTTGCATAAAGCATTTGGTAATGGGCCATGGAGCAAGTTCCTGGCTAAAAATTTAAATACTCCTCACGCTCCAAGAGTGTCAACTGCAAAACTTAGAAATATACTTTTCCCAAACCAAGCACCTCAAGGTCCTCCCGTAGGAAATGCTCAAAATTATACGCAACTATCAAACAGATTTTTGGAATTGAGATCGCAATGATGCGAATTATTTTCTTGATTAGTTACAAAACTCATAAACTTTGATTAATCGAAATGAATTTCATACGGTTGCACACTTGTAAAATTGACAAGAAAAAAAGAAAAAAAAATCTTACATACCTGAAAATAATCTGCAAAATGGCTTGTTTATTTGTTTTTGTTTAGAAATTTTTTTTCTTTTTACCTACGAATTTATCTAATTGATTCAATTAATAAGTTTATTTGTTGTTTATATTTAATACTTTATTAATCTAATCGAAATATGAACGAAAGGTGTATTACTTTGTATATTTAGTATTCCTGTTATAAAAAAATATCTAGAGTATTATTTGTATTTTTGAAAATTTTTTGATAATCGAAGCGCTAAAAAAAACGAATCACACTTGTGGCAATAGATTCATTATTTCGTTGACCGGCGTCTAGCCTCCGTTGTCTAGAAAAGCGGGAACTTTTCTTACAGAATCGGAAACAAAATTTTACCCTCAAGCTTATCTTACGGATATCCAATAACTTTTGCGATGCCTTTCAGAATCTGGCACAGCCTGTAGACTTCCCTTTTGCACTCTCGAATTGCTCATAACGCAATAGAATAAAAAATTTCTCATTAAATTTTTTTGTTTATATTTCATTCGCAATCATTTATTCTATGTAGACGACGTCAACATAAACGGAAACAAAGACAAAGACATGTTATCATCAACAAAATTTTTGACTACATCAAAACAAGAGGAGATGATGGCTCTCACCCATCCTTTCCCTTTTTTCATTTAAATTATTATCTCAAAGAGAGAGATATCTATATGTATAACAGAAAAAGGGAAAAGGCTTGTTTCCCGTAAACTCGCCTAACTAAAACTTCATCACAAAATTTCTATATAAAGAAAAAAAAGAGAATATCATTTTTATATGTCAAAAAGAATATGCCTTTTTTTATAGACTATTACCTATATATATTTTATAGTATAAACACAGTATAATACTAAAATATGTGCATTTAAATTAAATCCTTATAACGAATTTCTCACCTAACATGAAGCCGTGTCTTATGTCTCTGTAAATTGAACGATAGATAGAATGATCTGTGACAGTAGGGGCACTTGAACGGCTTCTCAACTGCGATAGAGGAGGAAAAAGCAACAAATAAATCGAATATTTCATTTATAATGTAAAATAAGAAAATTCAACTAAAATAAAAAAGTGAATTGTTTCTCATCAAAATTGTTGAAAATCAAATTTATATCGTAAAAAAGGAAATCTCCCACCTGTTTCTTTTATTATGATTTTTTTTGCTATCTGATATGGTCCTTCTTAATGAAAAGTGTTCAAATTTGTTAAAGTTTCTTTTTTATGTCAACCCATCGCCTCTCTCCACCCCTTCCCCTCCCTTCTCTTACTCTCTATCTCTATCTCTGTCTCTGTCTCTGTCTCTATCTCTATCTCTGTCTCTGTCTCTGTCTCTGTCTCTGTCTCTGTCTCTGTCTCTGTCTCTGTCTCTCTTCATCAAATAAAATCGGCATCTTTCCTCTGGTAAATTTTCTTATTGTCAAGCGCTTCTTCATTTTTTTTTTTAAAACTTAGTGTATTTAAAATAAATATTTCCTTTGAAATCAAAAATTCGACAAACTTTCTAGATTAAATAATTTTTCTATAAATGTTTTGAATAGCAACAAAAAAGATACAATTATGCTTGAGAGAAAAAATGCTTCCTTTAGGGTTAAAATTGCTATAAAATAAACTTAATTCTTATTTTACTTAAACGTTTTCTCTCAGTTAATTAATAACTTTTTGCAAATTAAACGAATGTTTTCCGTAGTTCAACAACGGAGAAGAATATTTTTCTCGTTGTAAAAAAAATGTCAATTCTAAGAAATACATATCTACTGTTCTGATTTTAAACTATCATCGGTCGTTGCTAAACCTAGACTTTCGCTCTTCTTCAAATGAACAGCCGTATGACGATTCAATTGAGTAGATGTTGTAAAAGCTTTCCCACACTCTTGGCAATGATAGGGTTTCTCTCCTGTTTTCAATAAAATTATCTCTTTTAGACCTGATATCCCCTTTCGCCCTAACCAAAGCGTTTAAAAAAAAAAGAAAAGAACAATGAATCAGGCTTATTCGATCCTATTACCCCGTTTACGGAATCGTTCAAAAAGAAACTTTGAACGATGAAACAAATTGAAAACCAAAAGAAAAAAAAAACACAAACAAAAATTTTCCAAAGCAGAATTAGAAGAAAAAAGAAGACAAAGGTTACTTTTCTGAAATGGTTTTGGTTATAATTTGATTAGTTAAATAAGTGAAAGAAAAAATATGAAAATTTAAAAAAAGTATATATAATATTGTATTATCATTCTGCATATTCCGTAAAACTGACAATTTTTCTAATTTAACGAAAATGCAAAACGTTAGAATTTTTAAGTTATATGCAGCTATGAATATGGTCAGTTTTAAATAAAATAAAAATCTAAAACTACTAATACGTATAACACATTTTTCTTATTCCTCGTTGGCTGACCGACTACTCTGTTCGTCTGATTTCAAATGTACACTCTCAAAATGCTTACTTAATATATATTTCCTCGAAAAGGCTTTGTCGCATTTTGTACATTTATAGGGTTTTTCACCTGTAGTTTGTTCAAGAAAGAATTATGTCCAATTAAAAAAATATTTCAAAATCGATTTGAAAATATTAATAATATAATAAATGTAATATTATTATTAATAATAATAAAAATAATATAAAAGAATTTATCTAGCTATAGATTAGCTAAAGTATTCTAAATAGTAATCATTATTGATAAACGCCTAATTTATGATAGTACATATTCTTTCTTACATTATATACAAAGATTGTTAAGGAAAAGAGGCTAATGAGAGAGAGAGAGAGAGAGAGAGATGTGATGATTGACATCTGCTAAAAAATTTAAATTGTTAGCAAATTTACTTCTTTAATATCTTAGAAAAATTACGTGAACACGACGTAAAAGCGTCGAAAAACACCGCTTGCTGTCTCGGACTATGAAAATAATGAATAAGACAAAGAAACGAATACGAGATATAGAGAACCTATGAGAGAGATCGACAGACTGACATAAAAAAAATTATATAAATATACAAATAAATTGTTCTGATTTGCCCTTTCGATTTCAACAATTTAGATACAAGTAAAGAGACAGAGCAGTTCTGCTCTGGTTTATGAACGAACCAGTATGGGTCCCTTTATGATTAATAAGGGCCGTTTTGACAGCAAAACTCGCTTCGCACTGCGAGCAGGCAAACGGTTTCTCACCTGAAAAAATTTATATTAATACACAAAATTTTATTCCTCCGTACCAATTTTCAAGTCTTCCAATTTTTAGCCAATTTTCACAGGATTATTAAAAAAAGCGTTACTAAAACTTTACCAAACATGACGAAAATTAGGTATAATTACTTCATTTAGGAGTGATAGCTTCATACACACGTACACACAGTATGTTCAACATATTACACTTACCCAGATGAAGTCGTTCGTGAGTCTTTAACATTGAACTCTGAGGAAACCTTTCACCACAAACTTTGCAAACATATGGCTTGTCACCTGTTGTTTTAGACATATTTTTTTGGTCCATCTCGTCATTATATCTTTTCAATTAACAATGAATTAACAGTTAATCGTGAATATGTCTGCCATCGTGAAAGCCTCCAAAAAAAAGAGCCTCAACAATCATTCAAAATGAAAGTAAAGGTTCTCACTTACAAAAAAAGCACATGCACGCATGCATACACACAAACATGCACACATGCACACATACATACATACATATATACATAAAAATATGCATACATATATACATACATACATATATATATATATATATATGTATATGTGTATGTATATGTATATATAAATTTACAGGAACACAACGTAACACTATTAATGTTACTTTTACGCTTCCAAGTAATTAATTGTAGAGTTAACTTAAATTGAGAGGGTATGACATATAGGGTGGACAAAGGAGCTAGCAAGGAGCAGAGAAGGAAATCGTTCGCTTTTTTTTCCTTACGGAAAATATTTAGATTCTTACCAAAATGAATTTTAACATGTTTTTTCAAATCCGCATCATTTTGAAAAACAGCTGGGCAACGTTCACAAGAAAAAGGACTTTTGACTGTAAATAAAAAACATTCAAAAACCCTATTAGGTTAGTATCCAAACCGACAGAAAAAAGAAAAACTTTCAACAATAAAAAATATATAATATAATATACATGATAAAATTTTTTTGTCAACGTCTCTATTAAATTAGGAAACAATTATTTCTCTCTCAAAACCCACCCCCCCAAAACCTTAATAATCTTTGCTAACCAAAAGGGGTATGCAACATAAAACAGTTAAAATTACAAAACATAGGGTTCGAAGAACAAATAATATAGTTTTTAAATGTATCTTCCTGTACCATTTACCAAAGCCTATTAAAGCCTAAAACGTTATTGCCTAAAAACTCGTAATCAAAAAGAAAAAGCATACTACTTAAATTATAAAGAGCTAAAACAAATTATTAAAAACAGACCCAAATATAATGTTAAACTTTAAAATCGGTATTCAACCGAAAAAAGTATTTCTTAAATTAAACTCACCAGGGTGGATACTGTTAATATGATATTTTAAGCCCGAGAGTTGCTTAAACCTTTCACCGCAAATTCTACACTCAAACGGTTGTTCTCCTTTTCAACATAAGTGAATTATAAAAAAAATTTTAGTGAATAAATAGAACATCCTATAAAAGTATCAGAATACGCAATACAATATAAACATTTCTTAAAATTTCTTTTCTCTTTTTTTTCGTTTACCGAAAATGAAAATTATTTAACCAAAGTCAGAATAATAGCTTAACTTCATTATTCAATATGTGTTGCCTCTTTATCCAATTAGTAATGTTACACAAAGTATTACAGTCTGTACACAAATCATTTGCGTGAAAAATTCACGAGACTGTTCTATTTTTGTTTTGGTCAAATAACATTCAAATGGTTTCTTGAAATATGTCAAAAGGCGTTTCAGACGGAAGAACACGTCGTTCATGAATGAGATAAGTTAGGATTTATGGGAAAATCTTTCATCGCACACCTTACATTCAAAAGGTTTTACGCCTATTTGTTTCAATTAAATTAAGTATCTTGTATAAATAACAAAGGACTAGAAGGTAATTATTTACTAAACAAACAGGCAAAAAACCATCAAATTTACTTATAAATATTTGGCAAACTTACCAGAGTGAATACGTTCATGACAATTCAGATTGCCTTTTTGATTAAATCGTTCACCACATATTTTACATTCGAATGGTTTTTCACCTGTTTGTTAAATTAATTTTAAAATCGGTTTTTAGAGATATCTTTAACATTACATCCGAGAAAAATGGGAAAAAAATATTTTAAAATATCTCTAAAGTAATCACACATTCTGTATTTAGAACGTTTTTCGTTGGCACGATACTAAAATTGTAGAAATCGGTTCGAACTTTTAGAATAAAAGAGATAAAAAATTATATCTGCGCTTTAAATGTCGAAAAAAACTCACCAGTATGAATACGTTCGTGAGTCTTTAAACTAGATGATACAGTGAATCTCTCTCCACACGTCTTACATTCGTAAGGTTTTTCACCTGTTTGTTTCAATGAAATTAGGTATTTTAAAAGAATTACAAAGTACTAGAAGGTGATTATTTACTAAACAAACAGGCAAAAAACCCTCAAATTCATGTATTAATATGGCAAACTTACCAGTATGAATGCGTTCATGAATATTGAGATTGTCTTTTCGATTAAATCGTTCACCACATACTTTACATTGGAATGGTTTTTCACCTGTTTGTTTCAATGAAATAAGGTATTTTAAAAGAATTACAAAGTACTAGAATTTAATTATTTACTAAACAAACAGGCAAAAAACCATCAAATTCATGTATTAATATGGCAAACTTACCAGTATGAATTCGTTCATGATTATTCAGAATGCCTTTTTGATTAAATCGTTCACCACATACTTTACATTGGAATGGTTTTTCACCTGTTTGTTTCAATGAAATTAAGTATCTTGTATAAATTACAAAGGACTAGAAAGTAATTATTTACTAAACAAAAAGGTAAAAAACCATCAAATTTACTTATATATATTTGGCAAACTTACCAGTATGAATTCGTTCATGACTATTCAGACTGCCTTTTTGACTAAATCGTTCACCACATACTTTACATTCGAATGGTTTTTCACCTGTTTGTTAAATGAATTTTCAATTCAGTTTATAGAAAGGTCCGCATTATAAAATTCGAAAAAAGACAAGCAAACAATTTTTGAAATCTCTTCATGTTGAAATTTGGATAGAAAATAGTCATTAAACATCCTACAACTTTTAGATTATTTTTAAAATTGTTAAAAATATTTGAACTTTCATTTCAAAAAAGGTGAAAAACCATATCTACTTTTTAAATGTCGTTAAAACTCACCAGTATGAATACGTTCGTGACTAGTAAGGTGGTGTTTTCGAGTAAATCTTTCACTGCACACCTTACATTCAAAAGGTTTTTCGCCTGTTTATTATATAAATTATAAAAATATAGGTTGAATCTTCTAACGAAGGAAACAAGCGAAAGACCTTACGAATTTTCAAAATTTAAAAAAAACCTTACCAGTATGAATACGTTCGTGAGCCTTTAAATTAGACGATACAGTGAATCTCTCTCCGCACGTCTTACATTCGAATGGTTTTTCGCCTGTTCGTTTTAGTGAAATTAAGCATTTATATAAACTACTTTAATTGAGTTACAAAGAATCAGAATTTATAACAAACAGGCAAAAAACCATCAAATTCATGTATTAATATGGCAAACATACCAGTATGAATGCGTTCATGAATATTGAGAGTGTCTTTTCGATTAAATCGTTCACCACATACTTTACATTGGAATGGTTTTTCACCTGTTTATTAAATGAATATTATAATTAATTCATAGTACAATTTCTTGAATTTTAAATTCTATAGGCGAAAAATGTTTTGAAATTATTCAGGAGAGAGTCACTAGTTGAACCGTGTTTGTTTAGTAAAATTTTATCAAAATTAGAAATTTAACTAAATATGAACATCTACTTTAAGAATTCTAGTAAATCTAATAATCTTTAAAGTTTAAGAAAATGGCAATTTTTTAGTCTAAATGATATACAGTAGAATATGAAATATGAAAATAAATTACATTTAGCTTTGAGTATTTTGAGATTGCATAGTTTAAAGGATAATAATAAACAATTGTTTCAGATTGTCCTAGTTAAAGAATAAAGCGCAGTAAATTGATTTAAAATTCTACAAAACTCTGGCTAGAACGTATTTTTTTCTCGTTTAATATTTGGCTTCGGCTGTCAGTAATAAAGAAGTTGAGAATCCTAAAGTTAATATGGTCTGTACTTTGCGGAGATGTTACTTTCAAAATACTAAAGATGTTTCTCTCTTTCTATGAGAAGTTTTTTTTGCAGAATTTAAAAAATCAACGAAGACTCAATGGAAGAACAATCGCTTTTATCCCTTACACCCTTTTTTCAATAATACCATCGAAAGTGTAAATTATTTAAACTAGTTAAGGCAAAAAATTTTTAAACACTTTTGCTTTAAAAAAATTCGATTGCTAATTATTTGGAAGCCTCATTTTAATTAAAACGAAAACATACAATTTGTCAACGAACGCGTATAGAAAGAACCTAGAAATACAACTAGTCTAGTTAAACGACAAACCAATGGTGGAGGGAGAGGGAGAGGGGGGGGCGGAGTGTAGACGGACGTGGAGAAAAGAAATACCTTTAAAATAAACACTAACAATACAATAAATGGAAGAGAAAAATGAAATTTACAAAAAAGAAAATATCAACGAAAAATATCAACTAACAAATATTATGAATAAACAAATTACCATATATAAATTAAACATATCTTAAATATCAATAATAACAAGCACAAACCCAAAGTGAATCGTACAACATATACACACGTACAACGATTAAAAATGTGAGCAAAGAGATTACGTTAAAAAGTGCTTTTTTGGTAGTTGAACTGTTAAAACTACTACTATTACCTGAATGTAAATGTTCATGAAAAACTAGATGATGACTACGAGCAAATCTAGCATCACAATAAGAGCAAATAAATAGTTTTTCGCCTGTGTAAAACAAAATTTGTGACTTTGAAAGATGTTATTTGATACTTCTGCTCTTCTTTTTTAAACAAAAAAAATAAAAGTTCTTTTTTTTTCAATTAGTTAGCTATTGTACACAAAAAATAAATAATTTTTGATTGAAGACGGCAAAAAATCTCTTTGTAAAGTCAATCTTTCCTTTCAATATTAGATAAAGCAGAAATTAAAAACAAATATCATAAAGCATCCCGTCAGACAAAAAATTGTTTCCTGTTCATCATACGAAGAGAGACGATTGACGTTCAGACAATATTTTTCACTCTTAACAATCTAGACAAATATGAAAGGAAACTTACCTGTATGCGTTCTTTCATGATTTACCAAATGATGTTTTACAGAAAATTTTGCATCGCAATGACTACACTCGTACGGTTTCTCCCCTAATAAAATACATAAAAAAAATTGATATTTTACGTAAAAATACTTTACATTTATTTTTTTTGTAATTAGTCAGTTGAGAATAAACTTTTTCAACTCTCTAAACCTTCAAAGTACAAAAATTATTTCATTTTATCGCAAATTTCTAAAAATATCAATTTCTTTCTTTTTTTAATTTGCAAAACGTAATATTTTTCTACTTTTTCAACGTTAACCGCACAATATTTTTGTTGTACAAAATAAAGGAGAATATGATAAAAACATTCGATAATTCACCTACCCGTATAAGATTTAAGCTCGTGCTTATTAAAAATACGAGCCTCAGAAAACTTCTTGTCGCTCATTTTGCCAGCGAGTGATTTACTGTGTACTTTTATATTCTAGACTCGCAATGAAATAAACATAAATGAACATAATCCATTGTCGAGTTTAGCATAACTCCTCCCTTGTAAAATATTTTGTAAACTAGATTCCCTACTAATCTATCCATTATTAATACAGGTAAGTTTCGGTATATACTCTGGCTTCAAAAAGCACAATACTATTAAACAACTAAATTTAGAATAGTATTATAACTATTATTCAATTTATTCTCGAATGGGTCATTTAGATCTGATACGGATTTGTATAAACGGTAAAAAGATTATCTTATTTTACTTTCAGAGTTATTCTCGCCGCAAAAGGTTTTACGTTTCTCGTAAATTTACAGTATAATACTGTATATAAGTCATTTCCTATAACATTTAATTTATCGCGTGTTATCAGTTACAACTGAACATTTCACAAAAAAGTCTCCCCACGATAAAATAACTAATAATAGAATAAAATCGTATCTTGCTTGAATTCAGAATACGTTGTTAAACAGGCCCGACAGTTGGGTTTTTTAATTAAAAGAATTACATTAGGTAAACTTTCGCCCAGATGACAGATAAGCTATCATTCATACAACAAATGACCACACACGAAATCATAATAACTTTGACAACCAAAGCCCATAAGAGTACATTCTAGTTTTAAAATTAAGTGTAACCAGTGTGAATTTTCTTATACTTTTTGTGAAATCTATGACTACAGATAAAAAATAATTTCTAAAAAAACCTAATTAAATATTTTTGCCAAAAATAAATATTAAGTAATTAGCATCCTTCGCTGATTCGAAATTAGTAGACAATATGAAAATAATTAGCACACACAAAGTTATTTTAAAAGAAAAAAAAATCTAATCAGTATGAATTCTAATATGCTTTCTAAGAGAACTAGAGTCGATAAATCTTGAATCACAGAAATCACATGCGTAAGGCTTTTCGCCTAAAAAATTGAAAATATCTTTTAGACAATAAAGAGTAAAAATATCGAAATTACATTTATAACTGAACATTATCCTTTAATATATTAACATATAACAGTAAAAGGGAAAACATTAACTTTTAGATCTTAAGAAAGTAACTGTAAGTGAAAACTAATCTGTCTACTGTGAATATCCTGATAAAAAATTCAGTCACTGGTTAACGTGAAATCTGTCCTTAAAAAAGTACATTTCTACGATTTTGCGCTCTAAAAAAAAATTTTTAATTAAATACTCCAGGAAACACCTATGCAGAACCTATTACTGTAAATGTGTTTGTGGTAGTTGAGGTATACACTTTATAAAACCTTTCACAATACCCTTAATAATCATAACTTTTTATGCCTATCATCAGATGGAAATTGTTTCTCTACTTCCATTGAAAAACCAGATTTTACATCGTCTTAAACTAGTGAATCTCTCTTACACTGCAATCAAAACGCTTTCTGACTGTACGTTTTATCAAATATTTCTTTATATAAATATGGCAAACTTACCAGTGTGAATACGTTCATGAGCGTTGAGATGGCTTTTTTGACTAAATCGTTCACCACATATTTTACATTTGAATGGTTTTTCACCTGTTTATTAAATGATTCTTCAAATCGGTTTTTAGAGATATCTTTAACATTACATCCGAGAAATATGGGAAAAAAATATTTTAAAATGTCTCTATAGTAATCATACATTCTGTATTTAGAACGCTTTTCCTTAGAACGATTAAAATTGTAGAAATCGGTTTGAACTTTCAGAAAAAAAGAGATGAAAAACCATATCTGCGCTTTAAATGTCGAAAAAAACTCACCAGTATGAATACGTTCGTGAGTCTTTAAACTAGATGATACAGTGAATCTCTCTCCACACGTCTTACATTCGTAAGGCTTTTCGCCTGTTTGTTTCAATGAAATTAGGTATTTTAAAAGAATTACAAAGTACTAGAAGGTGATTATTTACTAAACAAACAGGCAAAAAACCATCAAAATTCATGTTTTAATACGGCAAACTTACCAGTATGAATGCGCTCATGAATATTCAGACTGCCTTTTTGATTAAATCGTTCACCACATACTTTACATTGGAATGGTTTTTCACCTGTTTGTTTCAATGAAATTAGGTATTTTAAAAGAATTATAAAGTACTAGAAGGTAATTATTTACTAAACAAAAAGGTAAAAAACCATCAAATTCGTGTATAAATATGGCAAACTTACCAGTGTGAATACGTTCATGAACATTGAGATGGCTTTTTTGACTAAATCGTTCACCACATACTTTACATTCGAATGGTTTTTCACCTGTTTGTTAAATGAATTTTCAATTCAGTTTATAGAAAGGTCCGCATTATAAAATTCGAAAAAAGACAAGCAAACAATTTTTGAAATCTCTTCATGTTGAAATTTGGATAGAAAATAGTCATTAAACATCCTACAACTTTTAGATTATTTTTAAAATTGTTAAAAATATTTGAACTTTCATTTCAAAAAAGGTGAAAAACCATATCTACTTTTTAAATGTCGTTAAAACTCACCAGTATGAATACGTTCGTGACTAGTAAGGTGGTGTTTTCGAGTAAATCTTTCACTGCACACCTTACATTCAAAAGGTTTTTCGCCTGTTTATTATACAAATTATAAAAAATAGGTTGAATCTTCTAACGAAGGAAACAAGCGAAAGACCTTACGAATTTTCAAAATTTAAATAAAACCTCACCAGTGTGAACACGTTCGTGAGTCTTTAAATTAGACGAAACAGTGAATCTCTCTCCGCACGTCTTACATTCGAATGGTTTTTCGCCCGTTCGTTTTAGTGAAATTAAGCATTTATATAAACTACTTTAACTGAGTTACAAAGAATCAGAATTTATAACAAACAGGCAAAAAACCATCAAATTCATGTATTAATATGGCAAACTTACCAGTATGAATACGTTCATGACTATTCAGACTACCCTTTTGATTAAATCGTTCACCACATACTTTACATTGGAATGGTTTTTCACCTGTTTCTTAAATGAATCTTCAAATCAGCCTATACAAATGTTTGCAATATTAAATTTGAAAAAAAACAAGCAAACAATTTTTGAAATATCTCTTCATATTGAATTTTTGATAGAAAATAGTCAGTAAACATCTTACAATTTTTATGTGTTTTTTAAAATAGTCAAAAATATATGAACTGTCACTTCGATAAAAGGTGAAAAACCATATCTGCCTTTTAAATGTTGATAAAAAGTCATAAGTGAGAATACATTTGTTTTAAAGTAAATATCTTTTTTCATATCTTACATTCAAAAGGTTTTTTGGCTGTTTGTTAGAATATTACACAAAGAAATTTCAGGTTTTAGAATTATAGCGGCGAAAATCATATATACTTTTTTTATAAACGGTACTATGTACTTTATACTACATATATATGTATGTTACTGTTCTAATTATTAAGTTAAATAGATTAGGAATAATACATAATCATTCGGCTTAGAATACCTTTTTTTGAAATATGATAGTTATATACTGTGTAATAAAAAATTATTCATTGAAGCAAGATGTTCACTCATTTAAAATAACTTTCGATTTAAAAATTTTAAAGTATATACATTATATACAGTATAGTTTATATATGTAATATATTTTTCTTTTATCTATAAACTTATCCAAGTCCCTAATAAGTCAAACAATAGTTTAGAAATTGAATGAAATAATTAGAAAAATTATTTTTATACAACAATGTCTAAATCTTGCTTTAGAATATTAAGGATCACGTTAGTACCTTTTAGTTTTTTGTACTGAAATATTTAAAATATCTTAGAGTATAATGTTAAATTTTAAAATATCCACTGTTTTTCCCCATTTATTCATTCTTTGCTGCCAAAACTATATTGTAAAACTACTATAGAAAGTCAATCGAAAAATAAATTCATTCTTTGTTTTAAAAAAGTGAAGCTATTATGAAGTGGTCGAGTTTTTTGTAGAATTTGACACTTGTACGAATTCTTTTTATGCTTAATCCTTAGATACAAAGACTAAAATAGCTTTTAAAAAAAAACAAATTACAGGCGGCTAAAGTTCATATTTTATCTTTTTATAATTAACAAAAAAAAAAAGAAATTATTATTTACGTTCTTTTATATGTACGTACTATATGTACTAAATATGCTATACCACAGTTGAGAATAGATTTAAATATAGATTGAAATACGTTAATCTTATCTCCTAAAAGAGAAATATAAAGTAAGGAAAAAAGTAGAGGGAAATAAATAATGAGCCTTACAAAAGCGTAGATGTTTTTCTATTTTTAAATATAATGTAGAAAAATAGGAATAAGCGTAAAATTTAAAAAGTTGATAAACATAGAATATATCAATTAAATTGGCAAGAAATGATGAAATATCGTACTTTTTTGCGTAGGAAAATTTGAAATTATCTTGTCACAATTAGAAATTTAAAGAAAACAAATATTTAGAAAAATTTCCATTCTAACGATTAATAGTCGTCCGTATACTGTCTATCTTTGATAGTTTTATACCAGTAAATCCTATCCTATTCAATTAAATTTTTTTTAATTATTCATCAAAATTAGAAGAAAATTACTTAGAAATAGCTTTCTTTTCTTTAAATTTTATAAAGATGGTGGGATAGTAAATACAATAGTTATCGAATAGCGAGAGGCAGGTAAAATATATTCCGGTAAGGGAAAGTAAGATAAACAATGAATTTTTTCCTGTTTTTTTAAATAGATCTTCCAATTTCCTTTTAAAATGATTTTCCTACATTCAGAATAATAAAAATCTTTTCAGTTTATAAAATAGCAACTAAGTTGGGAATCTGCGTCTTTGTCTAATAATTATCAGCTTATGGACACTAGATTATATTTAGACTCTTGGCAAAATAAGCCATTAAACAAATGCGAACATAAAAAAATTAATCATTCGATTACGAGACGAAATTCTTCGCAGTTTTAACTAAGCATTATATCATTATATCATTTTACCTGTATGAATTCGAATATGATTTTTTAGATGATCAGTTCTTTGGAATCTCTTTCCACATGTTGTACAAACATGCTTATACTTATCCAAATCTTTCTATTAGTTAGAAAAATTTGTTTAAAAAAATACGTTATTACTGAATGTAATGCAGTCAAAAACTGTCGATAGGTAATCTCGTTTTAATACAAATATCCTAGTCTACGTTATCTAATTAAATTGCAATGATATTCTTTGTCAACTGATAAGTAATAAATAAATCACATACCAGTATGGGTTCGAATATGGTTGGTAAGGTTGTACGCTGTAGTAAAAGCTTTTGAACAATAGGAACAAGCATGCTTCTTCGATCCCGACCCCTAACAAAATAATGTTTTATACATCCCATATGCAGTACATGCTGTATGTATTCGAGTAACGTCGCCTTCGACAGTTTTTAGTGCATAAAATTTGCAAACCTTTGATTCACGAACAGCAATGGAAGCAGCCTCAGCTATAGCACTGTCACTAATAGCTGGGTTAACAGAAGCAGCCGTAGCAGAAGCCGAATTATCAACGGTTGATGTCGGATTAACAATATCATTTCCGTCGTCAGTTGTAGCGCTTTCGGCCGATTCTAAAAATACAATTACTCCTTTATAACTGTAATGTTGAGGAGACTATCTCTTTCTTACCGCTATGAAGCTTTTCGTGATTATGCAGTTCAACTTTCGTGTCGAACACTTGCGAACACATATTGCAAGAGAAAATCTTTTTCTTCGGTGTAGCTTTTTCCTCATTAATTGTATGTTCTTCTCTCAACGATGGCAATTCGTCAAACTAAATATCGATGGGATACTAATAAATTATTAAATACATAATTATTAAATAACTACCTCAGCATACGGACGCTCTTCGATAATGTCATTTTCCGGTTTCTTAACCTTAGGCTTTTCAACCTTAACGGCCGCTCTAACAGCATTAGACTGTGTCGCCAAATCTCTCTCCTGCTTGATATCTAGACCATAAGGGGCAGAACCCGCCTTTTTACGGCTTGCATTCAAAATATCTCTTTCAAAATGAAAAACAACTGCATCCTTATTATCTAATTCAATACCAATTGTTCCAAACATCTTGAAATGCTGGTCTTCTACATGGTCCTTTACAAACATCTCAACCACTTCGCTCAAAACGACATTTAAACGATTCCTTTCTCTTGGATCTAATGCAGGGCTGTAAAAACAACAATCAAATATTATAAAAGATATTTACTAAATGATTTCTACGACGTTAAATTAAAAAAACAGCATAATAAAATGTTCACATTCACATTATTCGTGTCCATTTTCTCGGACATTGGCGAAAAAACCCAAATATCTTTTAAAGTTATTATTCAATTTTTAGATAAATGTAAACATTTCAATTTAAATAAATAAATGCTCTCTATTATCTGTAAAAAGACAATAAAAACAGATTTTAATCGTTTACTTACGCCATTTTTCAGTTTTTGTAAAAATTGACAAGTTTTTACTTCGAATACAGAATTCAAACTACCAAGTGAGCTAATCAAATGAGTTCAATTCCATATAATACTTACTTAATTAGTTAACGTTTGAGTAGTTTTCAAACATTGGTCAAGCTGTTAATTTTCCTTAATAGTTTATAACAAAAAAAACAAGGACTGGACCAAAAAATCACTTTATCGAGAGTGTGAACCCTGGGGTTAACACAAAAAAACAACACAAAAAGTGATATTTCTTTTTGTTTTGCAAATAATCACTAAAAAAAATACACTCTCTGTCTCTCTCCTCTCTCTCCATCTGCCTCTCTCTCTCTCGCTCTCTCTGTTTGTCTATATCTTCCTTTTTTCTTTCTTTTTTCACTTCCTTTCCCTTCCAAAAATATGTCGTCAACGTTCGAATGTTCTATTTGGTTTTCTTGCATAATGCACTTAAATATAATATTTTCTATATTTAACAAATAATTGTAGATATTATTCTATATATAAAAATATATATTTTGCATTTGTCATCGACCAGTTTGTAACTTTTGTTTATATTAATCTAAATGTTTATGTTTCTAATAATAGCTCGCCAATTATCGCTCGGAATGTTACACTACATTATACGCAATTGTATATTATTGAAAATCTTTATTCAAAAGACACATTTATTAAATCTATGAACAATCTAACAACATTCACAATTTTTTTGGTATTTTCTTATTTTATATTATTTTTGGAATTTTTTTTTAAACAAAGCAATAGGCCTTTATCTTAGTGACGCTGTGTATTCTTACCCTTGAGGTTTATATTATATATGTATACAATACATGCTGTATACATATCATTAAGAAAAGCACCGTTCTAATATGCAATATCCAGTAGATGGCTGCTTGTGTGTGTGTGTTAGTTTTATTAGAGAGCTTTTAATATTAATATTCATTGAAATTTTAGCAGGGATTTTGCGTTCTTCCAACTCTTTAATGAAGGATTGGCAAGGCTTATCGAAATCGAATTTACAATATCCAATTATGATTAAAGTTTGTATTAAGATAATAAACCTGCACATGTCATACTAAAAAGTAATTGTTAAAAAAAAGAGTTGTTTTGATAAATGATGGCGATCCTCCGCCTTAAAAACAGCTAGCAGCACATAGTTGACATTTTCTTTGTTTTAGAATGTACATTTCTCGTATGATGAACAAGTGTAAATGAATTAGTAAATACTTTATGGCATACCTTGCACATTAAACTACGAGTTTTTAAATTCTCTACAATTCGATATACACAATTAGCCATATGATATGTATATAGTTCTTCGCCATAGAATTTACCACCACAACAGCAAGTGTACAAACGTCTCTTAGGTTGAAATCCACCTTCGGGTAACTTTGGAACTTTGGTAGTTTCAATCTCTGGTAAAATGTTAAACTTACCTATTAAACTTTCACCCAAATCCTCCTGTATTAATACATAAGAAATTAATGTAATAAGCATAATATATATGGAAAATAAGAAAATAATTATATACATCGGGTGGGTCATTGATAATAACTACTGAATCTTCTAATTCGGCCGCTTTTACAGATGAACCATTAGCGACTGTAAGTTTAACTTGTTGGTTTTCTTTATCTACTCTCTTCTGCTTACTGTCGTTGGAATCATCGTTCGCTACTATTGTCTTATCTATATCTTCTACAACTGCAATATCTGAAACTTTTTCACTGTCTCTGACAACTTTCCTTTTCTCTTTATGATCGCTGTTATCTTTTGTTTTCTTATTAGTATCTTTGGTATTATTATCCTTTACTTCAACGGCAATAGTATCTTTATCATTATCAACTCTCTTTTCCATCTTTCTTTCTGAGTGCTTACTATTGCCATTAGTGTTTTTGTGGACAGTTTTAAGAATCTCTCTCAGTATGGATGCGCTACCGTTTATAGTATTTTTAGTTTTAACTTTTTCATTCTCATTATCCTTATCAGTTGTTTTCTTCTTTTCATTATCATCAATAACTTTCGATTTTTTATCATTTTCATTTATATTTTTGCTAGCATCTTTGCCACTCGCTTTTTTCCTTCTCACTATGACAATATTCTCCTCTTTGTCTGCAGCTTCAATATCTTGAAAATCTCTATCAGCTTTGTTCTTTTTATCTTTATCAAAAATTTGCGATTCTTTATTATCATTACATTTTGTTTTACTAATAGTCTTTGAATTATTTTTAACTACGACCATAGCATCTTCTTCTACAGCTGCAGCATCTCTATTCAGTTGACGATCTTTGTTAGTTTTAGTAACAGTTTTCTCCATAACTTTACTATCTTCTCTTCCTACAACTTGTTGATCTTTGTCATAAGCAATATTTTCGCTTTTGTGGTTATCAACAGCGTTTTTATTAGCAGCCTTGGAATTATTATTTACTGTAATTGCATTATCTTTTACTTTTATAGATGCAACGTCTTGTTGAATAGGCTTATCAATTGCCGATTTCTTTCTATTATTCGATTTGTTTGTATGAATGATTTTCCCAACATTTTTATTCTTGGAATTATCGTTAGCTTTAATTGGTAATAGAATTTCGCTTTTATTGTCCTTGTTTTCTTCGATATTCAAGTCAGTTGTTGATTTTTTCGATGAATTACTTGAATGTTCATCTACTTTCTCTAACTTTCTATCATCATAACAATCTTGTAATGGTTTTTCTTGTACGTTTATGGATTGAATAGTATCGATTGTTTGACCAGATTTATCATTCTCTAATTGATGTATAACCTCATTGTTTTTTAAATTCGACGAGTTTAACTTCCTATTGTCTTTTTTTGGTGTTTCTTTACTATTTTCGTTATTTATTTTATCATCTTCGCAAGTTGTTAGCTGGTCCTTAAGTTTTCCGGTAGTTTTACTTTCTCTTGAATAGCTATAGAAACGAATTACTTTCCTCTTCCGCTTACACAATTTCCCAAGATTATCGTTATCGACATTGAGGTGTTTAGTTTCTGTATCGGTATTCTTTTCAGCATCAACATTATTTATAATTTTGGAATCTTTTTCAACTGTTTCCAATGACCTATTAATATTTTCACCTTCAGGAACTTGATCGGCGAATGAGAAATTGCTACTCTTTGTAACAACAACATTTTGTTCATTCGATGTTGGCGTACTTGTTAAAGGTTGCTCTAATTTAAATTTAAGATTTTCTGGTGTAATAGCAGCATTATCGTTTCTCTTTGATTTTCCATCACCTTTCTGACGTTTGGATTTTGTAAATTTAGCTACAAGAAAGATATTAATAAATTGAATAAATAAATTGAATGAATACAATACCATCTACTCCCTTAACTATACGATTTTCGCATTGTATTCTCTTTAATAGGGTAGACTTTCTTAATTCGATAACTGGTTGATTAGATCTTTTCCTAGTACTTGTCATCTGTAATAACAAGAACCAACAGAAATTTTTTATCCTCTCCGTTTATTAAAAAGTATAATACGAGTAAAACATTATCAACGGAAAAAGAAAAGTTGGGAGAGATGTCTTTTTTATTCTCTTATACGACATTAGTTAAATTGTCTTTTTGTTTTTTGCCTTTTCCTCTTCTGCTCTGCTCCAACTTTACGTATGTTAGTAAAAACTGTTGGACCATTTACCTGGCATCTTTCAGCATCCACCGACTTGTTCTTATTAGATCGACTACGTAAAACTATTGACAAAAGAAATTATAATTAAAATCTAATTAATTAGAAATACATTATTATTATTTATTTACGGAAATGTGATAACATTTGTTATTACTATACAGTATATATATATATATATATATATATAAGACTTCTGTCTTTTAGTAAACTAATAAGAATAATAAAAGGTTTCCTTAACTCTTATGTTAAACTTGACTTATTTACAATAAAAAGATTATATTAAGAAGGTTGTACTTTACGATGTTTAATGTAATGTAAAGTTTCTCCTATTGTTGTTCTAATGTTAATATAGTACGTATAATACAACAATATACCTGTAGATTTGGGCTCTTCCGTAGGAACTTTGTAGGCTTCTCTACTAATATTTTCTATTAATATATTCTCAATATTGCTTTTTCTTCGCGTAATCTTATTCGATTTTGCAGTTGATATACCGCCTTTATTCCGTTTGTCAATTTCTTTATCGGATGGTTTAAGGGCGGTTTTAACCCTGGCAGGTTGGTTATGTTCATTCGCTTTCTGTTTACTTTCGACGGAATTTGATTGAGGAGTTTGTTCGCAGTTTTTGCTACTTTCTATTGAACTCTTATCAAATTCGACATTTAGACATTGCTGCCCTTCTATTCTAATTTTTGCAATTACAGTGTATTTCGATTGTGTCAGTTTCTCTTCAATAAACTCCTTTATACTGGATGATAACCGACGTTTCAACTGTCTATTGATCTCTTCAATGGAAAGATCTTTTGAACTGTAGGCGAAAAAATAACCTAGAATAAATCAAATTGTTCAGATAATCTTACTATTTTGTTTCTTTGAAAAAATATCAAACTCTCCTCAAGTGGATGTAACGATAATAATTACAAAATTCTTACAAAATACCTATGAATATATAACGAAATTTAAGCACATAATCCATGAAAGAGTAACGAATATACCTAATTATTAGACTTATTTATTAAGATACGGCTATGAATATTATTGTTACAAGATCATCCCACCTCTCTTGTATTTATTTTATAGTAAGAATATAATATTTTTAGCAGAGTGGATGGGAAAACAATTAACTTACGCCATTTAAAAGATTTCATTTATCTGCTATAACAAATTCAAATACTTCTTATTAAAATCTTTCTAATTGAGCAATGCCTGCCTTAATAATCACAGTCCGTCTTTTATACTCTTATAGCTGGCTGCTAGCGTTTTTTTAATACAATATTATTCTATATATTCTTCTATAATATACGTACACGCATATATGCAAATACAGTATTATAATGTTTATTATAGGTATGACTATACATTTTGAAGAGTAGAGATATTGCTTATAGTTAGTGTATTAAAGTAAATTCCATTACAATAGTCATTTGGTAGATATTTAATGGTGCAAGGAATGACGACTAAGATTAACAAGATATCTAAAACTACTGAAAAAAGCAGAAAATAATTAAATAACGCTTAATTTTACTTTTTCCTTTAAATACGTTTAGCAATAAGTTATAGGCCGTTACTTTCTGCCAAAATATCAACTACTCGTCGTCACGTTGCTCGTTCCTAGGAGTTTGAGTTGAAGATTGCGATGGTGCTGCATAATATGCAGTAATCTGAACTTCCGGTTCCGAAACCAAATTGATGAATCTAAGAAAATATAAGAGATTATAGATTATGATTGTTTTTTGTTTTTTTGCATACCTGAACGGTCTTCTGATGCGTCTAACGAGAGGTATGAAGCTTCTATCAGCCGAAGGAGGTATGTCTGGCCCTTGAAAAAGATAAAGTTGATTAAGAACTATCAATAAAGATTGAATAAAGTTAATAGTCTTACTCAGTTCACTACCAGTAGAAGCATCTCTATAAGCTGCATAGCTTCCATAGTTGCTTGGAATTTGAGGTCTCTCTATGAATACATCTCAAGATTAGTAGTTGATTGAAAAAGTAAAAACAGTTAATTATAAAGAATGGACTGGCTTAGAATAGGGAAATATGTATTATTGTTTCAAGTAGCTTATGTTAACTTTCAAATTTACTCTTACCAAAACTTCCTCTAACTAACCTTAATCTTGCTAATATTGAAATAAACTTATAGCGTACTAATCGAGCGATAATCGTTTACCTTCGTGCAATCTGATATGCAAGCGTAGAGAGAGCTCATCCAAAAAGGTCGCGTTGCACTGGAGGCAAGCGTAGCCTCTTCTAGTATCTGTAAATGCTTTTATGGAAACAAAAGGAATATAAAAACACACTTATACAGTCACAAGGCGTTGGCAAACAGTTGTATATAATGTTATGAATGTATTTACTATTCTTACCTGAATGGAGACGCAGATGCCTATAATGTTCATACGCAGTTGACGACGCAAAATTGCAGTGATTACAGTTAAATATCGATACTGGTGATTCCTGAAAAAAGATTATCGTTATTTTGGAAAATAATAGAATTTCTCTCTGGAAATATTTGTTACAACGAATCTATATTCTTTATTTCAGTGAATTTAATTCTGTCATATAGCTTAAGGTATCTTAAAACGGATTTTGCCACCTCTTAACAAAGAGAGGGGGACAGAAAGAGAGAGAGAGATAGATAGAGAGAGAGAGGGAGAGAAAGAAAGCATTTCTCTCCCGTCTTTCTATTTAAATTGAAAAATCGACTTAAAACTAAGAGTTTCACAATGAATACTTTCAGTTTTAAGATAAGATAAAATAAAATCACCAATTCTATGAAATGTCTATGAACGATTTTCCATCTCTACAAAATTCAGTAAAGGTGTAGAATGTTCAAAGCCATTTTCAAACCGAAAAGGCACGACAGCTTATTAAAAATTAAGACGCTGTAATAAAAGATTACGGCTTGTTCAGCTCCAAGCTCCGCCTCCGAGTTATCATGCGAGTCTGAGCCACGACGTACTTCCCGCACTTGGTCGTAGTCTTCGTCTCCATTCTCCGATGACAAAGCATCTGACCCATTTACCGAACGATTGGAATCGCATTCTGCTATACAAGATGTTCTACTACGGCGTCCAGGATCCGACGACGATGACGATTCCGATAGATTTCTTTTCGCACGATTGATTATTCTCGTCAAAAGAGGAAGTTGCCTTTGCGCGGCAAGCTCTTTTGAAAAGTGCATAATCGCAGAATCGTCATCTTCCGATTCAATTCCAATCGTTCCGAAAACTTTGTATTTGACATTCGGTAAATTCGCTTTGCAAAAGTTTTCGATTGTGTCCGTTATCGCCTTTTTAAGGCGGAATTTATCCTCTGGTCTAAAAGTAGGTCTGACAAAGAAAGAAGAATAATTAACGAACACTAAGGAAACCTGTGAAAATGATGAGCATTTAAACTCTTAACTTACGACATAATTTCGATTTTTTCAAACTTTTCTTCTTTTCAATCTTGAAATTATTTCCAAAGTATTTCTGTTTTGTTTAATTTTTATAAAAGTAACTTTAAAAAGGGATAAAAAGTATCTCTTTACATTTTCATTTATTAATAAATAGTTGGTTAACTAAAGTATAAATTATTTATTGAGGCGTCTACTTACAAATTTACTTTGAGGAGTACCAGATGCAGATTCGTTGGGAGACGTTTTGCAGCACGAGGTAGAGTGAAACAATAGTGAAAACTTCTCCCCGCCCTCCCTCGTACTTTTATCCAACCAACAGTAGTGCCCTCTTGAGAGAGAAAGAGAAAAAGAAAGAGAGAGAGAGAGAGAGAGAGAAAGTCTCTCTACCCCGCCTTTCTATGAAAAACAAAGACAATTTTTTCGTTTTATAGAATTTTATTATTTTTAAATTTATTACAAAAGTAATTGAGAAATACTAAAGTTTCTATTACGAATTATCAAATGCTTTCTTATTCATAAATACTGTATTGTAGTGTTTTCTATAGAATAAAGAATTTTCTTATAGGTAGACTATTAGACGCTAAATGTACATATTATATACAAAATTTATGGAATAATTTAAAGACAATGACGAGTAAATAATATAAAATGTAACAGAAATTCTTTGTCCACTGTCAATAAACATTAAATAGGAAGTAAAGTTTAAATAGGCGTCATTAGTAGTTTGTAACTTTTTATAGGTGATAATATCGACTTAAAACTTTAAAAGTTGACTAATTTTTTATTGTTAACTATATTTCTTTGTTTATGTATTCCCATTTCGATTAATTAGGGCAACATATGTCCCAAACGCGATACAAAAGGGTTTAAAATGTAACAAAATCTTGATCCTTTGTCGTAAAGATGTCGAAAACTTTTTAGTTTTGGGGGATGAAATATCAATTAAATAACTAATTGGTTTCCATACTAATAATGCTATTATCAGAACAGTCTGCTACTATTACATTTTGGGAAAAAGTTGTTTATGCCATTTTTCCTTTAAAGTCGTATTGTACATTTGTAAATGAAATCTATTCATTAGACAAGATAGATACGTGTCTACCAGCGTATTTTAAGTATATACGACCTACAATACGGCATGACCTAAAATTTTTGATTGAAAGTCATAGCGATCTTTTCCCTTAATGGTTATGTTTAAATGTCTATATGTCTGGCTCAAATACATTCAAAACGCAGTTTCATTAATCAATCATTGACGTCGGCCAGTTAGACAAGATGTGGACCTTTTTCTTCGGATTGAGAACAACGGATAAGTATTAAATCCCTTACGAAATGATTAATAAACTTTCCTAAAAAAGTACTAATATCATTATTAACAATATTAATCAATTTAATCAATTCCATCCGAATGATTTAATGTAATATTGTCAAAGTTCAAAAGAAAGTTAAAAACTATATTATCCTTCAATAAAAACAGTTTTTCATTTATCTTTATATAATATTAGTATATAAATCGTTATTATTTGTAAAGATTCATAATTTTTAAATAGGTTTCACCTAGAAAAGAGGCGTTATTTTTAAAAACACGTTAAAATAGTGACGACGGAGTTGAGGGTTTTTTTTTCTGTTACTTTAATAAAAACATTTATTACTCGTGTATTTTTTCAGGACAGATTTTTTTCGTCGTTTTTTTGTGAGCAAATGTTTGATTTCTTTTTTACACGTCTCTCTCTAAGTCAAGTAAACAAGTTAGTCATCGGTATTGTCCTAATAAATTACTGACAAGTTTCTTAAGTCTAGTATGGTTTTTATAGCCGATCGTCTAAGTAAGAAAACAAGCGAAGGAGGCTGTTCTTATCATATTTGAATTAATTAGTAAATGCTATTTGGTATTCGTAGGTGAATGTATAGAAAAAATTACTCTTAGGAAGCGTTTTTAATGGGAAAAAGCCAAGTTTTCGTGAATTTTAAGTGAGGTAGATGGCGCTCATTATCGGGTTTCTTGAGTAATTAAAAAGTTTGTTATTTGTTCAAGTTCGGACGAAATGAACCAATTTTTGCCCAAAAAACATGTTAAATTGAGTTAAAACTCTTGTTGATTAGTCTTCAACTGCTGTATAAAAAGCTGTAGGTTGCAGTATTTAAAAGTTTTTCCCCTCTATGGGACTGAAACAATCAAAGAGACCTGAAAAAAACATGATCTTTGTAAGAAACAATGAAAGTGACAAGAAGCGTCGCTTGTCCTGCGAAAGCAGCAGCGGCGCTTCTCCTACTGCAAAGCGTAGTCGCGGTGGATGCCAGCCAGTAGAGAAGCAAACAAATTTATCAACAACTAGTGCTTTTGAACAACCAACAAAGAATGCCCTTTTCGGTCTCTTTTACAACAATCTACAAGCTACTAATGAACAACCAGCTCCAGCTGACTCGTCGAACGAAACATTTACTGGACCTTCGAATCTTGGCTTTTCGCATGGTGTAGATACTTCGAAGAAGAACAATCCACCGTCAATTAGACAGAAACTAATGCGTCTGAAATCGTCTAGAAAATAAAGAGCTTTCATTTGATTCGTTTGTTCTTGGGAGTTGTTGTTTTTTGTACGTATTTCTTACACAAATGAATATGATGACTTTTGAAATAAAACTAAAAATTACAATGAATATATAAAATATTTTGTTTTCTTTTTATTTCTTTCGCCTTTCTCTTTCGCCTTTCTTTTCTTTGAAACTTTCGAAAAAAAAATAGTTCGCGCCAAAAAAATAAAAAAGAATAAAAGAATGTATAAAAAAAAAGAATATAGAAAAACAATTAGAAAACTCAAAACGAGATTCTCGCGAACTTTTTTTTTATTCAAATAATTCAATTTGAGCGCCTCAATTCGGCAAATATATTCAACCCGAACACTTCAGTTTCACTTGAACTACTGGAAAATGTAAGTTATTATGTATATTCTTTTATATGATAGCTATCACTAGTTGTTTATTAAGCGTCTAGCTTAAGTAATTGGTTTGGTAATTAGACCAATAGACGATATATCACCTAATAAATTTTCAACCAAGTACCCTTTATCGTCCTTTACATTCTTTCGTTCTTTTACCAATTAAACGCTACTTAAAACATACATAAGTCGTATACATATAAAGTAAATTTTCAACAAATGTTTTTTCAAACTAAAAAAGTCTTTAAACAGAAACTTTTTAGACGAAAGTATTGGTCTTTTTTTTTATTTTGTTGACGTCTTAAATAAAATAAATTCTTTTTTTATAGTTAATTAAGAACTATATATAATTGGAATGTTTATGAAATGGTTTGGGAAATTATAACAAATAAAAGTGAAAAAAATTAAAAAATTAGCTAATATTCCCGCCCCTTGTTTTTCTTTTTGTTAGCAACTCTCGCTAGCCTCTTAACTGGTTCACACTCTCCCTTTCGATCTTTTTTCAACGCAACTACTTCATAATAATTAGGTCTACTAATTCATGTAATTGTTTTCAATCCTCTTTTAATCTCTTCCAGATTAAAGGAATTAATCATATGATATAGATAGTTGAGCTATCATCGTATTAGTATAAAAAGAGTTAAACGGAAGCTTAAAAAAAATCTATTGTTTTACTAAATTAAATAGTTTTTCTTCCGTCAACAGCTTTTCAGTTTTGCTTGATCGACATTCTACTCTTTGAATTTTTGATAGGAGTTTTTGAATTGGTAAGGGTATTTCCTTTTTTTTTATCTTTTCTACAATATATTTATATCTTCTATATGTTCTTATCTTTCAGCATAATGGATTCTTTCACTCTGGAAGTGATAGTATGCTTATACATTTGTCAGAACATGGCTCTGTTCAAATCGCTTGATAGCCTTCCTCGAAAACTTATCCGAACCTTGGCTTGTTTCGCTTCGCCATTGACTCTCCTCAGGTTTCCTAATTTTTTTGGTGGTAAAGATATCGAAGAAATTTGGTGGGGACATATTCGCCTTCTTGATTTTTACGAGGGAGATGATGTAATTCCTTTCCTAAAGCGAAAGGTTCATATTGGTATTTTCGGTTCGTCACACGTGTTTTCGTCGGAAATAGTTAAACTTTTTCAACGCCTTAGGTTAGTTGATGTGGATTGAAATTCGAATTTTTATATAAACGATAATATAACTAATTTTCTTTTAATGTCTACAGAATATTTAGAGCACGAGGCTACATAACCGATAAGACCTTTGAAAGTTTTACTTTGGAATGCCTCTACGTAAAAATGGGAGGCACGCGCTATGGTAGAATTGTACGTCCACCATGCTTTCATACCTATACTGAATATATGTTCCGAAACACGAAATATTTAACGTTAACTTATGGAGTCTATAAATGGCTATGTTTACCAAAAAACGTCCATCTTCTGAGAGCATTGCGATACAATCTGGAACAGGTTTCCTTCATGATTAATTTTCAATCTGTAAAAATTCTCAAGTGCTACAACGAATTCACTAAAAAGGTGCTTAACAATCCTAAAGGTAATAAAACCATTGACTATTATCGGTGACTAGTAGAACTAATATTTTTTTCCTCTAAATAGGTCTACCTGTCTGTCAGTTACCAGAGAGCCATAATACATCTTCACCAGCGTATCAAGGTTGGTGTAAATCCCTAGCCAGCGTCATCTTTTCGTGGCATCATGTGACAAATCTTACAATCGAATTCTTTACCGAGCTATTGCCTATTCTACCAAACATGCTTT